TTAAGATTGCCTTGTCCATTACCTGTAGTAGGACGACGCTCTTCGACACCGGTTGTCAGTATACTTGTTCATGGTGGAGTTGAGGCATGTAAGAAGATGAAAGAGAGCATGGAAGGCTACCCTTGTATCCCTGTTGTCATTGTTAAGGGCAGTGGTGGACTGGCTGATGTCATTGTAGATGCATTAGCAGCATACAACAAACTGAAAAAGAAAGGGTGATTTATGCTACTCTAATTCCTATATGTTTTCAATTCTATTATACGCCTAACTTTTAAACAGATGAGATAGATTCTTTAAGATGGTATTGTTTCAAGTACAATTATGACATAGTTGCCTACTGCAAACGTATGACTATCTAAATCTTTTTTTGAGGAATTGATAGTTCTCCTCTTTTTTGGTTATAGTTTTTCTCATGTTTTTTACGTTTTTCGCCTTCTGAGAAAATCCATTGGTCAAAATGGAAGCAGCAACATGCTCGAGGATGAAGAATAAAACAAGCTTTGGGATACAAAATTAATGATAGTCATTAGATAAATTCTTCAAGAATGTCATATTATACCCTGTTATGATAAATTAAATCCATAATATCATATGAGTAAATTCTTTCATCAATCTGTATTTATACTGAGGCATCCCTTTTAAATATAAAAGGTTGCTAGCTACTTAACAGAAAAGGCACATCTCGACATTCAATTCCTGTTCCCTAAACATAATTGATTTTCTAACTCTCTTGAAACATTAGATTAACAAAATAACATATATATTTATTTGAATTATTTGTAGCCGCCTACTACGTTCCCATATAGAATACTTCTTGTTGCAAAGTTCTCTTGCTGAACACTCCATCATTGTTCATCTTGTTAAAGAGCTTGTGGAGACATACAGTCACTTTGTAAGTCATGACCTTTAAAAACCCTATAAACCGACGCATTTCACTGGTTCAATTCCATTGGTTCGACTACACAATAGATAACGCTGATTGGATTCCATTGGTTTGACTACACAATAGACTTATTGATACGTATCCAATCGACAGCGCAAGGCTCAATGTCTTTTTTATTTATACGCGCTGTAGAGCCTATTGTTAACTTGGAACAGTTGACTGACGGGACATAGTGCCTTTAAACAATCCAGCGTAAATTCTCTAATAGTCAACTTAACGGTGTTTACAAAGAAGATTATTCTACCTAGGGAAAAAAGAAATTTTTAGGGTTTTTAGGTTATGGCCAATATGGTTTTGATTTTAAGTTTTTATCATGAAGTAAGATTTCATACGACAGATACTAGAAAAAAATAATTTCAAGTGTGTTGTTGTACCAGTATTTTTGAATATTTTAGCTCATCTAATTGCACTGCAATTGCTTATCAGATGAAGAAAACTGGCGTTTAAACCACGGGATCTAAAGATATTTGGTAGTATTCTTGAGGCGATTATTTGAAAGTGGGGGAGAGGGGGGTAATCTGCTGCATAAGTTTGGGAATAGGGTATTATTTGAGAGGTTTCATTTGATATTAGGCCTTTTTTATGTGGTCTTTTTTGTGTGGATAATGTGGCCTTTTTAACTATTTTTAGATCATAGTTTACGATCACAAACGAGACCCTTATGGACTGCATCGCGCAGTGATTGAGAGTTGCAAAGGTAAGCTTTGGAAATTTGAAGATATTACAATTTAAGAGTGAGGATCCTGTCACATATAAAAAAATTGTTTGCTGCTTGTCTAACGGATGCCAAATAATTTCTTTATTCTTGGAATAAACATTTCGTCTATCTAAAGTTTAAATCGATTAGCCCTCTTTAAGTTATAATATGAAAGACTCTGCCATAGATTAGCTAAAAGGCATGGATACAAGTTTTCACCCCTTTTTTAGACTCTGGACCATTTTGTTTAGGATATAACCACTGTGCCGTGCTTTTATTAATTATTATTTTCTACTTCGTTGCTGGTACATATTGATGTAAAGAAAACTCTAAATAGATTAGACACAGAATTTCTAGGAACCTAAAGATATTTTTTTTCTTAATTTCAGTTCTCTCAGACCATACTCCTTCCGTTGTCAAAGGAATGAAGTTGGCTATAAGCACCGGGGATATTATGAAGTTCAAGAATGATATCATCAAGAGCGACCCCTGGGTATATGCTTATATCCACATTTGAACTCGTCTTTATCTTTCGACCATCAAATAAAAATATAAAAAAATGTGTTTTATAAATCAAGACTGCTCAAATTTGCAATGAGAAGCAACCAGAGGTGTAGCCTAATGGAGAGGTTCTTGCACGTCCCTCCCGGTCAATAACTTTTAGTTTGTCGTCTTATCCAAAAATGTATAGACTTTGCGCTTATTATCAATTAATCCAGTGTTTTACACTTTTAGTATATATAAATAGAAACAGACAAATTCATTAAGTTTATGTATTATATATCTGTTTAAAACCCTGTCTGTATATTCTCAAAACTGTTTAGCCACGCTGTTTAACTGCCCCCGCTCCCTCAAATTTACTCCTTAGGAATGCTATTTATCTTGGCAAACCTGTGATCTGCTTTCCCTGATCCCAACACCCATTTCCCCTCCCAAGATAATGTTTCTTTTCTATGCCACTGAAAGCCATATAAAATTAACTACTCTGCTACATTCTTTATTCAAAAATACGAAAAGCTGTTTTTCTTATTTGTAAACCTTTATCGCTTTCTAGGTGCGGAAATCTCTCTTTTAATTTTCGGTCAAGAAAGAAAAAGCAGATTTCGTTAGATTCTTATTGAGCAAAAATGAAGACTTGGATGCCTTTGTTGAAACTGAGTTTCAGAGATTATGTCGAAAGGTAAACACTTGCTTGCTCGTTTTTTTTTAGACCAAGCTAGCCAAATCCTAGCCAAGTCAAATTCCAAATTCGTTTAAGTTTTTGACTTATGTTTATCAAAGCATGAAACACATTAATTTTTGAAATTTTTTTATTTGACAGGTAGCCTAAACCTTATTTAGTTGACGGACCCATTTTATAACGGACCCACAATCTTTTATTTATTATTTTGATACGTTATCATTCTCAATCAAAATTATTTTCCCTACTAGAAACTTGAAGATAATGTGGTTTTTCAAGCGTTGATGAAAGAGGTAATGATCAACTCAACATTAAAATTCAAAAATTACTACTTGATCTTAAAGACACGATATGTCCAATAAAACTTTAATGAAAACATTGGCTAGAGTGTTTATACCCTGGGTATCAGAGCTCCGAAAATTCTTGCACAGAAATTTAAAAGAGGGGCGGAGATGCGAAAAGCACCTAGCCGAGAATCTTCCACCTCTTTGCTTTTTTTCTATTTCCGCGCTCAAACTTTTATGGTCCTAGTTCACAAAGTAGAATTACATAAAACTATTTTCTTTACTGGACATTTAAGTTTGAGACGTACGTTAATCTCAAAGTTAAAAATGTTTTGTTTTGTAATCAAACAATCTTCAGATAATTGTAATTAAGCCCCAGTCATTACCAAGTTGTTTCGTATTATTGGTAAAGCCCGATCGTCATTCCATCTAGCAGTTTTGGAATCTATCTACATAAGCACAAAAAGCCGCTATTGTGTAGGCAAAAGAAGTTCGTTTTCACCTTAGGACTCCATTGGTAAAACTCCAAGTAAGAAGCGGCACTGATTGGTCAACCTCAACATCTGTCGCGTTTCTGATTGGCCTATTTTGATCCACAACTGGATATATATATATTTCCTAGCGTTGAGTTTTCGATCTATGTTCTGACGTTTTGAACTCTGAAGAGTGTTAGACGAAAAGCTTTAGTTTGCTCAAAGGTTGGCTTTTTCAAAGCCATTTTCAAGTTTTGTACCATCAAAAGATTGTTTGCAATTTGCCACAGTAAAATCGAGTCTCCATTTGCAGCAATTTTGTGCAAGTGTCATTTAACAATAGATTCCCTCCTACCCACGCACGTTCTTACACTCATGTGCCAATAACGTTTACATGAACGTATTCATTAATATTCTTTAGCATATATTGAACAGGAAATTGAGACTTTATTTTCTTCTCCACAGGAACTCGATAAAGAAAAAAAGTACACAAAGAAAAAGATTAAAAATTTAAATGTACAGGTAAACTAACCATGCCATTTTTCTTCTTTGGCAATGGAAAAGCTGTGCACATCGTCCTTCTTTAAAAAAGCTTTTACACATTTCGTAATTTAGAAAAAAATTCAAAATAAACAGCTAAAGGTATTTGGTACTTTTCTTTGTTAATGCTTGAAGCTATCTTTACTCGACTGGTCAGTTGAGTCTTTCACGAATCAGTTGACAGCAAACATTTTTGAATACCTAAGGAAAGCAAGAAACAAGACATTTACACTGGCTGACTCTAAGGCACACAAAGACTTTGCCTTTTTATAATATGTCAAGTAATTATCATATTTATAATTATCATAATTATCATAATTGTTAGTTTGTCATCTACCAGATTACTACTAGTTCAAGAAAATTATTTCGCTTGCTCATTTCAACTCGTTGGCCAAAGCCATAACATAGAGCTTTTGAAGAGCATGTAACACAAGAAGTTGTCAAAAACGTGAGTTTGATATAAGATGAAGAAAAATAGTCCCATCCTCTAGCTTAACTGTGACACTATCGAGGAATGTCACAGTTTTTCTGATGGAAATTGATTGAACAACCGAGTAATGCATAGATAGACTCTATGATTAGCCCAATAGTCTAGTAAATTACATTTTTATGGAGGCTGCTGTATCATCTAGTGGGTTTTTTTAGATTTTGTTGTTCTCAGTGTGGTTTTTTTGAACATTCTATTTGTTAATATTCAATTTTCGTTTTGAAGTTAGAAGAAGAGCCCTTTAAACTGCAAGCAATTGGAGATGAGAATGAGAATAAGGTTCAATATTTATATTGTATCAGATTTTTCTATCAAATGTCACTTATCGATGTTTAATGTTATCAAATGATATCAAATTATGTATTACATTCAGTTCAGGAATTATCTTTGAAGAGCAATTCTATTTCTAGTGAATTGTTTGGATCTTCTTTATTTTCTTTCTTTATTTTCAAAATGTTTCATGTTTTTCATTTTAATTTCTATCGCTTACTAGAAAATTTTTGTGTGTGTTATCAAGTTTCTTATTATATAAATAAAATGGTTGAATGTTTTTGCTGCAGATGTATTGTATGCATTCTTTCTCTTTGTAACATATCAAACATTTTTTACTATCTCTAATCTATTAATTTCTACTATGCATTTTCCCAAGATAAAATATAAGAACTATAATTCTCTTATTTAGTCTTAAGTCTCAAAAAACACGATCAGCTTTTATCAGTTTTTAGCTGAAAGTTTTCAGTTTTCAATCAAAAACTGATAGCAGAAACTGATGTATTAATGATCTTCAGTTTTTTACTGAAAAAGTTGAACACGTTCAACTTCGTCAGTTTTTAACTAATGGGATTTCTATTCATTGATGTAGACTCCATGCGCAAGGCGCCAATTTCTTTAGAGCAGCGTGAATAAGTGCGATTTAAAGATGGCGAAGAAAGTTGTCAATACAGATTAATTCATAGAAGCGTGGAAGGAACCTCCAACAACTCGTCAAAATTTTCAGGCGTCATTCTCAAAAATTTTATATATTCTGCTTCATCCTCCGATCTTAATTCTTGTAGAAGAGTGTCGTAAACACCGAGGTTAGTCCTCCTACTCAACCATGGCTTCACCCAAACTGATCTTGTTTTCTATTTTCAATATTTTCGCCCTTTTTGACGACCAGAGCCGCAGCCAGAAGTACTGCAGTTGTTTCTTGATCAAGGTCCATTGTAAGAAGGAGGCGATCTAATCAAAACGTGAACTCATTCAAAAACTGAGGAAAATTGATCGTGTATGGAGGACATCAATTTTGTGCAACTGAAAACTATCAGTCAAAAAAGTGATCAAGATTGATCGTGTATTTCAGGCTTTATAGATAGTTTTCTTATTTTGTCTTGATTTTCCCAATTAAAAGGTAGATAGTACTTGTTGTATCCGCGCGAGTAAAGACAAAATATAAGAGGCGTGTTGATGTCAAATATATATGTTATTGACAATATCAAGAATAGCTATTCAGGGCGAGATAGAGCTCTAAGTAAAAGCAACTTTTCCTCAAATTAATTAAAGGAATAAATCAATGGAGCAGAGAAACAATATAGAACGAACAAAAACAATTATATTTAATGGTGTTCTAAAAACAGACTAGAAATTCCGCATACTTTCAAAACTTCATCCAATTGGGTTTCTGAGGAACTTTACCGCTCTTAGTGTAGGCTAAAAGACCATAAAATTTTGAATTTTCAATTTCTTGTAGCTTTTAGCAAGTTTCTATTGTAGATTATGTAATTCTTTTAATTTCAGACCGAAGAAGAATCCCAATTCAAACTGGAGTACTTTGATACTTTGCTAGAAGATTTGCTGGATAGAGATTTTGTTAGGTGCTTTGGAGAAGAAAGTTCGCACGTGAGACTTTACTTTTATGTTAATAAATATAAACAAATTGCTGTGATTTTGAATTATTTTGCCTTGCAAAATAAACTTTTGAACTCATTCTTTTTTGTTCCTGTAGATAGGAAGAGGCAAAATATCATAAAATCGCACAAAATCGATCGATTTCTAAATAACAAAAATTGCTAATTAAATTTGAATTTTTAATTAATAAAGCCAAGGAATTTAAAATGATTATTGTTTTTCAAAATCATTGAAATTCTAAATCACTCGATATTAATACTCAGAAGTTTGTTGTACTTCTTTTAAAAGCATTTATGATTATGTAAAGCAGAGCCATGCAATAACCTAGATGTTTCTAAACCCACAGAAACCAACATAGCGAAACAACAACTTATATTCTTTGAATCATTGATTTTGTTGAAAGATATTTTTGATCTCTTTCTACTTTCAAATTTAACTTAATACTACAGAGTGAATTGCTGACGGGGACGCAAAAGATGATATTCTGGTCAATATTCAGCAACATGCCAAAACTGGTCGACTGCTTCTGGGAACACGAAAGCGACAAAGCAGTTGAAAATGCTGTTATCATATTCCGGGTAGCAAAATCCCTCAGCAATTATACTGTCTTAAGTGAAACTGCAAGAAAAAGTTTCAAGAGCCTTTCTGAGTAAGTTATCATACTCATGGCATCAGACTCAAATCGTAGGCTTTTCTTTCAACAAAATACAGGTTCAAGTGGAACCATTGCAAGGAAGCTTGTATCAGACATGTCGAATTTTTAAGTTTTCATCAACGTTTGCTTTGTTGACTTTTAGAAATGTTTCAATTCCTGTTGAAAAGAATAAACATTTCTTAAAGAGCTAACAAAACTCAAAAGACAAACAGTCACATCGTAGATCTGACCTTTGAAATTTGAATAAAACATATTTAGATTAAAAAAATCAACTTTATCTCTGATTTTCTAGGGAATATGAAAAGCGAGCGGTCGATGTTTTGACATGCTATTACCAGAGCGACACTGAAGCTGCCATTGATATCGTTAAAAGACAAATCCCATTATGGGGTAATAAGAGCATCTTAACCATTGCTGCTAACAGTGGTTCTCGAGAAATTGTGTCACACTCGTCTTGTCAGGAATATCTTACCGATGTATGGAATGGAAAGGTAAGTCCAAATCACATCTGCATCGAGTTTGAAGTGATAAGAAAAAAGAACTGTATGTTGATACACTGTACTTCTCGATGGTGAATATTCTGTTCAACCATTGTGGTTTGAGAGTTTTTTTCAAATATTCATCAAAATTGTATTGATAAAATTAGATTAAGCCATAGCATAAGTTCAAGTTCAATGAATCTTTGTATTGTCAAAAGTTTTCTAAGTTTTCTTATATCTTTAAGCTAGGATTTTAAATAAATAAAAAAAATAATCTTTAAATAAAACATGTATTGATATTATATGACATCGATAAAAGTCTAAATTCTATCATATCTACATGAAAAAAAGACTAAAGAAGACAGCCAAATAAGAGACAACGAAGAAGAAGAGAAAAAGGAAGACAACAAAAGGAAAGGCATTGTCCAAAATGACGAAATTGAAAAACAGACCTGTTTAAAATTGTTCAGATTCTTGTTTCTCGTGCCTAAGGGGAAGCTTTTTCTTTATGAGGTATTTATTTCGGGCAGTGTATTATAAATAAAACTATCAAATAGAATTTATGGCTTACTGGGAATCTTCCAAGGAACATTCTTTCGAAATATAACAATATAAGGAGAGTTTTTTGTCACTAATTTGGGTATAATAGGGATGATTGTTTTCAAATGTTTCCTGATTAAATATTTTTGAACGCTGCAATGGATTTTTATGTAATTTTGTTCACAGCCTGAATGGTTTACAGCACGGATTGTGAATAGAAATAAGACACTCTGATACATAGCCAGCTAACATTTAGTGAATTATCTCATATTGCTTATGTTAAGTAATTTGTTTCCTTAGTGAATTAACGATTTGCCTTAAATATTTATGTTACAGTTGATGTTCACAATATTCTTGGGATGCTTCTCCTTTATCGTCCTCGTGAAGAAAGGCAAATACCATGATCCGTTGAGGTTCACTGTATTTACAATTGTTACAGCCTTGGCTATTGACGAAATCCGGGAGGTAAGTTGCAGCTCATATAGTTAATGTTCAAATTTGTCTCTGCTGACAAATTTTACTCATATTGGTCTGGGCGCAGAAGTGTTTTCCTACCACTATTTGCTGACTTTTTTATAAATGCATTCTCTTTCAGGTTTTGGAGATCAAAAAGGATACAATGTGTTTGAAGCTTAAAGAATGGATGAAGAGTATTTGGAACAGGCTGGATGTGATTGCCCTCATTCTTTCTTATGTTGGTTTTGCATTTGGGTTCTATCATCACAGAACAGCAGAAAGATCCATGATGGCTGTCGATCTTGTGCTATGGGTTATAAAATTTGCACAATTTTACAGAATGTTCTACTCTCTTGGACCATATCTTATCATGATTTATAAAATGGTAAGATGATTTCAAACTTGTATTTATAAATATTTAACAAAGAAATACAACTAATAAGTTATGATTTAAGTTCATTACAATATTTATGGTACGAATGCATAGTAAGTAGATATTCTCGAGCCCAAAACATAATGAATTAATTAATTTCATATCGAAAGAAACAAAAATATCATCTTGAATAACTTTATTTGCATTCAACATTAATTCATTATTTCACCTTTATGTAGTGTCACAAAGTGTTTGATGCAATATTGACAAACCTGTAAATGATTTTGGCTCGTAAATTCTTTAGTTACCATTGTTAATCTAACCTCTTTTCTGTCAAGATATTCCATATGGCTGGATTCTTCTTGGTACTTGTCATTGCTGTCATTGCATATGGAATCTTTATGCACACACTCTTGTTCCCGGATGTAACGGTTTCCTGGAAAATTTTGTTTCAAGTCCTGTTCAGACCTTACTTACTTGCATTTGGAGAGCTTGGAGTGGAAAAACACGATCGTATGTTTAATATTTCTTTATTTTAATATCTTTATAAATAGCAATATCGAAACAGTGATGCAAATTTTTCTGTCCCAGTGATAATTGCCTATGTCTTCATTATTTCCTGTGGCTCATGCTACTTTGAAATAGGCTATTTTAAACTCGTCTATGCATACATAAGTATTTAAACAAGGATTTTTATGAAAAAGTCTTTTTTGAAAAATTTATATGCAAGTTTTAACTCACGGTTCGTTAACCAAAGATATCAAAGAGAAAATAATCAAAGATACATCACTGTAAAATTTCGGACATTGAACATTTGGAAAAATGCACAGTTCGCAAAATTTTCAAGAAAGAAGTATGTTTGCCTAAGATTACTTGATGAATTATCCTCCAAATAATGTTTATAGTTAAGAACCAAGGTATAAGATTGATTATTCTCAATTATCATGTCATCTTGTCATCTTTTAAATTTAGTCCTAAATTATTTTCTAAGATTTTCCAAATTCAAAATCTTTTTGCCCAAAATATTCTGTCTGTGAGAATTAAACTTAGCAAATTATGCTGTACGAAGTTTTTGTGATTTATGTACTAAGTTGCCTGTTTAATTTATCGTTCAAATTGATTTTCAGTCACCAAGGGAGAAACAATTTATGGGACACCAAAAGTTAGCGAATCCACGGAGTTAATTGTTGTCATTGGAATGTGCCTTTACCTTTTGTTGGCGAATGTTCTCTTGATAAACATGCTAATCGCAGTCTTTAAGTAAGTAATCACATTTCATAATTTGCAGACTATCGATGAGTTACATGATGGCAAAAACATATGGTAAAACACAGGCTGCCTAAGTTAAAATGTAAATACTATTATAATTATCTTATAATCAATATCAAATACTATTGAATATATTACTGTTATAATTTTATAGTAACAATTTTTAATTATATTTGTTAGATGCTTAATCGACTGTCTCATTTGCTTTCTACTAAAATATTGATTATGTTGGCGATTTGACATGGTGGTTTTAGTTACAAATATTTTTTTGGTTTTCTTTGCATTTGTTTTATTCAATTTTGTTCACAATATACATGAATATTTTCATTCCTGCTAGCAATATATATGAAGATATCAAAGAAAATTCGGACAAAATATGGCGATTCGATAAGACGACTTGATTATGGAGTTCGAGAGGAAACCAACTGCACCAATTCCTTTCTCGATAATTCCAAACATCATCCGGATTGTTTGGGCATTATTCGGAAAAAAGTCAAACACTGCAGAAGGTACAGTAGCAAATATACCCCAATATTTTTGACAAGTGGTAATAATTTTATCCCAATACTTCTGGCAACATGTTATTATCATATCTTAATACATTTAGCATGATGTGATAATTATATCCCAAGATTTTTGACAAAATGTCATACAGCAAATTTTACGTCGTATTTGATACTAAGAGTTAATTGAAATATGGCAGATAAAGAAATGATGAGATTGAACATTGAAATGTGATTTGGTTATGGAGTAGTCTACTGAGTGCCAATGTTTAGCAAGCATGTGAAAAACAAGGCATAGCGATCATATCACCAACAATGGTGGTTTGTTTCGCTTTCACATGGGATCAAAGCAACAGCTTATGAACACGATTTCTTTTTTTTAGGTGCAGCACGTGATGCACCTAGATATTCAGGCCAATTGCGCGTTTGCACTTGTTGTAGCGAAAAATGTAAGCTAGGTTGCAATATTTACTTATTACGGGTTATTTATCTCGACATATTTTTATTCATTAATTATGTTATTATGTTATGTATTTTTTTGATGTTATTATGTTTTTTGCCTTGATCAGTGGTTTGAATTTGTCTTCAGTAGCGGAAGTCAATTACTTTATGTTACAGAGAAATATTTTGAAGCTAAGATGTGCAAGATAAATAATCTTTCGTTAAATGAGTTAGTCCTGTCATTGTGGTCACATGATATTTGCATTGGATTATTTCTGAATGAATAAGCCATTGGCTCATTAATCAGGTGTTTTTTATTTGTTAATCTTCCTAACAAAATTCTAATGTATTCTCTAGGCATTACTTTGATTCCTGATCAAATAAATTTAGAGGAACCTTTCAGTAAGTTACTTGAATCTTTTTCGTGCATTGACTAATTTTTCTAGCTTTTTTAAATTAACTTGACCTGTTGAACTTTTGTTGTTGATGGGAATTTTTTGCCGACAATCCATAATCCTTAAGCTATACACGGATGAAATTTGTCACTGGAAAAAATTTGATTTTTCATTTATTCGTTTTCTTGTGTACTTATAATTTTCATCTGGATATCAAATGTCTGCTTACATTTAGTCGTCATCTAACAATTTTATTGTAAGTGTGTAAAATCTTTAAAATTGTCGATAATTCGAAATCATATTTGTTTACAGACAATAGTGAAGATTTGCAAGACTTTCAATCAAAATGCATGTGGGATTACCTCAGAGAAAGTAGTCAAAAAGCATCGCTTAGTGAAGATGTTTCTTCAATTGTCAAAAGGTAAGCCAAATTTCAAAAGCAACACTGAGATTAAGAATGGGTTAAAAAACGACTCCAACAAATTGATTCTGAGTTTTTATAGCAAAGTACGGAAACTAATGAGAAAGAAGCAAAGAAAATATCAAAATATATTAAAAACGGCCTTTTCATCTCATTGCATTATTTGTATTTTCCGTAAAACTTTTACACTGTAACTTCAACAATTGTAATGCTAATTTTTTCGAAAATACTCAAGCTTTTCAACTTTAGCGTTAATTCTTTCGGCCTATATTGCAATTATTAAGACTCATCTCGCTGGCTATTTAAATTTTCTGTTGAACTACACAGTAGCCCTTTTGTTACTTATCCACAGCAATGCAGGCCTAGTTCAGAATGTCTTCTCGATCATAAAGCCCCGATCAAACGATCCATCATTTCACCCAACAATTCACCATCATTTCACCCAACAATACCATGTTGGGTGAAATGTTGGATAGTTTGACATGGTATGTTGGTTCATCCAACATCGTTACTTTTGATGTTGGATGAAATTTTATTGCAGTGAAAAATGTTGGCTGTCGACATGCAAATATTCTATTGTTTTGCAATGTTTGTTGAAATTTTGGACCGTTTGACCACCTCAACCAACATTGACGGCTGTACGCACGCGCAGTTGGTTAAAGATTTTTCATAGCAAGCGTCAAATTCAATCATCGCTTTTTCGGATCGGAATTTAACACATTTTTCTGTACAGTCTTTGGCTTGACCTTTTTCCATGGCTTTTTTTTATTCGACAAGAAAATGCTAGGCGAAATGTTGCGTCAAATGTTTGATCATTTGACTAGGGCTTAATCGGGCTGCAAAGTCCACTGTTAACTCAGAACGGTTGACTGACGGCAGATAGTGCTTTCAGGATATCTGGTTGAACAAAATGTCTAAGGTGTAAATAGTGCAAGAATAAAGGTGCGCTTTTGCAACAAGCCAACACTTCAAACATAGATTATCCCTATCATTCAATAGGAGTGCAGGATAACAATCAAAATATTTCATTCATTTTCATTTTATAATATTTATACAGGTTAAAGGTTCATACATATGTTTTTCAACCTGACCTGTTTAAAAGAATAAAATAAGAGCTAATAACTATGTTAAAATACTAGTAACAAAAGAAATTTACCAATTAAACCTAATTTACAATATTTAATAATACTAAGGCTATAAAAAGTGAACGTAAACAGAAAAAGTTTACGATTTCTGATACAAAAACCCAACTATCGAAAACCTATTTAATGTTGTTCAGCAGAAGATATGAAATTAACTTCTCGTTATAGGAAATGGGACATTATACCATATATTTGTTGAACTATTTATGCAAAGCTGTGATTCTATTTATTACTATTTATGAACTATTTATGAAATATAATCTACCCAGCTAAGTAAACAAACAATATAATGTGATTAAGGCCCTCTTTGCAGCTAATAAAACATAACGATATCTCTCAGCAAAACATATGATGCTTGACAGCTCCTTAATTAGAATGCTCATCACAGCTTTGCATAAATAGTTCAACAAATATATGGTATAATGTCCCATTTCCTATAACGAGAAGTTAAATTCATATCTTCTGCTGAACAACATTAAATAGGTTTTCGATAGTTGGGTTTTTGTATCAGAAATCGTAAACTTTTTCTGTTAGCGGAAAGAAAGTGACAATATCAAATTGATGTAAATAAAATTCCTTTCTAAACAGTGAATGGGCTTTATCATGTGAATCATTTTTGACATTATTGATAACATTATCTTCTCAATAACCATTCAACGAACTACATAACATAACCAGGCTTCTCTTAATGGTGTTCTAATTTCTTTTGGCTGTTTCTTCTTTTACCATTGGAAATTTTAAACTTTTTAGATCTGACCAGCTCGCAAATGATATGATCGAGTTCAATGAAAGACTGGACAATTGCTTCGAGATTCTAATGAAACTTGATCGAGGAAATAGAAATGGTGGATCTAGCTGAATTGTCACGTATATTATTCTATTTAACTAAAGAAACTGCTTTCATTTTATGTAGCATTTATTTTCGTTGCTGATTTGCCATGAAGCTAACAATGATATTTTAAGATATGTCAAACAATTTTTCGCTGTCATTGCTGTCGTAGATTATTCTACTTTTTTAATTGTAACCTGTACTATTAAGTTTAATGTTTTATTTCATATTTGTACCTTGCTCATACAAAGGCAAGGTGATCTTGATAAAAAACTTTTGATTAAAGCTGCTTTTTAGTACACGTATTCGCTTTTTCTACGTTATTTTTTCTATTCTGATGCTTAAAATTTATTCTACTATCAATCTTGCACTATTTCCTTGATCATATGAATTTGATTATTTCGGATTATTTGTAGATGTCAGTAGAAAAAAATTTAAATAAAGATGCAATTGAAGCATTCCTATTTTTTATACCTACAAAAAAACGGTCTTTTACCTCAGTTGAATTCTTTTATGTCACCTTTTACAAAGACGACGTTGATGTTTCAATTTGTGATTTACCCTTATATATAAAAATCCCCATTTAAGGTCTTTCTGAAAAAACGACTCAAAAAGCATCAGTTGCCCACGAGATAGATATTTAAAAATATATTCATACTGTAGCAATCGCCCAAATATCAAGGTAAAGATGAAATTTTACTTCAAGATTAAACACATTTATTTAAAGTTTGCGTCTAGTAACGATACATACCCGAGCCTTGTACGATAAACAAAATAAAACGATAAGAAGCAACAAATGGAAGAGAGGGTTACCTTTTCTAAACTTTTTCCTGCCAAGTATCTTGATGGAAATTAATCAGGTTTATTTTCGTCTATAAGACGCCCAGTGAAATAGAAAATAAACAAATATATTAAGGTGCTAGGCTTTTTTATTTAAGTTCACAGTCTAAGTTGAGTCTGTAAAACTTAAAATGTAAGCAGACATTTTTTTGAATGGAGGAAATCTCCGCGAGAGTATTATTTGATTGGTAATGGTTTAACTTCGAATTTACATCTCGATCAGGAATCACTTAGAGAGCTAGTCAAAGAGCCTTTGTTTCATCGCGTCAATGGAGAACGAGCATTATGAAAATATATTTGGCTTCCTTGTCTCCTGTCTGTAGTATCACAAGTTGGGTTTTAATCTACCTCCATTCAGTAATAGAAGCTTAAAAGCAACTCTGTAGACATTATTACGATTCAATTCGATTCATCGCATGATCAATTATGATCATATGATAGTGATCAATTTGAACTCTGCACACCGTTACATATCAACTTTAGGAATATACATTCTGCAGTTAATATGTTACCGCTTTAGATTATACATTTATCTCAAATGGCCTAAACTCACAACATTCCATCATCTACAGTATCGCATGTAAATTTTTGTCTCTCCACGAGAATTATAAAGTATTGTTAGGTAGAAAACATCTATACAAAACCGAAAAACGCGGCTAAACATATGATTTGGTCGAATGAAAAGAGCCATTCATATTCAGCAGCAGGCAGTACACATAAAACACAATAATCCAAATAAGAAACTAATTTTTTTAGACTAGATTCTTGTGAATATTTGTTTTATAGGATGAAAAAAATAGAAAGACCATACTAATAAGAAATGACAATTTTACGCTTTAGTAGAAAAATAAGCCTTTTCAAAGTAATGTTTTACTTTCAATAAACTGAAAACTAGTTTGTTCCTCAGTTTTTCAATTGTCCGACAAAAACTCTCAAAGTGAGTCTAGTAGTTTCAAATGATGAAATCAAATTAAGAAATTTTTGCCAATTTTTTACCCACACACTAATATCCTCTTTTTAATGTAAATCTTATGTAATTTAATGTAGTGTAAGACTTTTTGCCTTCTCATTAAGTGTTGCTATTGTCTACATTAGTTTAAACTTAGCATTAGTAAAGGAGAAGTTCCTCTGCAAGTGCATGTTATTGTAAGAAAAAAAAGTATCTCCAGAAAGTATTTTATTTTTCTAGATCAGTAAATTGCTTTCGTTTCCATTCAAGTAACACGCAAATTAACTTTTGAAGCGTTTGTCGACGCTGCATGTGAATTCTCTTGCTGATTGGAATTGTCCTCTTATTAAAAGGTTTTATTCCTTCTTTCAGTCAGTTCCAAGCTACGCAGCATTTCTCTTGCTTTCTCGCAAAGTAAGAAATTAATTTCTACATAATTAATTTATGTTCAAGATATTAAATAAAATCTCGTTATCTGAGCAAAATTCTAGTTATTTTAAGTGTTTTGCTAGAATCCAGTAGTTTGACGCACTTGTTATTCTTGCAAAGATACAAAAACATATAGGGAAATCTTGACCTAATTTTGAAGACCGAAAAATATGACACGAAAATGGAGTCCAAGAAATGCTATGTACCAGAAGTGAACAGATACAGTTTTTGATACAGATTCTAGATCAAATTTTATGTTTTATCCTTGTAGTGATGACTTATACAATTACAACTTCATAAAGACATTGTGAAAATTTTTATTTAGTGTTTGAAACAAGAAAAAGGCAAGAAATAATTTTCAGATATTTTTCCAAAAAATTTCAAATTTTTGGTGCTTATGCTTACGTTGTAGATGACAAAACAATTCCTAGCGACCATGAATGCAAAATTTACACTGCATTACATTTTAACATATATGGCATCTGAGAACTGACTGAAGGTAACAAAGTCAAATTATCTGTTATCATCTTGACAGATTGAATCCAATTGGCAATACCACAATGTTTGCAACAACAAATATGAAAAACCTATTTCAGCAATCGTGCTTTCCTTCTAATTGGCAGTCTACTTTTATTCTAACAATCAAATGCTAATGTGCGAGTACAATTAATGAACCAATAGGATTACGTCTGCAATTCTCGGAGTCGTTATTATGTCACTTTTCCTGAACAAGATAAAAAGAAGTTTTTAAGCTAAAGTATTTAAAATATTGGCTATAAAATAAATTCTTTTGTGTACTGCTTTTCTGTTAGTATGTTGTGAAATATACAAGGAGTACATCTTTAATAACTTGTTTTAATATATAAGAAGTACTATGTTGTGAAATGTTTGATTTTTTTCAAAGCCATTTTTATTTTTTGTACCGTCAAATAATTTTTAGCTGAAAAGAAGGCAAAAATTTAAGAAAACTTTATTTAGAGGAGGTCTTCTTTATTTCATTCTTTATAACTCGTAGAGGAAAATTAATTGAAATTTTTTACAATTTAAAATATTTTCTATCACCAATCGCAAAATTTTTGATAAGAAATTCTGATCGACTGTAACTTTTTAAGATTTTAGGAAGAAGGTGCAGAGTTGGGTTAAAAAACATCTGGAAATTGATCTAAATTGTGAAGCCCTTTCAGAGATCAGTGGCGCAGAATTGAAAAATTTTTCAAAACATGTGTCTAATAAAATTTATTCTCTTATTTAGAAGATTCTGTGTTCACAGTAACAAAAATATTCACAGTTTGTAGAAAAGTTTAACTTACAATTACGGAACAATTGACTACATGGATCGTTTGCACCCAAAAGCTCCATTGTGTTTTGACAGTGACATATATTTACAACACTTTAGCCTTTCTGGAAATCATATGATTGAAACCTTCAACCCTCCGTACTAGGTAGTACAGTCAAATAACAACAATAGATTTGTGATTAAATTATCAAGGCTTTAAAAACACATACTCTTTACCAACCGTGCAAAAGCCACAACAGTAGCATCAATATTTATCAATACCTTCTGGTTTACAGAATTAGGTAAACTTCAAATATCCCTAGTAACCTAAATAAATTTTGAGCAATTATATTCTATTAATTTTACTTTATGGCAATCTATTTGTAGTTTTAATTTTAATTGTAATCTTGCGAAGAAAGTTACATCATAAGTGATCTTTGAAAAACTGAAAACATACTGTAAACTAAACATTTAACTCTTGTTAGTCACTAACTACAAGTGCTTTTAATAGCTAAGAACGCTGTTATTCTTTGGAAATGGTACATTTTTCGTATTCTTTATTTCTGTTATTGCTTTTTGCAGCATTGATAATTTGGTCAACTACTTATCATTCTCTCTGAAATTATGTCACGAGGCCAGCAAAAAAATTCAATCGACTTTTTCAATGTACTGGTGTGGGTTTTCATATTATCAACAATCAGGAAAAAATCAGGAAAAAAGGCAAAAAAATGCTTTTGGGGAGATTAGTGCTAAATACACATAACTATCTGTAGAAGACTCATGAACAACAATTTCATCGTGCTAGAAAAGGAGATGTTGAAATTGTTTAAGTATATGATCTTCAAGGACAAAGCTCTATTGGTTTTTTGCCCTGATTGGAATAATTGAGCTTATTTTACATAGAATTATTCAGGTCTGCCATGAATATAAGATACCGTTGTATTTACATTACAATTTATTTTCGAACGATTAAAGTCAAAGCAAACAAAGTGAAAATCCAAAGTAAGCATTGGAAATTCGATTGTAGATTGAATATTACATATAAGCTGTAAAATGTCCTAGAAATTGTTCGAGCTATACAGAAATGAATCGAACTATTAAACATTTCCACCTTACTTGAAAAAAGCTAATTAACAAAAGATTTTAGCAGTAATCTTCGACAGATGCTTTTAATGCTTGTTTTCTAAGCTTCAAAATGTTAATTGATCCTTGCCATAAAATCTTCTGAACTTGCTTCGTAGTAAAACGTTGTTGTTGATGGAATTGAAAAAGACTGCTGTCGAAAAACTTGTTACTTTCTTGTTTACTTCCTTCGTCCGAAGCCTAAAAATTGATTAAAAATTGACTGAAAATGGGCTTCAGAAGTAAAACTTTACACCCCCAACTTAAAAAAGGTATATTCAGGTTAATATGGAGTTGACAGTAGTCATATTAAAAAATGACTCCAAAGACAGTATTTAATGGATCAACCTTGCACTAGATCGTAATATTGATCAGAATTGCAGGGCTGACATTAGGTTTTCAACAAAATCTTTTTTTGATATATGTTTTTGACATATGTCATCCATGTTTTAACATTTTCAACCAAGCCTTAATCTAGATTTTAATCTTCATTTGACTCTTTTTAATGTCAAATCTCTTAAGCCTGAAATACACGATCAATCTTGATCACTTTTTTGACTGATAGTTTTCAGTTGCACAAAATGGATGTCCTCCATACACGATCAGTTTTCCTCAGTTTTTGAATGAGTTCACGTTTTGATTAGATCGGCTTTTTTACAATGGAGCTTGATCAAGAAACAACTGCATTTCTTCTGGCTGCGGCTCTGGTCGTCAAAAAGGGCGAAAATATCGAAAATAGAAAACAAGATCAGTTTGGGTGAAGCCATGGTTGAGTAGGAGGACTAACCTCGGTGTTTACGACACTCTTCTACAAGAATTAAGATCGGAGGATGAAGCAGAATATAGAAAATTTTTGAGAATGACGCCTGAAAATTTTGACGAGTTGTTGGAGCTTCCTTCCACGCTTTTATGAATTTATCTGTATTAACAACTTTCTTCGCCATCTTTAAATTGCACTTATTCACGCTGCTCTAAAAAAATTGGCACCTTGCGCATGGAGTCTACATCAATGAATAGAAATCCTAACAGTTGAAAACTGACGAAGTTGGACGTGTTCAACTTTTGCTGTCAAAAGCTGAAGATCATAGATCATTAATACATCATTTTTTATCTGTTTTTGCTAAATACAGGATCAGTTTTCGACTGAAAACTGAAAACTTTCAGTTAAAAACTGATAAAAACTGATCGCGTATTTCAGGCTTTAAGAGCAAAATAAACAAGTGACAAACAATTTGCTATTCGTTTTAGTACCGCTTCCTCTCTGACTGCGGAAAAAAAATTGCACTGACCCATGACTTTCTCGCAATGATATCCATAGAATGGAAGTATACAGTAACAGCTATATCCACCATTTGTATTATGACAGATGCCTCCATTTTGACAGGGACTGTTCAAGCATTCATTTATATCTAGACAATATAAAAATTAAAACTTCTGCTTTAAAGGTCTATCATGAAGAGCTCAATGCTATACAGGTAGAGTTGAAAAACGCTTCGGTGAGTAGAAAAGGGCAGTTCAACCCAGAGATTCACTCTTAATGCGACTATTAGACCACTTATAGACAACATAGAATATAAAACGAAATGGTCTTGGAAAAAACTTTGCAATGGCTTGGTTATCATGAAAACTTTCTTCCCAAGCTTTCCCACTCCAGTAACAAGAGCACATTTTGTTCTAGACCAATCAGCGGGTTTGTTTACAAAATGTCATTAGCCAATCAGCGGCTTCCATTTCGAGCTTGATTTTTCAATATTTCAAATCAAAACACAGTTGCTGTGGAGCAAAACCTACCATCATACTTTTGCTCGGGAAAAAAATTTACGTTTTTCTACGAAGAAGATTTTTTAAACTTACATTCTAGAGTAATTTTTTGGTACGAATCTAGGAGCCCTAAGCAGGAACACAAACGGTTGGTAAAATGTCTGCAGTGAAACATTACCTATTTTCCACCTTGGCCCTACCCCCAAAAATGCCTGGCCCCTAATTTACTCTATATGAAGCTTTTGTTAATCAAACAAGGAAACATTTTAAGATTTTAGTTTCCTGATAGTTTGCGCAAACAAATCACCCAGCTATCACCTGGGAATAATGTATTTTCTTAAAAAAACTAGGCTTTATAATTGCCTATTCCCTCCTCTACACTACAAAATGTGCCCTTGTTCACTCCAGTAGATTTAAAAGAGTGACAAAAGTAGCTAATACGAAAACAATCACCTCAAGTTAAATCTTTTTGCGATTAAAGTTGAAGGATATAAAGAATAAAAAGAGTTAAAACTGTCCAAATCAAAGAATTTTGTCAATTTCTAAATTTGTAGGATCTCAAAAGTTTTAAATAGGTGTTTAGATAGCAACATTTGAGATAGAAGAAGAATTGAACTAAGAGGCTCCTGGTAATCTCCATTTGCAGAAATTAGTGATTATTTTTTCCCACCAAATAGGGAATGTTCTAAAAGTGCAATCTGAAAATGAAGTTTTCGACTTCGGGCATCGAAAATAGAACATGTAAATTTATGCTGAAAGCTTGAATTTGAACAATACTTTTAAAGCCAAGCTGAGCTAGAAGACAAATTTTTGCACTTACCCTTGTTGCATAAAGTCCCCGTCCAGCCAGCATTGCATGTACAGCTAAATCTGTTTTGAAGGTTATTGCAGATTCCATTGACGCATGGATTACTACTGCATTCATTATAGTCTATTGACAGAAGAAAATTTTGTTAACAAAGATTGAATAGTACGCACGACAAAACTAGAGTAAACAGTTATTTCAAACTCATTTGGTGCATGGGCGTCTACTGCATTTATCATAATCTATCAAAGGAAATACATTCCAAGCCATTGCTAGCTATATTTAACATTTTTTTCTGAAATGTAAAAAACGAGACACAATATTTTGAGAATGATATGATATTTTATGATTCAATAGTTTTTAATGTTAGATTTAATAATCAATGAGATAGCAAGTCCTTTTCGCATAATACAAATTTCATGTGACGTTCAAAACGCTTTTTTTGTTTCAATAGCTTTTTCATCGATATTTTACGTAGGATTTTAGAAAACTGGCGCATTAAATCAACTTTTATAACATTTCTTCTGCTTCCCATAGGCTTGTAAGTTGATATTTTGTATAAATTTAAAGAAATCTCAATTATGTTATTTCAACTTGAACTACTTTGCCAGGCCATATAAGAGACAAATTTCGAACTTACCATGATTACACAAAGACCCAATCCAGCCAGCACTGCACGTACAGCTAAATCTGTTTTGAAGGTTATTGCAAATTCCATAGATGCACGGGTTACTACTGCATTCATTGATGTCTATTTACACAAAATATTTCTGTTACAAAAGATAAAGCAAAGATTTTTTAAGGTTTATTCAATCGGAATTTATTGATTTGAAAATACGTTATTTCTTACCCGAAAAACATCTTTTACCAGCCCATCCAGGATTGCAAGTACAGCTAAAGTGGTTTTCGAGATTGTTGCAGATTCCGTAACCACATGGGTTACTTGCACATTCGTTGATATCTAAAGATTTGAGAAATGGTCAATGTCAAGTTTTTCCAACCAATCTTCTCAATAATAAAATCGGGCTTCGGAAAATTTAGAAATGCTTTGAAAAATTAAATATTTCAAATCATATTTAAGCAGTTCGCTCAGGCCTGTTGAGCGACAGAATGTTGAGCAAGGTAATGTGGGCAAGTCAAACTAGTCGACGGACAGGCAATTTAGAGTTAACGAGAAAGATAATAACTTAGGATATAAAAGACAAGAGAAATCCTCTATTTAGCTTTAGATAAATATGGAACGCAAAATAATTCCCAAACAATCATTTGGTGGTATAAAACGCAAAATCGCTTTGAAAAAAGCCAACATTTTGAAACCTGTTCTCGATTTATGTTCTCTAACATGTTTGAGTAAATAGCTTTAGTAACATGTTTAGAAATGTTTGAGTTATTCAAAGCCATTTTTAAAATATTTTTCCTTTCATAGACAAAAACAGTACTTGCTGCATCCATAACTTACCTTGGTTGCATGTTATCCCTACCCAACCAGCGTTACATGTGCAGCTAAAGCTATTCAGAAGGTCTCTGCATATTCCATTTGGACATGGATTGCTGCTGCATTCATTGTAATCTGATAATCATCGAATAGATAAAAAGTCATCAAGTCACATCAACCAAACCATGTGAATCAAATTCCATTACGTTTCAGAAAATCATTACAATTCATGTTACTGCCCAACACTACAGAGTGATCGAAAGACACAGGAATCAGTCAGTCAGTCGTTAACTAAATATATTTGCATGATAATGTGAACCAATTCAGGCCTACTTTGCACGAGCAGCTGTAGCTTGACAGTAAGTACACGTCCATACCTAAACGGGCTACAGAAAAACCTATCGCAATCTGCATACAAGTGAAAAGATATTAATTGCCAAGAAGTCCATAGGGTCTGGGAATCAACAAACAAAAGGAAATTTTCACAAGCAGCAGTAATATCAAGATTCAAGCATCGTTAAAAAAGAATTTTCAAATGCTGAGAGATATAAGTGTTACAAAATTTTAAAATGCAAACACTGTGTGTCATAGAAATTAAAACCTAAAAGCAACAACATACCTGTCTCACAATGCTGGCCAACGAAGCCTGGTATACAAACGCACTGAAAACCATTCAGTCTATCAAAACATGCTCCGCCATTGAAGCATGGAAGACTTGTGCATTCATCAATCTCTACAAATTAAAATTCTCGTATTTGAAAATACTCTTTGCCAGGGCATTTTTTAAGAATTTTCCACTAGTGGGGCATTTGAGAAAAGGGCATATAAATAAAGAAAGAATTTACAGATAAACAGGCTTTCAAAAATAGACTTTGTGAATTAGAAAAGAAATCACATAGGAAAAGGAAAAATGAATTGAGATTTGAAACCTGTTCAATGAAGATTTCATCCACAAATATCTTAAATAAAGTAAAAAGTAAAAAAGTCACCCAATCATAAGGGCACTTAAGTGGTGGGGCAAACATATTCCCCACTACTTTATATGTTAAAAATTGCCCTGCTCTTTGCCTAGATGCCTCAGGTCAATCTCTAAGACTTCCTTTAGGTAACTTTTAGCTTCAATATCTTGTTTTTATCTTTAAATTTGTACCATTAAAGAGTAAACAAGCTTTTTATCTGCAAGCAGTTTGCAAAAAAAATTACCGAATGCTTGTCTTTGCATTTAAAGAAACAAAAACACCGAATGATATTTAGATGTGATTTAAAATCCAGGGGTATTTTTCGTTGTTTAAAGTCTACCAAAATGATAAAAAAATAATGTATTTTTGTTCTTTGATGGTATATAGTTGCCGTGGAGTAAACCAAATTCTACAAAAAAATAAGATGCCGATATAAAAAAACGTAAAAATTGTTAAATTTCTGTATTTTCTATATCCTTCTTGACTTGACTCTGTTATTTGTGGCCAGAGACCGAAGATAAATAAAATTATTAAACAATATGAAAGACAGCACAGTACTTATTCATTTATCCGACCAATTTTTTTTGGACTTCAATTACCCAATCCATGAACATGTGAAAAAAAGTCAATCATAAATTTTCAATATTCTAATTTCCATCGATATACTTTGTAAATGACTGTCAGCTACTATTTTTGAGCAAAGAAACGTGATTTGCAAAATTATCTTTGAGTTATCAATAAAAATATAATAACACATTGAAATTGCTTTCAACGAATGATAATATTACCTTGTTCACAATTTTTCGCTGTAAAACCAGGTTGGCAAATGCATCTATAATCATTCTCTTCACTGATACAACTCCCTTGATTTTTGCACGGGTTAGTCAGACATTGATTGTGCTCTGTTGAATTTCAGGAAAAACATGTCAAAAGTTAATGTTCAGTGAAAGAGAGTTGAGCATACCAAAATCGAGATAGAGGGTGGCCCGAAGATTAGGCTAAAGATGAGGCGGGTCATTATGCTAGAGATTAAACATTGAACAGAAAAATAGTGTCCTCTGATGATACATTCAAGGAAATTAATCAATGCAGCCAAGCTTTTTATTGCACAATCTTTAAAGCAACAAACTAAGATTAAATAGGTAGAGGCACGGATCCAGCCAGAAGCCAGACCTTGCAAAGCCTTCAGAAGGAAAACCAAGCTCTTTTTGTGGAAAACGCCCAGGTTTTGTTGAATAAAATCAGCATCACCGATGTTGAAAAGGGGGTCCTTAAATGAAATAGAGCGAACTGACTAACAAAGGGCTTGAAGCCTGAATTCACCTGCAGTGCGCGCGAAGAAAAAACACAAACTGCTGCCTAAACGCGGTAGGATCCAAACAAGGGCCATCCACCTCCCCAGTACAGTTAAAATAGCACAACTCTACTTGGTTGACTCTTTAACGTCGACTTTCTTAGCTAGCAGTTCTTAGACAGGGTTGAAGTAGTTGTAAACTTCCACATTATTGGTCACAACAAGCAGCTGCATAGGTCTGTTGTAAAAAATAGCATAAGTCAACTTGGATTCCTATTGGTTACCTGTACCTCTGAAGAGGCAAACTAGACTTCTGATTTGATAAATATGCCAATATGGAGTCAAAAACATGTGTTATACTTTTCTAGGGAGACCCTAATTTTAATATCGAAATGAACAAAACGAAGGGTCAAGCTACAGTTTGGTTTATTGATTTATAACAGGGCAAAATGATTTTGATAAAATGTTTTGGAATGTTTAATTTACACATAATTTTCACGCTTGGTTAGTCTATATTTTTGTACAATTCAAGTGCCTTCTGATCTATTTGGTTGAATTTATCTCTACTCCAATTTTTACAAATCAAATACTTTTTTGAAAATGATGATATAAAGTACAGGAATGTTTTGACACCTAAATTCAGTCTCTACGAGTGTGTTCTCTTAATTCATCTTTGGCGGCACGTTTCGGGTAATTTGGAAAGCCCTATCGTCGTTCCATCTAGCACCTTTAGAATCTATCTACAAAAGCACAGAAAAATCGCTATTTAGTAGACAGAACCTTAGGACCCCTTTTGTAACATTTTAATAGGCAAGCGGCACAGATTGGGGAACCTCAACACTCACGTGCTCGCGTTTCTGATTGGCCTATTTCAATCCACTACAGGGTATACATTTTTCCTAGCGTAGTGTTTTGATCTTTGTTCAGACATTTTATACTCTGAAGAGTAACGTACAAAAAGCTTTAGTATGTTCTAAAATCATTGCCTTTTTCTAAGCCATTTTTAAAAATTGGAACAACGATTGTTTAAATCATCTTTGTGTGATGACGCTAGTTGTCAGACGCAGACAGCCAAACGATAGGTACTGGCTATGGATTTGAATAATTTTGAAAAAAAACTCTTTTCAAGATGATAGAAATTATACAGATGGAACGAGGAACATTCACAAATTTACATTTCCAACATGAAAGGAGGATCAACAAACCTTTCTGTTTGTCGCAATGTAACCCACTATGTAGACTATCGCAATGGATGCATTCGTAGTAGGGATGGTGACACGTTTCCCTGCAGAGGACGTTACTTGCACACGGATGAAGCCTCTGGCATGATTCTCCAACCTGGTAAAACATGTTTTAGTTACGTTGATGATATTTTTGCGGATATAATTAAGCAGAATTTTACGAGGATTAAAAAAGCGAAGGATCATTATCCTTTCCAGGAACGAGGAATTATTTCTAACAATGTTACGCAGTACTGGAACAAGAAATCTGAAAATCGTAATACCACTAAGCAATAGATTCCCTAATCAATGTAAATAATGCTTAGCATTTTGTCAGTGAATTTTACAGCCATTTTTTACGTTCAATCGGGTGTTGCTCCAATAAAACGCGATTGACGAGCAAAAAATTAATCGAAACAAGTTATAGATTCCATACGTTTGTATGCCAAAACTGCCATATTTTAGTTACATGTCAAAGTTTACAGGGGTGCATAGCATGTATGCTTTTTCTCCCTTATCCTTTTTTATATGATTTTATCAAATACTCTATTGTCTAGTTTTTTAAGATTTACTTTAAAGTGACTAAGAACCAACCTCTGTCTGGTTGTAATCTGTTGACTTGTAAACCCAGCCAGGTCTTTGAACAAGACTACTTCCATTTTCACCAGCAATCTTACTGTTCAGTTCACAAATGGCAGTGACATTCTGTATATTGTATGATTTGCATTTAGGATGCTTTACACATTCCAACGTGCAGTCTCCATCATGGATACCTTGTATTGTTTCCAACAGGCTTCCTTGTAGAGACCAATCAACTTCGAATATCGTGAAATCTGCATGCACCAGGCAAGGAAGGCGAAGAATTAGTCCATTGCATCTCTTGATAGCCATTAAGCAGACCAAAAGCAGTCTTTGAAAATGAATTGAAAAATTCCGTTTGATTCTCCTTAATGATAATAGGTACAGTTGAATGTGTACGTGACTAACAGAATGCAAAAATATTCAACTATCCCCTTTAATAGATTGAAATCTTTACTTTTCTTTTAAAGCTAAGAGAGCTGCAAGCTATTTTCATAACTGTGCTTTACTTTAACAAGTCAAAATTTAAATTGAAAATACCAGTACCTTGCCAGTTGTGTCTTTTTGTCAAAACCCATGTTCTTGTTGACGACTAGAATGAGGAAATAAGGCATTAACCGAAAAACGTCTTGTAAACGCAAAACCTACGAGGCGTGATATAATTGAGGATACAGGAAACTATAGTGAGTTGAATTAAACGATTAAACAACGTTAAACCCTGCCGATACCACTGACTGAAATATCTAGCCAAAAATGTTTGCTAACAGCTTCAAACTCTAACCAGTTTAAATTACATTCTCACCTTTGAGTCGTGGGCAGCTGTTGGCTTCTTATCTTTGGTCTGCTTGCCGAGGAATACCTCAAAAGCTTCATGTGATTTTTAAATATAAAATGATCGAGGAATGAGTTCTATTGGCTCAATAGCTCCACCTAGTTAGTACATATAAATAATAAATGGAAAAATTGACCGTCTTTTTTTGTAAACGGTTTACAGTTGGTACAAAATAAAATTTTTTAATAACCATGAATGTTAATTTTGCTACTGGTATGCCTGTAGCTATTGGTTATTTGACAATTCAGTCAAAAATTTTGATTAATCCTCGATCAATAAAGGAACAGCTATAAGACTTATGACAGCAGGCAAGAACTGTCAGCTACAAATATCTTTACAATCGAATGCACCATTTAAGGCTAAGATTTCCAAATGCCACATAATTCAAAAGTTCCAATTTCCACACTATAAACTTGAAAACGGGAATCTAAGCTAATCTGGAGAACTAAACTTTCCTTGGCAAAGGTTTTTGAAAATATTTTTAAAAGATTGCTTCGAATAACACGAAGTTTAGAAATTTAATAGCTTTCCTTGAGCACATTTCAAGTGAGAAGTAACAATGTTTTGTTGCTAATCTGATATCTAGTTTTTACCACAACTGATTTATTCATTAGCAAAGCGAGATTGATTCATTAGGATATACAAAGAAAGGAGACACACGCCACAAAATTCAATACATACCAGTGGCAACTGTCTTGAAATAGTTTGTGCAATCGCTCTAAGTTGAAAGTCTCATAAGCAGTCAATCCTTAATAAATATTTCATTTGAAATGACCCTTGAATAACCAAAATGATACTTTTAATGAATACCACATGCAATGCAAACTTGTTTCATATCTTTACAATCATGCATGCACATTAAATTGGAATAAATGCACCAGACTGATTCTTATGTTGGTGAATACCAATTAACATCGTCCTAAAACAGACCATGCAGACAATGCAATTCTTATATAGAGAATGTAGAATATGTGCAGAAATTGAACTTGTTCCGTTATGGCACTCGCTCTTTCAAGCTAATGTATTTGAAAGTACAGTAAAAAAATGCATTTTAATAAGGTATCAAATTCTATGCTATTGCTGAAAGCTGGACTTGGTTAGTTTTTAGCTATGTTAAAGCCTACTTTAAAGCAATACATTGAAGAAAATACAATAATCTTCTCCGTTTGTCCTTGAAACTACAATAATTATAAGATGTAACTATCCTTAGCTAACATTATGGCAAACATAGCATGTTTTACTCAAATACACTAACATAGATCATTTGGCTTAAAAAAGACTTCTTTTACAAATTAAAAGGAATATCTGACGTTTGGCTTGAAGTGCCTTCTTCTCGACATTAAAGAGACCCTAAGATACCAATTGCAAACAGCAAATTGGGAAGCAAGAATGCACATAGAGACTCATTTAAGTGTCCTTTTTAGAAAATTGTTGAAGAATTTCTTTTTTGGTCTAATTCCTCTAAATTGGAATGACAGCTGAATATCTTTTTGTGATTTCATAACATGTTTACATATATTGGAAATTCTATTTCACAATGCTGTCACGGAGTTTGCTGCTACACAGGTATTTTCTTTACTTTTTGAATATCTCCTAACTGTCTTATAACTCATAACGGCTAGCCTAGATTTTCATTTTGGCTTAGCAATGACACTCAAAATGATGGTTAATTTGGTCTCTAGGCTGAAATTTATTTAATAGCTTTACATCGCAACAAATGCCTTGTTTAAAAACTGAAGTTAATCTGCAAAATTTAACACATGAAAAAGAAGAAGATTCGAAGAATGTAACAAGGGTGTGCTGTAAACTTGAATGAAAAACAAATGACCGCAGCTTTTCCAAGCTAAATTAGTAAATGCCAGCTCATAATGGCTTATTTTCCATATTCATTTCGGTGTAGACAAATTGAATTAATCATATCATACTGATGCATATTAACTTTTCATAGCTGCGATATTAGCCAATTGTGTAATTTAGCAATATTTGAACCTGCATTAGAAATTCACTTTCAAGTAGCAAAGCTATCAGTTTGTTTGCATAATATGCAAAATACAAATGTGGTTGTTATTGATTTTTGGGCCAGCCTATTTTTGACATTTTGACTGAAGGGAAGAAAATGAATACCCAAAACTACACCATATCATCCTTAAAAAGTGAAACCTTCTAAATTTAATTTGTTTTCAACAATATGCAAGAAACTGTGTTAGCTAGCCTGTTGTAATCACTCAAGGAAATCAACATTCATTGCAATAATATAATAAGCGAAGAAAGCAGTACCAAAAAGAAATAAATCAAGCTATGATTGTAGAGGCGTTTTGAGCATGTAATCGTTATCAAGTGGCTCGAAAAGAAACGAGCTGAGCAAAGAGAAGGCGAATAGGAAACATGCGAAATGTGAGCACTGAAACCGGAGTAGGGAATATGAGGATTAAAAAAATACAGTAAAATATAGTGAAACGAGCTATTGTAGCTAACTCGACAAATAGGAGAAAAAGTGAGAGCGAGAACCGAAACCGGAATAGGAAACACGAGGAGACATCTGTCCTTGCTATGTCAACGCCTCTACAACCTGCAGAGATGTTGGAAGTTGGAGGTATGTCAAAAGTTGGAGAGATTGCTGAAGCTTGTTTTGTAGAGCAAGTAAATTGTTGTCAAAGGCAGACTCAGTCGTCATACGTCAACCGCCATAGAAACCAAAAGTCGCTAGCTGTAGAATAATGATCTGAATCCTAAATTCATGTCTGAGATCTTAGTTTAAAAGAAAATCTCAAATATATTAAGAAGTGGTAATAACTTGCCAGTACCAATACCACACACAAATGCATCAAATGCGTATGCAGGGCCGGTGTAATATGCGTTTCGGTACCCTATGCAAAAGTGTCACATTGTGAAGCGCACTAGGTATGACAGGTCCCTAATATGTGCCAAAGGCACAAACATAATTTTGGGTCATGCCCCGTCTTCGTTCTTGGACGCTCTTGCATTGAATAAAAATTAAAGGTAAAAAAGGCTTCACGTTGCTTTGTAGCGTGGTTAAGATGTTCATATTTTCTTAATTTTTCTAATGAACTTTTGACCTAGGGCCTTTTTTATACAAAATAGGTATAATTCCGACGTTACAAATTATAACAAAAGAATTAGCTACGTCCCAATTAAGAGTGAGTCAACTTCTGAACCTCCTCTTCCTGATATATTTTGCTGAAACTGTTATCCATTAACTTAAAAAACCACTTTATTTTGAATTTGACTTAACTACAGCCATACTGACCTACAGTCCTCTACTGAATTTTCCAGATCATGTCTGCAAACTCCAAGAACGGTGGTCATGCAGCGGGAATCTTGGCATTAATTAGGAAGTTCGACCAAATTTCAGCCCGTAGTTAATTCATTTTGCTGCTCATTGTTTGACATAGTCAACTTTCTTTTTTGTAATATTGCAAATAACTTTCTATAAGAAGCTAACTTACGGCTGTCAGTCGCCGCCAATATATAGAAATCTCAAAGATGCAGGCGATTGAACATTTAAGACTTACAACTTGGAAAACTTTATAAATTGAGCTTGCTATAGCGTTTTTGTAGCCGAAGTATATCTCAAGCTTGGACTGAGCCTAGCTAGTAGCCATCTTAGCTTTCCGAATGCAGCGCTCGTCATATGACGTTTCTAAACACAATACATGATAGAAACGTCACTAACAACACTTTGAACAGTTATTTGCCAAAAGGAAATTGAATTTTGGAAAAACTCTTTTTCGACAATAAATAGTTAGTTTCACTGATGGTAGGTCTGGTTGTTTTACCATAATTTATATTTGAGGCAGAAGTGCTTTCAATAAAAGAAACTTCAAGGATTTACAGTTTTTTGCATACTTAAATGTATTCAGGGCCGCCGAGTTGGGAGATAAGGGGGACTAATTGCCCCATGAATTCTAAGCTCATCTGAAAGGTGTGATAGCAAAAAATTTCTACTCGCTCGCAGGGGTCTCGTCTTCAATTTGCTTCAGGGCCTCAAAACAAGCTGTAGTCCGTTTTGCCGATTCCCCAATAATTAATTTTTTGCGAAAAGGTGCCCATGGATTCACCGAAAAATCGCGATATCCAGAAATATCAGTTTCTGTAAACTTAATTTTCTTTAAACTCTTGCACAACTATTTGTTCTTTCTTACTTATTATTTAGACTGTATATGATAATAAATTTCAATCTTATTAAATATTTAATAAGAGATAGCTTGTCCAAAAGTATAGTTAGACACTATTTTTCTGAACACCACAACCCCCTCATACCCCCACGCTAAGTTGTTTAGGCACATCACTGTAGAAGAGCTCATCGACCTAAAAGCAATTGACCCCGAGTTAAGATTACCAATTCACCAGTTATAATTTTCAAGCATTAAAAAAATTTCTCCTAGTTCTATTGGGAGGTGTAACGACCTCTGTCTTGCGATAAACGGAGAAATTGGTTGCGACAAACTAAATGAGTGCTAATAGACAGGAAATTTTTTAGAAAAAGACTAGCAAGCTGTTTTACCTCAAATTTTAATTTCATATTCAAGCTAAATTGACCAAGGAGATCTCAAAACCAAGAAAGGCCAAACAAAACTAACATCGGAAATTACATGTTTTTGATGACGTCACCAAAAATGATGGAAATTCTTGAAAAATCAGCCAAAGGCTTGACCTCAACTTTGATTGCATTTTTCATTAAACTAACTATGCAAGTTTCAAATCCAAGATGGAATGAAAAACATTTTGAACACAAGTCAAATTTTTTGATGACATCATCAACTGCGAAAAAATTTACTTTCAACCACCGCAAGTGCTTTCTCGCAACTGTTATTGTCAAAAAAATTCCATATTTGCATAGTACACATTCAATGCTTTTGAGGGATGTATAGTATTACTATTTTATTTACTTATAAACATTTTTGCATGATGTTATCATCATTGTATGACGCCATCATCCTATACTGGTGATTGTATACCATAGCAAAGAAAGCTTAAAAAAGTAAACAATAGCAAATCAAAATTAAATTTTGTTTGATCCGAAGTGAAATGGAGACTATTAATCGAAAACACTATCATCTTGACTTTAACTCCTAAAGAAAATGTAGTTCAATTCATCTTTGTCTGACCCAAGCTGATCGCCGATCTTTCCCATGCCTTGATCCACATTGGCTATGGAATCCTCTTTAATTTCATCGCTAGAGCACTGCAGATATTGTTGCTGTTTGGTGATGAATGTCTAGGCCCCAGTTAAATATTTAAAATAAATTGTTTAAACAGAAATTTCGGGACTTTGTTGACCTACTCGAATATTTTTTGCAGATATTTACAGCTTTTTTAACTAAAAAAACGGATATTTTCTGAGTCAGATCGTTGAAATCTTTTTCTCTGTAAATCTTCTCAGAACCATTTTTTATTTATTTATCAAATACATGTATCAGAATTTGAATATAAAAAAAAATTTATTTCTGTACGGTCTAACTCTTTTCTTAACAAGTTTTTCGTGACATTGCTTCTTTATAATGATGTTTTTTGGCATTAGCGAAAAAAACTTCGGTTAATTCCTGCCTCATCCCAATCCGTCGAACAATTTTACCGGTCCACAATTTTACCGGTGCTCTTTCTCTAGCATGTTGAGCGTTGCTCAGTGAAATGTTCAGTTCATTTGACGGGCGTTCAGTTAACAGAGTCATGAAAAGTAATAGCCAGAGAAAGAGCACCATGGCACTGAATAAAGCAAAGAGCAACGCTATGAGCCCTTTAAAAGAATATATTAAGTTCTCAAATCAGGTAAGAATATTGTGATGAAATAAAGTCTACTTTAACAGACGTTAGTCAAGCTAGCTTAGGTGCCTGCTTACTTTAAGATGGTCAGCAATTTTGTTATAGGTACACCACAAGGATTCCATTAATTTCTCTTTGGTAATAGCATCGCGGTTCATTCTGATTGTAAACCTTTGGCATCTATTCAAAAGTAAATTTTCATAACGTTACATCAAGGTTACAAGTCATGTTGCTGAAGCTAGTGACATTTCAGCTGATCATAGTATACAAGCCAGGCTATCAAATGCATATTGCTGATACACTGAGTAGAGCGTTTATCAGAAGCGTATCTACGGAAGATAACTCATTTGGCTTGAATTTTTAGTCATTATTAATACGTTTTCGAACTTTAAAGAATGGACTTGACAAGTTCAAACTGGCTGCACCTGGATTCAAACATCTAACTTATCATGAAGTCTTTCCAAAAAGGCTGACCAAGCAAGAAGAAGTTAACACCTTATATGATGCTTTATTACGATCGCAAAGATGAAATAAAAGAGGCAAATGGTTAATTGTTTTTGTCAAACAAGGTTATGATATCAGAAAAAGACAGAAATTATGCCTAAAAAAGATTGCATCGAGAAACAAAAATGTTTAGTCAGATATATCATCTAACAACCCAACATGTATAGAGAAATCGAGAAGGTTGTGTCAAGATGTGAAATGTGTCAAAATTTCAACGAAACCAGGTAAAAGAACCAAATTCATAAACACAATGTATCAAATGGCCCATGTTAAAAAGTTGGAGCAGATTTATTCGATTTTGCTGAGAAAAACAGCCTTATAGATGTGGACTTTTTTCCAAATACCCAGAAGCTACTAATGTTCGAAGTGTGTGTGCACCTTTAGTTGTTCTAGCAATCAAAATATTTTCTGCACGTCATGTAACTCAACAGGCAGTCGTTGCTGAGAATATGCTCTTCAACTCTTGTGAAATTAGAGAACTTGCTAAGCTATCCTAAATGTTTAAGATACCTAAGGTATCCTAAATGTAAAGGTGAAGCAGAAAGGTATGTAAAGATGATCCTGCAAAGAAGAAGACTCTACACATTGACGAAATATTCACTTGCAATCGCAACACCAGAATAAATGCTAAACAAAACATCTCCTATCGCAACAGTCTTTATACACAACTCCATGGCAACTGTAAATGCAATCCCATCCCTGGACTGCTCTATGATAATCATTGCTAGGGGCATTTACTCCTCCCTCTTCTCTGAATGCAACAAAAGTTCCTGTTGCATTAGAAAATACTGCTGGCGATCAACCGTAATCAGGTAATGAGCAAGAAAGAATCAGCGTTGAGCAGAAAGAAAGGTACACATGGGTAATGAATTCTGAAAGGAAAGCTGTATCAGGACTAATTGAAGAAAAACACGAACAAAGCAGTTTTGATATCGGGATTCAATGACTACAATAACGATCAATGTAAGTAATTAATAATCAATTCAATGACTACGTTGGGAAAGAAACTGTTTAGAAGCAGCTGCATTGCCCTTTGTCTGCAAGAAAAATCGGTTTCAAACTAGTCTTTTTTTATCGTGAATCAATACTAAGCTGATACTAAGCTATTGATAAATACTTTAAAAGTTGAAGGGCCTCTTGTTTTCAAAGCAGTGTGCGCAGATGTTTTAAGTTCAATTGTTTATGCTCATGTTAAGGTGATTCCCGAAAGTATTTGGGTCATGCATAATAAAGCCGAAGGCTTTTTGACACTGACGTACTTTTTGAGCACGTAAGACCTTAAGCATGTTTATGCCTACCAGCATTTTATCCATCACTGGATACGACTCTTTTATCGCACTTCAAATGAAAAATTTCAAATAAAATACTTAAGTAGTCAATCAATTTCACGCATTGGAATCACTCTGACCAAAAAAAAGAAAATTTTTGCGCAAAATTGCCAAAACGCTCATTGACTTCCATGTCAACCATTTACAGATTTCTATGTGCTCTATTGCACTAATGCGTCGAAAAATCATTCTATTGCTCTCAAATGTTTCTCAATAAACTATGTATTAATTTAATCTCAAACCCATGTATCAATAATGAAAAAGTACAATCAAACGATGCAAAAAACGTAAAACTCGGTGTCATATTTGACGAAAAGTTGTCGCACGTAAAGTCTCTGTATCACAAATTAAACAATCTTATAATTTCCAAATGCATCTTTGAAAGCTGCAGTTGTGGTTGTGCATCGACTTCGAGCAATCAATGACGAGATTTATATATTTAAGAACGATATCGCCAATCTGTGCTGTTGAGACAAATTGACCGAATCAAGTCAAATTTTTTTAGGTTTTTAACTGAAACTGTTGCTTTATTAATCAACTGGTAAATTACTTCAAGCTTGAATAAATGAATATACATAGCGCTTCTGAAAATAATAATCCTTAAGTGATAAGAGATTAGAAAGGATTAAGAAGCAAGATGAAGGATGGTGCATAGCAAAGCGTAAAAATTAGTCAGGAATACAGGACGAATTGCTGGAGGAAAATTACTGGTGGCAAGCAATATAAGAATGTGAAACTAGACAAAATGTGCAAATAGACGTGATATTACAAGTCAGCAAACAAAAATGAATAAATAAAATTCTTATTTATCTTTCAAAATAAACATCTTGAAAGCCAATTATGCCTTTGTTACACCTAGATTGACTGATAACAATTCTCTGCTGTATAGGCTAAAAATGTACGAAATGCTGGTTTACAATGTGGCTTAGGCGTAGTTTAGACAGGGCTTTATGGGTGCAGCGAATTAAATTATTGACCATAAAATATTGTGAGTGTCAATTTAATGCGCTCTTAATTCGCTGACTAAAAGTGAAATCGAAGCAAATAATTGAATTTGCTCATAATGCGCTCACTTGGGCGCATTATCAGCGCCTTATGAATCAAAATATGAATCAATTCAATTCGCTTCGCTGTCTTAAAGCAAACAATAAATTGAGCGCATCTACGGGCGCATTTTGAGCGCATCTAATTGAATTTGATTCGCTGCGCCCATAACGCGCTGTCTAAACTATTCCTTAGTATACAAGCTACTTCATTTGAAGCCCTGACAAAAAACACAAATTGTCATGACGGTCGTTTTCCCATTTAACTAGATAATCGGAGTGCTTATTCCTTTCTTTGTTCGTATCATGGACCAAAGAATAAACAAGTTATTGCAAAAGCCTAACTAAAATAGAATGTCTATAGTTACACAAACTAACCAATTTGTCATCGAATATCAAATGCCAGCGAGTTGAACAATCTTAAAAAGACTCATCTACTTAACGCCTGTTTTCTTCAACACTTTTCAAAGATATTGAAATTTTTTACATGTTACATCTCTGCTGTACGCTCGATCAACCTGATCCACAGTATCGATATGAGCAACTAGTTGGTCGCAATTGATAGATGAAGTAATTGCCACAATTAATCACTTTGATACTGTAAACCCAGTTGCAACAATTTCCATTCCATGCAAAGCAAACATCTCTTGCCACTTCTCCTTCTTGTATGGTTGGGTGTTGCCCGTTAAGCCAGCCGCCAGCGTGTGTGCTGCATCGAAAAACTGTGCCAAAGTATTCTGGACAGCTTGTGTGCATAGTCGTCCCTGCCTCACCAGTAAAGCGATACCATTGAGAAGTTACTAGGTTGTTGTCACACCTGAGCTGGTCTCCATAATTGACTATATGATTTATAGACCTTGAGGGATCGGACAGTTCTGCGTATTGTAGACAGGCTCCTTGGTGGACAAATAGAGATTCAATGGTTAAGACAGTAAAATAACCGAATAATCAATTAAATTATGAATTTTCTACATTGCAAACCAAGGACTTCTTCAAAATCTTTCATTCCAAGGATATTTCAAAGAAAACTGTTAGCAATTCGAATTCCGTAAGTATTTAAATAAATAGCTATCAAGCAAATTTAGAATTGCTAAAGCTTGCTTTCAACTTCACAGGGAAAAGCTGACAAGTATAGAAAATTGCATTGTGAAGAACGTTGCAATAATGTCAAGTTTAGTTCGCATACTTTTTGGAAAATGTTCTTCTTTTAATTCAAGAAAGTTTTCGCATGTATAAAACCATTTAAATTTAGTTATAGTGCGTAACGAAAATGTTGTTGTGACCTACCATCCGTGCAGATTTATATAAGTTCCTTATCATAAAAAAGATAAAAGAACACAGTTTGACATGCAATGTGATATCTGCTTTCCCATTAAAGTTTTTCGCAATAATGTACAAATAAGCAATGTCATGATGATTTCAGATTCTTTAAATCTGCAACTTTTCAGTTTTGACAAATTAGGGCTTTTAAGAAGAGACCATTAAATATAAGATAGAGATTTACTACTATCGATACAGGCATTGAAATTCCTAACATTGTTACAAGAATTGGCCCTGCATTGGTCAATATCCATATTTTGAAGGAGAAAATACTGAAAATCATTCGTTCTTTAAACCCTAACAAAGCACACAATTGAGATGAAATCGCAGTATGTATGATAAAGATTAGCAATGATGTTTTGATGGCTCCACTTAAAATGATATTTGAAAGTTGTATCAAAAATGGCAGTTTTCTAGAAATTTGGAAAATGGCCAATATCGTCCCTGTCCATAAAAAAACAGTAAAAATTGAAAACAAAATTATCACCCGATAACACTTTTTCCCATCTTAGTTAGCCAAAATTAAGTCTAACACCCTCCCAAGGGTGTGGCACCAAAATTTATGTCTGACAGCCCCACCCCAATCATTTTTGCTTAAATCCGCCCCTGCCTTTGCATCGTCTGGAATGAGATTGTTTGAAATTTTGAAGAGCAAAGTAAGGCGTCTACTCCACCTAGGAAGACTTAACGATTCCCATCCTAGCTCTGCGCACAACTTCTCTCTATATGACGCATTTGATAGGGTTTGGCATGAAGGTCATAAACTTCGTCGTTGTTGTGTTTCTGGAAACTTACTTTCGCTAATCAAAGACTTCCTTGCAAATCGAAAGCAGCGCACAGTATTAAATGGTAAAACATCGAAATGGAGTTCAGTCACCGCCGCCGTCCCTCAAGGCTCCATCTTAGGTCTATTGTTCTTCCTTGTGTACATCAACGACTTGACGGATAATCCTAAATGTAATGCCAAACTCTTTGCTGATGATACGTCAGACTGCTTCAGACATGAATCGTAATCTTAACATTATCAAAAGCTGGGCACATAATTGGGCGTATGATTTCTGATCCCGATCCACTTTTTTTTAATAAAGAAAATTTCAGCCGTTCATCCACCAGTTCTATTTAATGACATCACAGTCATCAAAATGAATGAATATAGACAAATTGCCATCATGCTTGATTCTAAATTGTCATTTGCCGCTAAAATTCAGTCAATTATGATAAAATGTAGAAACGGAATAGGAATGATAAAATTTCTTTCAAAGTATTTTCCCCGCGACACTTGTTTTATCTGTTTTATCTGTATCAAAGATTGGAAGATAGAACAATGCAACATGTTCCGTCTAATATTAGAAACAAAACTCATCTCCAAAGAGAACAGCCACCTCGATCTTGAAAATCTAAAAATACAGTTAAAACCTGCGATTCTGGTATCGGGTAGCATTTACCGGAAAACCCAGATTGTGCAAAAAAACTATAATGGCAACATATTTTGGATTATTAGTAAAGCCCGATCTTCGTTCCATCTTGCAGTTTTGGAATCTATCTACTAAAGCACGAGAAGCCGCTATTGTGTAGTCAAAAGAAGTTTGTTTTCACCTTAGGACTCCATTGGTGACATTTCCAATAGGTAAGCGGCACTGATTGGTCAACCTCAACAGTCATGTGCTCGCGTTTTTGATTTGCCTATTTTGATCTACAACTGGGTTTATATATTTTCTAGCGTAGATTTTTCGATCTATGTTCTGACGTTTTAAACTCTGAAGAGTGTCAGACGAAAAGCTTTAGTTTATTCAAATGCTGGTTTTTTTTAAAACCATTTTCATGTTTTGTACCACCAAAAGATAGTAAGCTATGTATTTTTTTCGTGATGCAGATGTAGTTGGGCAGATAAGGGTAAGAACGACAAGATTCAAAAACAGCTTTTATCCCGACTGTCCCTCTGAATGGAATAAACTTGACCCAGTGATAAGGTTATCACCCTCTCTAAATATTTTTAGAACAAAATTATCGAAACTTATCCGACCCTCTCCTAAACTAGTATTTGGTATTCATGATCCAAAAGGTCCATGATTCATGCTTCATGATCCATTCTTACTCAGTTACGGGTAGGACTGAGCAAACTATATTATCAAAAATTTAGGCATAACTTTAGAGATACACTCAACCCTTTCCTTTTTGTCCCACAAATGTTGGGGTAGAGGACATGGAACATTTCCTGCTTCTCTGTCATTCGTATAACCTGCTTAGATCTGATCTTGTCAATTGTGTGAATGCAATATTGCTCCCTATTGTTTTTTCATTTCTTTCAAATGAAGCTTTACTCAAATTCATTTGGTAAGGTGACGAGCGATTAACCGTTGACACAAATAAGAAGCTACTTCAGGCAACGCTCAAATTCATTCATGCTTCAGAACGCTTTAAAAAATATTCCATTGCTGCACACTCCTACACTCCTACATTCTACTTTTTGTCTGTTTACTCTGCATTCGTAATTAGTTCACCTAGTTTTAGTTATATTTCTTTCTACTTTGTTTAATATTGTGAGTTTTTATGTTTCGGCCACGGGGTAGTCATTTGCTTTCGCTAGGTTATGCGAAAGAAATATAAACTTTATTGAGATAAAGTAAACTGCAGCCAAAAATGTCAGCAATAATGCAAGAGTGAAAAAAGTGAAGATTTTTGTATATTCGTTCAATCTGTTTTCTGTTTTGACAAGCTACCCCTCATATTAAGAATACAGTATTGATAGGGCAAGGGGAAATCGGTTATTTTAGACTCTTGACTTATGGTGACCGGTAGAAGTAATTGTAACAATACCTGTTTCACAATGAATTCCAGTGTAGCCAGGTGCACATGTACATGCATACCCATTGACCCTATCGTTGCAAGTGCCTCTATTGATGCAAGGATTGCTCAAACACTCATCGATATCTGGAGAGGAAAAGTAATATATGCATCTACGAAAGAATATCATTATTTCTTAATTCAATTCCATTTAAATTTTACCTTTAATGAGCACAAAAAGATTTTTCATAAAATAACGAAACTTGCAATTGTAATAAAGCTCCATTCCAAAGGTGTAAATGGGTATAAATGCGGCTTCCTACGCTTTTAACTGCAAACTGCAACTTAAACTTCACCTTAAAATCAATTTCAATCTTCTGTTTTGACACTAGCACTCCGATCTCTATACTGACTCTAACCTTTAACCCTATCACAAATCTGGCTACAAACCCAATTTTGTAAACATTCCTAACCTACACAAAAATACTTGAAGATAATTTCTTTCATGCAAGAAAGTGCAGCACAACTTTGAGAATCAACTAGAACTATGTCTCTTCCCTCTTGCAGATGTTTGTCAATTCTATTTGATGAAAAGTAAGTTATACAGAAGGCAGGATATCAATAAATTTTCAGCTATAATATCAGTTATAACTTATGGATAAACAGAATGATGATGTTTTTGCATTCTCTCAATCTTATTTCCGTTTTGACAAGCTAGCCGTCATATTAAGAAACCAGTATTGATAGGGCAAGGAGAAATCGGTTATTTTAGACAATTGACTTATGGTGACCGGTAGAAGTAATTGTAATAATACCTGTTTCACAATGAATTCCGGTGTAGCCAGGTGCACATGTACAGGCATACCCATTAACCCTATCGTTGCAAGTGCCTCTATTGATGCAAGGATTGCTCAAACATTCATCGATATCTGAAGAGGAAATGTAATATATGCATCTAAAGAATATCATTATTCCTTAATTCAATTCCGTTTAAATTTTAACTTTAGTGAGCACGAAAGGATTTTTAATAAAGTAACAAAATTTGCAATTGTAATAAAGCTCAATTTCAAAGGTATAAATGGGTATAAATGCGGTTTCCTACGCTTTTGACTTCAACTTAAACTTCACCTTTAACTCCATTATAATCTTTTGTTTTGAGACTAGCACTCCGATCTTTATACTGACTCTAACCTTCAACCCCATCACAAATCTGGCTACAAACCCAATTTTGTAAAAATTCCTAACTTCCTCAAAAAGTACTTGAAGATCATTTCTTTCATGCATGAAAGTGCAGCACAACTTTGAGAATCAATTAGAACTGTGTCTCTTCCCTCTTGCAGATGTTTGTCAATTCCTTTTGATGAAAAGTAAGTTATACAGATAACAGGATATAAATAAATTTTAAGCTATAACATCATTTATAATGCATGGGTAAACAATATGATGATGTTTTTGTATTCTATCAATCATATTTCCTTTTTGACAAGTTAGCCGTCAGATCAAGAAACCAGTATTGATAGGGAAAGGGAAAATCGGTAATTTTACAGAATTAACTTATGGTGACCAATAGCATTAATTGTAACAGTACTTGTTTCACATTGAATTCCGGTGTAACCAGGTGCACAGGTACATGCATACCCATTAACCCTGTCGTTGCAAGTGCCTCCATTGTTGCAAGGATTGCTCGAACACTCATCTATATCTGAAGAAGAAAATTTAAGTTTTGTTGGAGTATTCCAAAATGTAAGTAGTTCAATACAGAGAGCGATAAAAAATGATAATTCTTATAAGTCTGCTACAGGACACACTTAAGACTGGTTTTACTGAAAATCCTAAATTGAGTTCTTTTTAAATGACAATTTATCATTCTTTATCTTCTTTTACGAATCAAATGAATCATAGACGTGTTTTTCTATCACAGAATGATAGAATATCTTAAGGAAGGACAATTAACTACCGAGAATAAGAAACTTGCGAAACAGTGGAGGTAAAAGGCCTGTTTTTAGCCATTGAGATGTAGAAATCCGAAAAAAAATTCAGATCAGGCAATTTGTTAGTTTTTCGCAGCTATTTTCCTGCCAGATCAGGCAATTTGTTAGTTTTTCGCAGCTATTTTCCTGCCAGATCAGGCAATTTGTTAGTTTTTCGCAGCTATTTCCCTGCCTATAGATAGGTATTCTCATGATGTTATTGAATTTGAACAAAAACTTGAATAACTTTGTGAATGTGTTTTTTAATGAATGTTGGATTAACATCTACCCGAATCTCCTGACATGGTTTTCAATAAAGCACTTACTTTCACAAAATGGTCCTATAAAACCATCAATGCAGCTACACAGCGTAGTGCTCATTTCATTGCATGTCCCTCCGTTTTGGCATGGATGACTGGCACATCTGTTGCCTAGTTGCGAAAAGTTACTGAGGCTGAACAGGATTTATTAAAATATACTGACAAAATAGAAAAAGCAATTTGGAACATTGTTAAAAAGTTTTGGTACACTGTTTTATCAGTGCGGTTTAAGCTGGTAAAAACAACAGTCCAGAGCAAGTGACCAACATAAGTTAAAATATTCCCGACAATTTCATCATTCTGTTGTTTGCATGGTTCTTTGCAACATATATCAAATTATAACATGGTTATATCAGTTTGTCTCTGTCACAAATCCAAGTTGAGCGAATCCTCTTGACAATGCTACTTCTAGTGCAGGCAGTAAAGTGCTAAATTTATGCGCTGTAAGTAGATATAAATTGGTAATAAAGAATCTTTGAATCAGGAAAATTTGAGCTAAAACATATAGAAGACGAAAAGATTTTACAACAAAATTTTCAAATGCTCTTCAAAATCTCTGAACTTGAATTTGATATTATCGTAAATTCTCTTTTAAGCCACCTCTCAATTGTTCTCCCACACCAAAAAAAAATTCACTGATGCCGACATAAGAAAACTTTACAAAAATAGATATTTCATTGGTCGTTCAATACTTTGCATCAAATCAAAATTCATGTCTCTTCCAGTCACGACAGATCCAAAGACAAAGATTTGATGTGCATTAAAGTGTCTATGCAGCGAAATTTTACTCCCTGCTTTTTTTATAAGTTATATTTTCCTATCTTTTCCGATACGTTTGACAACAAAATTGTCATAATTTGACCAGCAAAAGTGTGTTTAATCAGAGTTTGAAATTAGGTGGTACTTGCGAAAATCAAGGCAAGTTTGTGACGTCACAGTGATGAGTCGGGTAGACAGCAATCAGGAAACTGCGGTTGTACAGAATACAATTCCTGCCAAAAGTACTTGGAGCACCCACCAATTTACGCTGCATTTGATATCTTTCATTCCTTCCATGAAAAAAAATTGCTACTTCCGCCCCCTTCTTCCTCAAACAATGTTGATGATTTAGGGAAATATCATAAAAGAAGCGCAAAAGAAAGTGCCTCCTAAAATCCTAACCCGTTTGATAGTAAGCCAACATTGTTCCGTGGGGGAGAGGGGGATGATTGGTTTTGAGCTTGGAAATTGATGTCAGTGTTCCAAGACTTTTGGCAGGCATTGTAGGTTTTGGTGAGGGAGATATGTAGAAGAATTGTGCAAATTGTGATACAAGCACCAAAATTTTAGAATACACCAAAATTTTAGAATACACCAAGTTTGATACGCTGAGAAAGATGTGATATAGACCCAAATCATATCTTGCCCATAAGATCTATTTTTAGACTGGGGTACTCCGGTCAAAACCCCTAATTGTACCTTTGGTCATAAACAGAGAATGCCAGTTCATAGAAAGTTAAAATTCACAATATAAAGGCAATTTAACGAGCCAAAAAAGATGTAAAATGAACCGAAATCATATGATGCCCCTAAGTTATATTTTTAGACTGGGGTACTCTGATTCAGACCCCTAATTCTACCATTGGCTATAAACGGAGAACGGAAATTCTCAATATAAAGGCAGTTTGGTACGCTGACAAAGATGTGATATAGTTCATATCCATATCTTGCACTCTAAAAATAGAACAAGGGGAACAATTTTCAGTCGGGGTCCATATTCTATCTTTATAAACGTATCAAACTGCCCCTTATTGAAAAGTTTCATGCAGAGTGTTTTTTCTTCAAGACTTCTTGTGACCGTAAACTTTTTGAAAAAATTTCCTGTGAAATTAGTTTTGACTTTGTGATTCAAAAACCTCAATGATGCGATAAAATTATGTTGTTGAAGACAAAAGGAGTCACGTGAGTAAAATATGAAAGTATAGATTTTATCAGAAATGTTTTGCCATATTTATAATCAGAACTGCACAGAGGTTTTGGAGTTCCTAGGACAAAACCGAAGGTCAAGGCCCCCAGTGAGCGGAGGGAACAGAAAATATTTGTCACCAAGCCCTTAAGATTAGCTTAAAATGCATTTCAGAATATTTCTTGCAGTCATTTCTTCCAAATATTTTAACACCTTACGTTATTAAGCATACTTTTGCTACAATTGATTAATTCCATTCCTAACATAGCGCAATAAATAAATGAAGCGATTTTATGAAAGACTCATACCAAAAACTATAACTTTGTACAAAGGAGATTTATCTGTAGTGTTGTGAGTGAGTTACAAGCAGGAAATTCCTGCAAAAATACACCTGTGATACGGGAGGAGGAATGGGAAATACATTTAAAAATATCTCAAACACTAATAACGGAATGGGGTCGTAATGACATATCAGTAATGACATAATTTGTTACTTTTTGCAACGAAAGCTGATCTCCTTGATCTCCCTCAGCACAGTATTACTTTTCGAAACATAGTTTTGATCTTTTTCAGTGCAATGAGTTGATTTCTTCTGAGCATTTAGATTCCTTCCAACCTGCTTACCTTCTATTAAGTGTATAAAACTTTTCTATTATTCATCCATGGTTGAGAAATTTCCTGTGAGAAAAATGCTCTAACTGATTTCCTGTGACCAATGGTCACACGGTCACGGGGAAAATAACGCCCTGGTTTCATGCTATTCTATCAAAGTGAGACTGAGATACGATAATACCGCCAATAGAGGTCCAGGGCAAAGTACCCCAGTCTAAAAATAGAAAAGGGGGGTAATTTTCAGTTCTGGTCCATATCCTGTCTTTTTCAGCGTATCAAACTGCCCAAAATTGCATGCTAGTATCACAATTTGCACAATTCGACCCAATAAGTGATTTAACAGGCCTGACTAAATGGTTTCGCCTCGACTCATCACTGTGACGTCAAAGCGGGAAATGGAAATTCGCAACGCAACTGCAAAATATGCATACTTTGACACTCAATAAAAAAGAACCATTTAACTTATCGGAATTCTGTTTTTTGTATAAGAACAAGGGTGAAGGATTCTATAGATTTCTTTTAAAATATTGGAATGGTAAATTTCACTGCATAGGCACTTTAAGGTGAACGTATACAGATCAAGTAAGACAATTTGTTTTTCTTTATCTAAAAGCTTCAAAAACCTTCGATTTATGTGGATGTGAAATGATATTGTATTCTCACAAAAGTAACATGTCAAAACATTAGCTCCTTTATAGGTTAAGTGCAGGCACAAAAAAGCTATAACCAAGCCTCCTTGCAACTCTTGGCCTGTACTTTATGGTTAACTACAATTTTCAGTAGACAATTTATGTGTCCTACGTGCGCGCTTCAAATTGAAGAATCATTTTTAACTGTTGCTTTGTTCATAAAGGAGATGAAAACGAGGTTATTAGCTAGACGGAAAGGAAGAGAAAAAGGGGGGTCGTAATGCAAACACAAGGCCACGGATAACAATAAGAGGTACATCCCAGATAGGCCTAGAGCCAACAACGTTTGGGAAATGCAGCTGCCTATGTAGCCATTGAACTTTGGGGCTTAAAGGTCTCTCAAGGTTTTGTGCATCAGCAGATTTACCAAAGCCACAAAATGCAAAGGCTTTTTATGTAATTTGAAAAATCTTTCTGACGTTGCTCATCAGCAATCTGCTAAATGCACTAAAGAGGCTGCTGAAAGACTTATAAATACTACCCAGGAGGAAGAGCCTGAAAATGTGGAAGCTGATGAGGATGGTGCTTCTATAGCAAAAGTCTCTGTGACGGTAGATGGGACATGGCAGCGCTGTGGTAATTGTTCAAAAAATGGTCAAAATAAAGTATTGGATTTTGTGGTCAAAAGTATGACTTGCTATGAGTGTATGAAGCATGGAGCTGTGAATATGTCACAAGAAGTATACAAAGAATGGATGAGATGGTTAATAATGCAGTTTTGTTTATGGTTAATCATCCGATGATTCATCGACAGTTTCAAGAAGAAACTTAAAATACACAACATTTGTTGGAGACGGCGATAGTGACTGTTTTCTGAATGTAAAGGAAGAGTGCCACAATTAATTCAAAGATCATAATGTCGTTGTCAAGGGAGAGTGTGTTGGGCATGTCCAAAAGCGCCTTGGTACAGCTCTGCGTCGATACAAGCTCAACATGAAGGGGAAAAAGCTGACAGACATAGGGCCTCTAACAGACAAAGTTGTTGATAAAATGCAGAATCTTTATGGCCAGGCAATAAGGAAAAATTCTGCTAACCTTGAAGCGTGAAGCAAGATATCCTGTCACACATGATAAAGGAGGATGGGAAAACGTTAGAGGAACGGCACAGGAATTGCCCAAAAGATAGCCAAAGTTGGTGCAAATTCTGGAAAGACAGAGTCAGTTACAATGACGGAAAGCACCTATCTGCAGTTTTCATGCCAGAGGTAAAACCAATTTTCAAAAAGATTTTAAAAGGGCACCTTGTTGAGCCACTGTCAAATGGGTGTCACCCAGAATCAAAATGAAGCTTTGGATGGTGTGTTATGGAGCAGGTGCCCAAAAATAATCATGTGGGAGAGCAAGGCTTGTTTTGGCTGTTTCTGGAACTGTTGGCCATTTTAACACTGGTACTGGTTCTAAAATAACTTTAATGGTAACTTTAGATGTAGAGCCGAGCTCTAATATGCCTTCAGCTTTGCGTCATAAAGATATTACAAAACTACAGTCCGCAGCGCAAGTTTATATCAAATTGCGCACTGAAAATTTAAGCCTGAAAAGTTCAAGTAATATACAATTTTTGTTGTTCTATGCAATGACGGTCTTATCTTTTCCATTTCGGCTTTCAGAATTTTTTAATTTCAAAAAAACAGTTTTCTAGAGTTAACCACCCTTTTTTAATTTTCAAAAATCTAAAACAGCCATTTCACTCATAGCAATCTTTATTAACTGTTTTTGCCACCAATGTACAAAGTAAAGTCAAGGTTTGCCCCAGTTTTCTGCAGAGTTCTAAGAAGGTGCCTTGTAGCAGGACATTACCCCCAGTTTTTAGTACTTCATTTTGATTTTTTTCAATTTTTGAACAGAAAAAGGATTGATTCAGTTTTCCTGAAAAGTTATAGGTAACTGATGCCTCAAGTACTGAGTTATAGAGGAAAAACTAAAATTTTGGAAGAATTTTCCAGATCATAGACCGTTGATACTCCGAGGGATGAATAGACCTTTGATATTTTCGAATGCGCGATTTCAGAAGGCGACATAACACAAGAAGATGCAGTAAGATCCTGAATATTATCGCTGGGCTTATATTATTTCAAAGCCTATTTTTGGAGGCTTGTCACCGAGGAAAGATTATATTCAGGGGGCTTATAACTGGGAGAATTTTGGCGTAAAAATAAAAAAGTCAAGTACATAATCTTGACCGTTTTTCTCTTTCGGAATAACTTATATATTGGAATCGTTACTGCTTTCATTATCAGAAGAGTTCTCTGATTCAGCACTACAATCATGGTCGATTTCGTAATCATCCTCCTTGTCATCTTCATTCTCGCTTTCGCTTTCAAATTGGATTTCTGTCATATGGGCTTATATCCGGGGAAGCTTATAACCGGGAGAAAATTTGTGTTGTCAATTAGATTGGCTTATTATCGGGGGGGGGCTATAAGTGGGGGGGGTGGGCTTATAACCCGGGGGATTATAACCGGCGAGGACTATAGCCGGGATTTTACAGTATTTTAGAATTAAAAATTGATGAAGATGACGATGACGATGACGATGACGATGACGATGACGATGACGATGACGATGACGATGACGATGACGATGACGATGACGATGACGATGACGATGACGATGACGATGACGATGACGATGACGATGATGATGACGATGACGATGACGATGACGATGACGATGACGATGACATTATTATTGATATAGAAGGCTGATTTAATATTTTTTAGTTCGCAAATAACAAAAAATGGTTTTTATTGAAAATTATCTATTAAGCCCCCTCTTAATTTGGCCCCCCTTTATAATAAGCCCCCTTTAAAGTGCTGAAAAACAATAAGCCCCCCGGAGGCTTAAAAGAGAATTTACGGTAAATGATACTGATCAAATTTCTAGATGTAAAACATAAGATATAGCATTTGCTCATGGGAAATTTATCAAAAGGTTGCTTTTTAGAGTTGCTTTAAGTAGAATAGAATTACACTAGCTACAATAAGAAAGAAGAAAATCTGCTTACAATGGATATTTTTCAAATTTCCAGCGCAATTGAGGCACTCGTATCCGGGGCAGCTACAAGTATCCAGGCATATTTCATCGCCTCTGCATGGATTTTTCATTTTGCAGTTATGACCAACCTTTTATAAAAGCAAACATAAATGCGTCATTCATATCACTGCCACAAAATCCATTCTATTTCATCCAATTTTCGGATATCATAATTCCAGATTCTTTCTTAATCTGAAAATATTTTGACTTGTTCACAAGTCTTCATAGAGGTGTTAAAAAGTAAACAACATATCACGCAAGAAATAGTAAGTTTTGGAGTTTTTATGTGAAATCAATATATAATGCCATCAAAATTACCATTTTTTCAGAAAAATTAGTTGAATGGAAATTCCAGTTTCCATTAGCAGTAAGCGTTTTATTATCTAGGACATCGTGGCTGGACATTGAATTCAGTTGGCAAGTTCCATAGTCGTCTTTTTCAATATTAAAAGACTTGCATCTAGGATTATGCAAGCAGTATCCATAGCAATCCTGGAGTCCAGCCTCTGTGAATTCTGCAATTACTGATCCCTGCAGCCAATAGCCTCGATGCACAATTTTAAATTCTGCAATCATTTTGCATGGAAGTCGTAAAAGTCTGCAAACCAGTGGCAAAAAAGTTGACTGCAGGATTACCAAACAAAGTAACCTGAAACGATAACATTTCAACTCTTATAACACATTTCAGATTTCACGAAAGTAAACTGAAGGTTCGTGTATCTGGATAAAACAATAGATAACAGTCACTGTTTGCTAATCACTATGATGCATAAAACCGGCAAAGTAATTCTTTAGCCTTTACTTGACATTGTTTCAAAATATAATATCGTTTATGATGTGAGATTTTTTTCCAATTCTGGCCAAATCAGGGCCTATTTTAAGAAATTTTCAATACTGCACAATTATAACTACACTTTTTATAGGAAATTTTGTTGTTGCAATTTTTGGAAATTTCTAGTAATTTCGTTTTGTTTCTTTTCATAAGAGAGTCTTTCCGATGGTCATACGAGATTTGCATTACATCACCTCTATATCGAACTGACGGAGAAAATTCACATTTTGTGAACAAAGCGAGAATCTGGGATAGCGGCAATTAGACATTTTCACAAATCCCAAAATTCAATACTGCACATTTTCAAAATGAATACTGCACATTTTTAAATTAATACTGCACAAAGTGTGTAATACTGCACACTAAAATAGGACCTGGGCCAAATGATCGATAAAACACATTTTTCTACGTTGTTTTAACGTTTCTAGATACCCTCAACCTCCCCTTGGTTCAAGCACCTGTTTACCTAAAACCAAGCAACTACTTACATAAATTATCACACTCGTATCTCAGTGCTGTGTCCGATGATTTTAAGGTACCTTGAATTCTTTTTTTTAATGCGTTGCGTTTGCTCCAAACATTGCTTTGAAAATTGAGTTACCTGAAAAGCCACCGCATTTTATCGCATATCTAAAATATGTTCTGTCAAGGTAGAGCTAATCTCACAGTGAGGAGAAGTTTTAAAAACAGTCATACTCTATTCTCTTTGCAAAAACTTTTACCATAAGACGAACAAGTATACGCGTAAGACTTACGACGTGTTCTTTAACGACATCTTCATTGTAACATCAGTCTGTCATCTATCAAGAACGTGTCACGAAAGGAAGTTTCTTTCGCTTGAGCATTACGTTTTGGTTTTTAAGCAATTTTCCAATTTACATGAAATATTTATCCAACAAACTCAACCGCAATCACCTGGTTGTGGCATTATCCGGAAGTGGCTGGTGGCATCACATGCAAACCACAATCGCCTCTGAACCATTAAGGCTACCGGCGCACCGGTTTCTGACTTAAAACACTTTATATGAAGAGTGAACAATTGAAAATACTTGTCAAGTTTGAAAAAGATTATCCGACTTCCAATTGAAAATTAGGGCGCACTGCAGTTCGTTCGTGAAATGGTTATTTTCTATGTGATGAATGAAAATAGTTTTTAGATAAAACTCAATTGACAATGGGCACTGTGTGGTGCAAAAAAACGCGTCCCGTCTTCCAGAGTTCGTCCTGCTCTGAGGTAGTACGACGGAAATTTTGAGAGAGAGAGTAAAAATGTCATAATATGGTTCAGTAGCAATTTTGGTGGGCCCACAGGAAAATCAGGACTTGTTTCCTTAAAAGCTTAATCCCTATTGTCTAGGAACGATAGGAATAACGTTTGTCAGAAGCTTAATGTTCGGACAGGAACATGCCAAAAGTTGTGGTCGGATTTATTTCTGTGAGACAGTTAGGGTGTTTACATTTTAAAACAACTATGGTTTAAGAGAAACGGGTGCACTTTTGGTCTTTCTTTTTAGCAACAACACTTTTTTAAAACAATACTGAAGAAAGAAAATATGTACGGGTTTTTTGGTAAAAATTGTACATGCAATCGCGATTCGCAAACAACCATTCTACCTGTTCTGCACTAACTTCAATATCCACGTTCAAGGTGAGCTTGAATCGAAGTTGATTCGCACAATTTTCTATAAGGACCATTTTATGAGGAACCTACATCTAGAAAGCCAGAAATGTTAACGAACTTGTACTGCTAATGATATTTTTCTATAAAACGTTTCAATTTCTAATAGTTTTTTCTAGAGTCCTATAGAAAGAATCACGTTAAGGGTGTATCAGAAGATATCAATGGGGTGGTCATGTTCCATATTGATTGAACCTCTACTTATACTTATATCAACATATGATTGTGTTTTTGTCTTGCTTTCTAGCCAAATATCGAAGTGAAATACCAAGTTTCAATGTTTTTTTGCGTCAGTGCTACTTTTTGGGCATTAGATGTGAAAATTAAGAAATTGTTAAGGAGCTTTCGGTTATATGACCTAATAAAAAAGGTGCCAATCTTAGGAACTTAGGAGACTAGGAATCGAGCTAGTCTCATTAAAAATAAGGCTCGCGTTATCAAAGGATGAAGGTGATTGTAAAGTATGCTTTTTCCTATTCCAAAACTATCAACATTTTTGTTGGGAGTGGAAGAAATATTATACAGTACGGGAAACCAGACACAAACTAATGCAGACTAGAAACGGGAAAGTAATCTATCCAGATATTCCTAGCCTGATAGTAAAGTGTCGAAAAACTACCAGGGTCCCTGATTCGGGAAGACAGCCAAAACTCTTTTTTGGTACTTTCGATGCTTATCTTGGATGATATTTGTCAATACGAAAATTTTTAGTTTTAAAGGGTTATCTAACATTGCAATTTTTATTGGCTACATACAATTCAATGCAAGATTGTACATAGTCTGGGGAATTCTAGCTTTTCTCTCAGTCCTCAAAAACTGTTAAACTACCATTTTATGACGTATATTAGCTGATTCTCGGTATATTGGATGAATATATTCGATCTAAGTACGACAAAAATGTTAAAAAATCTTCTCCTTCAAGCGATATTCAAGGCCTGTAGTAGCTTGTTCTAAAAGAACGTCGGAGTTCTCAAAAACTTTTCAGTGCAATGAATACTTGAAAATTTGACAAATTATCATGCGTAACCGGCTCAAGACAACAACACAGGAAAATATCGGCTGATTTTGTGGAAAATTTGATAGATTTTGCAAAATTTTGAGTGCCATAAAATACTACAATGCATATCTATTTTGACTTCTTACTAACAGATTCATTTGCATTTTCAAGGAAACTAGGAACATTTTGGCTATCTTTTGTAAGCAATTGTTTATGACGTCTCTTCCCACGCGACTCATTTTTTCAACAAAGATTTATGAATTCTTCCTATGTCAAGGTTAAAATTTTCTGCTGCTAATTTGAAATCTCCTTTAAAGATAGTTTTCTCCTTACTTCCTTTTGAGCTATTATAAAGAGCTGTAGATCTCTATAGCACAAGCCTTTTTGTTTGTCATTTTTGGCTGCGTCATTTTCCCATATCGTTGTGAATGATGTGGATGATGCTATTCTTAACATCTAATTGCTTGAGTCATTTAGCTGTTAGAAGATTTAATCAGCATCATCTATGAGGTTATATTAGCAGGTTCCTCCATAATCTATTTGTTCAATAGTACTGGTGCTATGATTCCTAGGCTCATTCTTAAGAATCTGAAAGTAAAGACCGCAGTTGATTAGCTGAATTTTTATCATTTTTTGTTAAAAACTTAGGCTCCCTTTGAAAAACAGCCGCAGAATGAATACAAGTTATCTAGTTAGCATCCTTTAATTAGAAGGCTACGCCAACAGTTTCATGGCTACATCATCACAAGTGTGGCTTTATGCTGACTCTATATCTCAAGGTTTTTAGTTAACGAGTTAAAGAAAATTTGCCCAGTTTGTCTACCAATAAAGTTGATTTTCCTTGCAAGTTTTTTTAGTATTAATGCCTTTCAATCACAGGGTTATAGCAAGACTTTTTTTCATCTCAAACAATTTTGTGAATAATTGATCATTTCTCTGAGATTGCTTGTTTAAACCTATTTCCCGTGAGTGTCACTATAAAAACATATGCAGGATAAAATTAACACATCAAAATCAATTTGTAAACAAGAAGACCTAATTGGCTCAGCTGTTTTTCCATTCTGAAAAGAAATTAAAGTGCAAAGCTAGCAAAATTGCAATAAATAACGTAAATGGTATTTTATGCTGAATGGGGGGGGGACCTGCGGACCCTTTAGCGTGCAGCGCAAGATTGTTTGCAGCTCTGAGTTTCATATTTAATGCGATCATTGGATGATAGTTTATGCAGGGGCGTAACTGGACCAATTAGTTCGGTGGGGGGGGGGGGAGTTTCTGCCCTGCAAAACTGAGTACTGCCCTGCACACGTCAAAACAAAGGCTCGTCCATAGGTTACTAGTCCATGCTTTGCCAGTGTATATTTTTCTTTATCACGGATAAATTCCTAAGCAATAAAAACAACGTTGAAATTTAATTGCCTATGCAATTTAATTTATCTACGTGAGCGTAAATCAGATGTGGAGTTCGATTTTTCCTTGAAATAAAGCTCGCGACAAATATTATTCTATTTCCTGAACAAAGATGTGCATCTCTCTTCTCTCGAGAACGCCATGTTTATACATCCAAAATATATACATTGCAATGATACAGAAAGCGGTTTACTGAATAAATGCGAATAATAGACAAGTAAAAGAAATAAACGTAAAAAAGTTTGTTAGTGGATCAAACAAAATCAATTGGTATATAAACAGTTCGTTGTCTTTTTTTTCATACACTGTTTTAAAAGTAATAGAAAAAAGTTAGGCTTGCACAAGTTATCCAAAGCCCTCTTTAAAGTCAATCTCTAATGCGCCAAACTTATCAAGTACACGAGAAGTGTGATGTTTGAATCAATTGAGTACGGCAGATTTTGCCAAGTACGACAGAAGCAGTTTTGTACGGCAGTTCTTGTTGAACTTTGCGCTGGGAGTTCAACTCTGTTTCAACTTCTAACACTGTGGGTTAGCAAAATTGACTTCGTCGTCACGAAGCTTTACAGTTTTTGTTGCTCAAGCACCAAATATTGTTGCATTTGTACCTGGTAATTTACGGAGAGATCTTATTGTTGCTGCTTTTGTTAACAACATGTTTTTTGGTTGCTGTCAGCAATAAAAATTTGAAAAGGTCGACTTGAAATCTTCTTGACACGTGCATAGCGAGTCTTAATCTGAATTCGGCTCTCAATGTCTTCTTCTACTTTCTGCCAACATACTATTCATCAACATGAATGTTGAGTCGAATAAATATGGTATGAAAAGTAAAAAAAGTCATGCGGTGATTCTAGACTGCTTTCTAAATACAACTGTAAAGGGCGTATAAGTGTCGCTAGCCATTACAAAACTGATTTAAAGATGCAGAAAGAGATGTGAAGGAATTATCTCTATCCAATATGATCTGATTTATCAATTAAGAAAGAAGCATTATCAATTTGATTGAAGACATTCTTTTCTTTACTTTAAAATAACTAATTTTTGTACTCAATTTTGGATCTAAAAATCACGTTGATTGGTAATTCAATTTGTCTTCAGCTGTGATTTTGGTGTTATCTAGAGAAAGGAGGCTGATTATTGACTTTAGTTGGGAAATTCCAAAGTCATCTTTTTCAATGTTAAAATAATTGCAGTTAGGATAATTCAAGCTGGTTCCACGGAAGTCCTGGAGTCAATAATCGTTGATTTCTGCAAATACTGACCATTGCAGGTGGTGGCTCTTGATGCACAATTTTTAAATGTGCAGACAATTGTATTGTAGTCTTCGAATTCTTCACACAGATAGCACAAAGTTTGATTGTAGAAACTTAAACAAACCAGCCTGAAACGATTTTTTATTTCTCTGTTAAAAAGTTGGCTTTTGGTAAAATTTTACGTTATGTGTAACTAATTATTTCTGTCCTAGTATCAAATAAAAATCATTCTAATAATAAAAATAGGTTTGTGTTTGTCAACGGCTTTATGGAGGAAGCGTGCTGAGACTGAAAGGCCAATTTAGTAAGACTAGGGCTGTAGAGGAACCAACTTGAGGTTGGGCAAATATTTTTTGTCTTTGAATGCTTTACAACTTTAAGCATCTTTTCTCAACAAGTGAAAGGCATTTGCGAGCATGGCAAAAGAGGTTGCGGTGAAGAAATTAAGAAAAAATGAAAACAGGATTAATTTCAAACCTTCGCAGTTAATTACTGTCATTTGTTTTTGCATGCCTATATAATTATTTACATTTCCTTAGAGTTGTGGTTGGAGCTAATGATAGTCTTTTCTTCCTGAGCAACTTGCCATTCTTTAGTATACCCATTTCAATGAAAAGGTTGTCACAGTTTTATTATATTTTTGACCAAATGTACAGAGAGTTTTAGGATGGTAATAAACAGAAACTTTTGAACAAAAAACAGAAATACTTAGCATCTGTATTTAAAGAGATCAAAATATAAATTTGCAGAGTACCAGCCAGATTTTCTAACGGTCTGTGGCTCTCCTGTAAATTTCAAACTGTGCATTAATGTAAAAGTGAACCAAATTTTGCGTTTTCGCCAATCTTGCGTTATCCTCTTCACTGCATGTTTATCCTATACGTGGATGCCTTGGTCTTTAGCTCATGTGCCAAAAGCACTGCTGGTACATTTGAAGCTAATTTGGAGACTATTACATATCTTTGCGTTATAGTTTGGAAAAGACAGCTGCTTTAAGCTTTGCAGCCTTTTTGTCTGCCTGACACTACTTTGATCAGTGTACATCTTCGATTTTCAAAAGGATCAAAAATTTCTATTTGGCCTTAGTAATGAGAGGAAAGAAACTTCTGCTGCTAGCAATAAGGTTTTGAATTCATTAAATATATCCCTTGCTGCCAAACTGCCTGTGCAATGCATGATTTCTAATAAGTTCACATAACGTGTTAGTGTATATATTCCTAAATCGATTCTTTTTAATGGTGACTTTTATTAACACGATGTACAAAGAAACCACAGCTGAGTATTATTTTTACGTAAACATGACGTACAGTTTGCGACACTGAAATCATAAGTTTATGCATCTTCAATCCAACAACTATTTTGAAGGCAAATAATAAGGAAAGCATTAAATGATTTTGGAGCGAGAGTTAAACTCTTGGCAAGAAATTTAGGAAGAAGCTAAAGTATTGTGCAGAAGGTTGTAAATAACATTTTTATACAAATAATTCTAAAGGTGCATTTGTATCAAGACTTCTTTTGTGTAGAAAATTCTGTTGTTAGAAAAAATACGCAAAAAGCAAACAATGTGTGAAATAAGCAATCCAAGAAATTAACTGTAAGTCTTTCAAATTCAAAACAAGCAGCTCTAATTCCACTTGCTCAACGCTGATGTTTAACTTCATTTCTTTGTTTCACTTTTTATCTTCTCTATTTTTTTCCACAAGTGGCAAAGCATTCAGTCAAAAAGAAGCAAATTATTTGAATTATGGTGAAAAAAATTACATTCTATCAGAGTCACATATTTCGGACATTGTGTGACTGTTGAAAATATTTCAATGATGATAAAAATTTAAGGATTTCACATACGTTTTCTTTCACCAGTAGTGTGAGTATCATTGGGAGTCCTAATTGTTTGAGAGCATAAAGAATAAAAGAGGTTTCTATTGGAAACAAGGGGTTTTCTTACATTTTTGGAGAGGGATCTACCCCTCGTAAATGTCACCATTTCTGTATTCCAAGTTTATGTCACGTCACAAGAAGCGTAAGGGAACCAGAGTGACCCATTTCGAGAGAAAGCTTGAAAACTAGAGGGTTAATGGTCGAGTTTGATTATATCTAACATGTTTTTTAACTGCCTCTTCCGAGGCTTAGGACCATTAATGCCACTCTTGATGACGTCAACATTTAGTAGCAGTTATATATGCTTATTTCTATATGGGATTCCTATGTATGTCAAGATGTTCCATATCATGTGTTTGTCAAGATGTTAAACTCAAAAAGCATTGTGTTCAATTTGTTAATTATAACGTGCCATAATATCACACTACGATGAAATCACATGATTTGAAACACGTTGCGCTTCACAATGTTACACTTTTGAATAGGGTACCAAAATGCATATTACACCGGCATTTGCTACTATCCAATGTCCAACATATACTTGAGTACAACTTTCAAGAACATGTTCTCAGATGCAACTTGTACATATAAACAGAATGCCAGACATTTTATCGCCTGCAGGTCAATGCTTTTTTAAACATACAATCAATTATGTTCCTTTCTCGCAGCTGTAAACTGAACCTTGTACACCTAGCGACTGAAAAGTTTTTTTTGCGTGCAAGTAAATGTTGAACTGCAAACTTGATGATGCAAAACAATGGAGGAGGCCTTTCCATGGACTCACATATTTTATTGATAGCTGAAAACTATTTGAAGCTTCTTGATTCACAACAGTAGAACTTTCTAAACGGCAATGTTTTAAAACATGTAATTTCATGAGACACCATTTATTATTCCTTGTGCTTCTTTAAAAAATAATGTGTGAGATTTCTTTGTGAAGAGATCCTAATTTGAGTTTGGGGTCTTTTCATCAGAAACGGTGACTGTTTCAATTAAGAAGATTCGTCGTTACTCCTCTCCAATAGTCACGATCTTCAGCTCCTCTTATGCACTGCTCAAAGTTTAACATTGTCCATTCCATTATGTTCTTCATCCACGATTTTCGGGGACCTTCCCTTGGTTTTTCGCACATACAATGATTTTTGCATTTTCCTTCAAACAATGATTTTAGCATTTTTTCTTTTCTTATTAAATGTCCAAAATACTGCGTCTTTCTCATTTTTATGTTCTTTTCTAGTGACAGAACTTTTTCATTTACACGTTTTAACACCTCTTCATTTGTAGTGTGATTTGTGTATGAGATCCTAAGCATTTTTCGACACATCCACATTTCAAAGCCGCACAGACCAGTAATGCAAGTAGACAAGTAGAAGATCACATTTAATTTATGCTTATGAACATCTTTTATACAACCATAATAATTCAAAGACCAAGTATTAAAATAGATTGGGTTAACTTACGAAAGTATGTTCCTGTTCTATGAAATGGGCATTCACATTGAAATCCGTTGTTCAAGTTACGACATGTTCCATGTTCGCAAGGGTTGCTGGCACATTCATCAATGTCTGAATTAATTAGAGAGAGAAAATGATATATTCACTACGACATAGTTCAGGTGAGAACTTGAGAGCAAAGTTTTTAAAATGCGTGGATAGAGAAAAGTCTTGTACTTTACCCTTCACCTCCATGCCTCCATTTCACCAAAGCTTACAATGTTTGATTTAATTTGAATTTGTAGTGACAAAAACTCGAAACAAGCACTATCCAGAACACATTTTGCATGTAATATTTAAAGGGGAGATATCGAGAAATAAAACATATTGCAATGTATTCAAAGCCAAATATGCGATCTCGTTGTCTTGCAACTTTTCAAGCTGTATCATTTTAAGAATTCTACATCAACATCTCAGTCTAATCGTGTTTATAACGCAGCATCGCTCAAGACGGTTACAATGAGTATTTATCATAATTATTGCCTGATAACTACTTAAAATTGTTTGTCTACCAAAGGTCAGTTTAAGGACAAACCTTTTGGTTTAAAAAAACCTAAAAAATTTGCTTTACTTCTTGCCTTAGTACTATCATATTATAAAACAGAGAACATATTTGTAAAAAAAATGGTCTATCGCAGTTAATGAAAAATCATTGTTTTTCTCGCCTTGCTCACAACTAGCCCAAGTCCACCCACTGCTGCACGTACATCTGTATCTATTGGCCAGGTTGTTGCATATTCCATTGATGCATGGGCTGCTTGAACACACGTTGTATTTCAACAGCTCTTTTACATTTGTTGCATTAACGTAAGACGTTACATTTGAAAAGCGTTATAAACAAAATGCTCACCAAAATAAATGAAGAAGATTTTTATTGCTTTGAAAGCAAGTACAAGTTAAAATTTTAAAATTTTTAAGTTTTCCATATTTAGTTGCAGTAGACCAAACAACAATCCATTTTTTTATTTTCGACATCTTTTCAAGGAAATTTCTGTCAGCGTTAAATGACCTACCATCGCTTCCATTCGTAAAATAACATGACAATGATTTACACAATTTGAAATAATATATCCACAACTTTTTTTTGCTGTACAAAATTTGAGAATGGCTTTGAAAAAAGCAAACATTTTATGACATACTAAAAGCTTTTTCGTCTGACACTCCTCAGAGCATAAAACGTCAGAATAAGGGTCCAAAATACCACGATGAAAAATATATACCCAGTTCTAAAAAAATATACCAAAAAAGTTATGTCATTTATGAATGTACGTGACAGTGTGATTCTGGCTACGTAGGACGCACAACCCAAAGATTGGGGGATAGAATAAAACAGCATGGACAGGGAATTTTCCACTACAATTTAAGGACCTGGGTAACCAATAATTTTAATGCTTAGAATGAAAGTATATATGTAGAGGGTCAAGATTGCGAGTCGGGACATTTTGGAATATTGGTTCTTGTCACGTGAAAGTGATGTAATTGGCCGAGCGACAAGTCACGGTCTAAAAAAGTAAACTTTTCGAATTTTAAATCTAAATAAATTTTTGGATTGCGTTGAGATTACGTAATTTTCTATTTGTTGTATTTTTGAGCATCCTTTTTATCCAGGAAAGGATTATAAAGAATATCCTTACCAAAATATAAAAAGAAGATTCTTGTCAATTGCTTTGAAAAGAGCAAACATTTTAAAATATACAACAGCTTTTCATCTGACATTCTTTGGAACATGAAACGTCAAAACATAGCAAAACTATACGCTAGGAAATAGATATACCTAGTTTGGCATCGAAATTGGAAATTGGAAACGCGATCTCGTTGCCTATTGAAAAAATTACCAACGGAGTCTTAAAGTGAAAATGAATTCCTTCTGCCTACACGATAGCGGTTTTTCATGCTTATGTAGATAGATTAAACGATTCTGTTAAATGAAACACCAATTCGGTACTGCAAAAAATCTTAAATATATCTTTAAAACATTTAAGTTTTTTGCACAATCTGGGTTTTCCAGAAAGTGCTGCACGATAAGAGAATCGCATGTTTTAGTTGTTCCATTAAGTCCATCCTTAAAATAACCCGATTGTTTAAACAGGAAAATTAATGACAACATTCTAAAATGATCGCATAAACAACTGACCTTGGTCACATCTACTTCCTGTCCAGCCATCGTGGCATATACATTTATATCCATTAATCAGGTCAACGCAATTTCCATTGACACATGGGTTGCTACTGCATTCATTGACATCTGTAAAAACATTATAAAGTGATAGTAAACATTAGTACAAGTTTTATATGTTGAAATTTATGCACTTTTAATATGATTGTCAAATTTTTGTTGCAACTTTATAAGGTAAAAATATTTTTCAAGTGTTTCAGATAAGATTTTTAAACTAGGCTTTGAAAAAAAGAAATTTGAAAAATATTTAAACTTCAGATCATACTTTTTTCAAAAACACTTTTAGATTCTATTCCTTTAAAAATTGCTTATAATTTTCAATTTAAAACTCAAAAACAGTAAAAAATGATCAAATAAAGTATAAGGGAAAAATTCGATGACAAACATAACACCATTTTATTTAAGACAATCTTGAACTCTCAGAAAATAACTTATACTATTTCAAAGGTTAATGGCTCTATTTATGTTTTATTCTATATTAAAAGACTGTCAAGAAAATGATGATAACGTTTGAAAATTGATAAGAATTGTCGTTATGCACAGAGAAATTTTAGAAATATTAGAACTGCAAGTAAAAAGTCAAAAATTTCATGAAAACCCATCATTGTGTTTAGCTTGTTTGCGCAAAGCTTTACACTAAAGAAAATAAAATGCTCTTCCCTTATCAAGTAGGGGAACCAAAACCTTTTGGACAAAAGTGCCCCAACCATTTGAAATCAATAAGCACTGTTTTTAGCTGCAAAACTCTCCGACAGCTTTTTGGCGATACCTACACATTTAGTTTAGACGTTAAATGTTCAAATCACCTCTAATGTCAAAATTTATGCCATCAATACTGAAAAGCTTTGCAAGATATGTATTGAAAATTAACGAAGCAGTAAGAGCATAAAGTACCCACTGTCGACCCTTGTTTCTTTACCAAGATGAGTGCCTACATAAACTCACATTTCATGTTTTATGTTTAAACTTGCTTAACATAGATAAAGGCTACTTGAAAGTAAATTGAGGTAAATCTCAACTCGACGTCAAGCAACATCAGGAAGAAAAAAGTTTTTATATCTGAGCTATTTTTATCTGGTTTATCTATACTTCTGTTTGTCAAGACAATAACTCATATTTCTTGATATTTCTTCATATTTCTTGGCTGCAAAATTATATTTCTTCTTTATCGGAAAGAGCAATTTTCTACTGTTTGCTTTGAAAAATGGCACAATCTTTGTCTCAAAAATATAAGTATCAATACTAGAAATAAAATGAATTTCAATTATCTTTTATGTTCTAAAGCCATCTTTTCGCTTTTCAAAAAACCCACTAAAATTTATATTGTCAACTAATTCGTGTACCCTTAGATTTAGGGAAGATTTTCACGTATATGTTACTTACTTTGTTGGCAGAAGGGCCCCTCAAATCCAGCTGCACAACGGCAAATTTGGGCACCCTTTTCTTCACATGTCCCTCCGTTTCGACAAGGTTGACTTGCACATCGATTGCCTTAGTTTGACATAAGAAAAATATGTTATTGTTTTTATAGTTTCACCAAAGTGGCCATTGATACATCAGGAACAGCCCTGTATTAGTGATTTGTTTGTTTTTACAGCGGTATACAAAGAAACATTATCATTTTATAATTTTTCAATATATCACTTGTGTATAAAAGCAGATGCTGAATATTTGTTACTGTTTAGATAATTTTTTACAATCTATAGTAGAAAATGAAGTAGTGATAATCAAAAGCAGGTAAATTGAATGCTTAAAAAAAGAATGAACGATTTGACGAATGTAGAGGAATGCATTGCTAATCTCGACACAACAAGTATTGGCAGTTCCTTCTTTGTAAGGAAGGGATAGCAATAGAAAAATTAATCGATAAGATTTTCCAGATTTGTGATAATTGGATCATACAGTGAAGTCCTTTGATATTTCCGACGCATTTGAAACATTGATATCCAGGACAGCTGCATGTATCCAGGCAGATTTCGTCGTCTTTGCAAGGCTTCTGACTTTTGCAAATGTGTCCAATCTAGTCAAAACAATTTCTTTACATAAGTTTGCTTGATAACAGCTTGTATGGAAGAGGCAAAGAGTAGTTTTATACTTCATAGAGAAACATGAATGATATGTCATTCATTTTTAGAAATATACAATGAGAAAATCAAGTGCAACGTGACATTAAAGGAAATGCAGCTCTCACTTTTGAGGTGGCTCGAATCGTCTGTCCATCAACAACTGGCCAATCAATGATCGTTATACCAGTCATTCACTTGGCTTTCAGCCAATAGGTGATTGACAAATGGCTTATTTCATTTGCCTTTAATTCCTGTTGTCAATGATGCTTTTTCTCCAGCTAACATCAAATTCATTTAGCAATCATAGTACAAATAAAAATGCCATGAAAAGATAGTTGTGAAAACATATCTTTTCCCGGTATCATTCTTTTGATCCACTTACATTCCGATCGGAGAAATTAGTTGAATGAAAATTCCAGTTTCCATTAGGAGTAAGCGTTTTTTTATCTAGGACATCGTGGCTGGACATTGGATTCAGTTGGCAAGTTCCATAGTCGTCTTTTTCAATATTAAAAGACTTGCAACTAGGATTATGCAAGCAGTATCCATAACAATCCTGGAGTCCAGCCTCCGTGAATTCTGCAATTACTGATCCCTGCAGCCAATAACCTCGATGCACAATTTTAAATTCTGCAATCATTTTGCATGGTAGTCGCAAAATTCTGCATTGAGATGGTATGAATATTGACAGGCAAAGTAGCAGATAGAAATACCTGTGACAATAAATGACAATGAAAAATATTTAAGACATAGTTCTTTGAAAAGAGACAAAAAGCATGAATACTTACAAAAAGTTCACTATTCAGTTGAAATTGTTTTGTAGCTAAATACTTTGACAGTATTTTATTCAAGAAATGAAGGTGCTGTTCATTGTTTTGGTACGTAATTGAAAAGAGGTATAACATTTGTTTATTTAGCCTGTCTCCTTACAGTTTTAACCGTAATTCACATCGCTTTCCTCCATAATTTGACACTGATAACGAAAACCATCCTTACATAGACAAAAAAGGATCAAGTCAAAAACATTTCGTATAACATTTGACTTATCAGTATATGTTCCTATCTACTCGAAACAAAATAGTCAGTCAGAAGATAAATTTCAAGGGTTTTGGTTGATGATCCTGTCAAAATTGGACTACACTCTAGTCTGAAAATATTTGCTTGAAAAAAAGAGAAGCATGACCTGTTCAAAATGTCCAAATGAAAATCCACCTCACATATATTTGCTCTTATACAGTATGATTATTATTTAGTTTGCCTTAAAGGCATTTGACACAGGTAAAAGTGACTTACAGCCACTCGACCATGAGCGGCTGACCAATCAAACTGCGCACAGAGAAAAACACGTGAATAGTTTCCGCCTTTCTGCAAATCTTTGAAATCCTAGAGCAGCGCGCAGTGGTTTTCACGTGAGCGGTTTTCAATACCTTTTTTGTGCGCGTGCTCTGATCAATTTGGCCTAAGTTATTTTGGATTCGCTGTACTTAATCATTTCAAATGCCTTTAAGTAACTTTTGTTTGTCAGATGATGCAACTATGCTTATTCTCATGTACCCTGTACTTTTTCTCATATAACAAAGTAGAGCGCACATAGCAAGATAAGGAAACCTCAGCGATATTTCAATATTGCTATTTTTTCTTGTTTTTTCAGATTATTTTTCCACAAGCTATCTTTACAATGGGAGAGCCAGCCCTTTTTGTGCATGCCCTATTTCAGAGTCATTTATATTAACCTTGAAGACAACAGAAGATTTCAAATCTGATGCAAGGCATGCAGGTCATGGAAAGGGAGCACATGGACACAGAAAGGTACAAGGAGAAGGATATTGTTTTATATGGCTAAGTAGATACAGCCAGCCGGAAATTCTATTATGTTAGCTGCAAATCTGCCAACGATTTTCAAGTGAAATCATGATTCAAAGAACCTAAGCTCCTTCTCAGCAGATGGCAACTAAACGATTATCTAATACAAAATATCAACAATGATCCACTTGAAAAGAAGTCAAAAATATATTTTCATATACAATAACGATCAAGTGAACAACAATGGTGCAATCATTTTAGAAAACATTTTATGATATTATTCTTTTTATCTTTTTTAGGCTCTTGCTACCTTTTTAGGCTAGACCTAGCAATAGGAGATGATATTTTCACTTTTTACTTTGAATTTTTCTTTTTCTTGAAGAATCAAATAGTGCAGCAATCGGGTGTAAATATCGGCTCATGCCAAAGTTCCAAACATTTATCAAATTCCTTTTGATATTGAAAATAATAGGTGCTTGTTATGAGCGCTTGCTTGACTACAAGACAGAATTCTTTCAACTTTGAATTTGAGTCCCAAGAAACTTACAAAATCATTTTCCAAGATGTTCCCAAACCTTGAATCATCCTTCTGATATTGCTCTTGCCTTCTGATATTGCTCTTGCCTTCTGATATTGTTCTTGCCTTCTGATATTGCTCTTGCCTTCTGATATTGCTCTTGCCTTCTGATATTGCTCTTGCCTTCTGATATTGCTCTTGCCTTCTGATATTGCTCTTGCCTTCTGATATTGCTCTTGGCTTCTGATATTGCTCTTGCCTTCTGATATTGCTCTTGCCTTCTGATATTGCTCTTGCCTTCTGATATTGCTCTTGCCTTTTGATATTTCTCTTGAAAGTAGTTGCTTCCAACTGCGCCAAGCTGTGCCCAACAGAGTAAATTCTCCTAGAGATAATACATGTAACACCTACCAATAAAATGTAGCACCTGTTTGCTGTGAAGTGAAGACTGGCTGCGGCAAGACGTCCTGTACGATTCATGTAATTTGCCAATAGTACTGATTCATGGTGGCCAAATTGAGAAGGTGACAGTAATTCCATGCATTAACAGGCTAATTAAAAATACCTTATTGCAAGGTTAAGCGTAGTGTGCTTGTGGCTATGAAAGATAAGAGCCATCGCTGGCAAATTCTGTTGACTAAGGGTTACAAACAGGAGGATTTATTATATCAAATCTCAACAAACTAGACCAGGCAAATGCTTGATCAATGAGCACGAAGCATCTAAAAAAGTCTTCTTTAAAATTATTTGTCTTGTTATTTGTTGAGTTTAAAGAGAAAAGGGAGATAACAGTCGGCATAAACATCAATCGGCATAATATCACTCAGAAGTTTATTGATTGGCCAATAGTTGATTGACACATGACTTAATTCTTTAAAGTATTTGTCGATTGCTTTTACATTTCAAACTATAACTCTGTTATGAAATACAATTTGATTATTTCTGTTGGAATAATCGAAAATAACACATCGAACAATACGCCTAGATGCAAGAAATTTCAAGGGTTGCAATGTTCTCAAACTTACAGGAAATTATTAATGCAAAATTTTTCGCAGCTAATTCAATTTTAGTTCAGTTCAGTTAAGTTTTTATCTAAAATTTTACTGTATACATACATCTGTTGCAAATTCACATTTATCAAAGTTTAAAAAGTATAAACAATGTCAAGGGAAGTTAAGCTATATAAAGATTACAGAACAAATACATAGAAGAGAAACAAGCTAGTATTGTACACAAGGAAGTATTTAAAGGACAGAGCATCCCCCTAGTAATTACATGTGTTTTGATCAAATTGTAGTGCCAAAGGTAAGGCGTTTTGAGTCATTCACAGAAAAAACATCTATGTATGGACTAAGTAGAAAAATCGTCATTGGTTACTGTGTTGTATTGTAAAAAGATCTTAAGATTTTTTAAAAGGTTATTTTGAAGGAAAATTTCGAATTTCTACATGAATAAAAGAAACAAGAAAGCTGCATAAGCTTTATGTAATAACTTGCATAACATTGGAATAACATCAATTATATATCAATACGGAATTGTTTACACAACACCTGTGAATAACATTTTTGTAATAACGACATTCTATTGTGAGTTCTCAATCTGCCTGATTAGTAAAATCAAATATCTCCGTTTTGATATTCACACCGAGAGCAAGGAAGGTTCAGCATCATAGGTCAGCATTTGATGGTATCGGGCAAACATTTTGGCATTGAAACAATGGTAAGGATGTTCATCCTTAAATAAGGTGACGAAGATTCTTTCAAAATCTTTTAGGAGATTTATGACATTACCAAATCGGTAATCATTGCCTCTTTTGAATATATCCTTCGCCATCAAACTATCCACAGATGTAAAATTTTCCAAATTCATTACGTATAATTTTTGAAAAATATGTCACTAGGACAGAAAAATCCTCCCCCTTTCTCTCGATTTTAACATTAAAAATGGAAAAGTTTCAAATGAAGAAGAAAGCATGGTAAAAAACACAATATTTTAGGCTTTCACATAAATGATGATCTGTTAACAAACTCAAATACAGATTATTTGCAGCATACTTTTGCCCTGTCAATGGCAATTCAAAACGTTGATAAAAACAACAAAATACAAATTGCCATGCTATTATCTTACACAAAGATACTTTCCTTATCATATACAAGTTATTTTTTTCAGACACAAACTATTTAAAAAAATGCATAGCCCATTGAGAAGGTCTGTTTTCACACGGGCCTACCATACTTTCGCACCAATAAACTTAGAAGTTAACACAGGGCCCGCATCAATAATCCTAAACTGAGCCATAGATGTAATGAATGTTTCTTGTTACCAACACCCCCCTCCCTTTCTACCCCTCTCCCCCCCCCCTATCGTGGTAAAAAATATTTTACGTTGTTTTGCTTGTGAATTTTGGCTCAATGTATTTGTTGTAATCTACAAGCCTATCTATAAATGCTTTAAGGTTATTTAAATCTTTTAGTTAGTGAAAAATTGGAGACCATGGCCCCCTTGATCCCCTCGTTTGCGCGGGACCTGTGACACATTTATTCTTTTCTGTTGGATAATCAATATCGTTTAGCATTTTGTACCTGTTGTACACCAGATATGAAGAATTATGCTCCAAACGCCGCAATGACATTCAATTTCCATGCACAAAGTCGTATTTTAACTATTTAAATAGATTGTAAATAATGAACTGATGACGGAAAAGCATTTTGCTCTTCCTATACAGCTCCCGTTATATCTATCAGAGAATGTGAAATACCTTACTGACTTACGGTACATAACTGACTATTAATGTTTCATAAATAAAAGGAATGTAGCCAAAATACCAGTGATACGTTTTTGGAAGTCTTCGTAATTCAACATCTATGTTGAATATTTGGGAATTCTAGCACCCACTAAGGCCTTTTAAGCGCTCTTTGGCGCTGTATTATTACTGTTTTCCAACTTTAGTGCTAGCTTTTTTTCATGTCATAGATACATTGCCTCTCTAGTAGGCAAATAAGATACCGTTGCTTCTTGCAATCAATATTGAAATTCACCTGATCCTATTTTTCATTCAGAAAGAGGGGAAATAGCGATTGGGATATTTTTCATTAATAACAAGTAAAGCTCAATATACTTTTTAATTGTTATTCAAGTGTCGTCTCCCTAAGAAGATGTAGACAAGCATTAAAGCATATTACACCCTGATACTCCAGATGTGTCAATTATACTGTCCTACAAAATGATTTTTGTTAAGCAAGAAGTTCATCGCTATCCTTTCAAACTGGTTTTATTCTTAGGTTTTCCTGAATGCAACTTACCCTGATTAAAAAAGCCAAATATATTCTGGTTCGGAAGCAGAAGTTTTTTCGATTCTTTGCTCCTTTCTTCTATTTCCGCTCGCAAATTTACATGGCTCTGGTTATCAAAGTGAGGAAATGTTCTGGCTTTGATGTCCAATCACTGCCAAAAGTCTTGGAACACTAACGTAGGTTTTCAAAGGCAAATTCAGCCATCCCCCTCTCCCCCTAGGAACAATGTTGATTTACTTTAGAAAAAAGAGAGGGGTTATGGAGTACGCTTTTTCTTGTTGATTGTTTGATATTTTTCTATACTTTCAACATTGTTTTGGGGGGAAAGGGGGGCGGAAGTGGTAGTATTCAAGAAAACAAATGAAAAATAGAAAAGCACAGCCCAAAGTGTTAGGTGTTCCAAGTAATTTTGGCAGTGATTGTCTATATGGCTAATCGCCTTTCAAAAACAGCACGAACATTGCGTTTTTGTTTAGATTGTAGTCAAATGTATGCAGCTAATCGAAAAACATTTCATTATGTTCAACATTGAACAAAAAATGTTTGAAGATAAGTTTTTGACCCCGTTTACACGAGACCTGGACAAGATCGGATCCAAAAGTATCCGGATACTTTTGGATCCGATTCCTAAAATGGCAATGCGTTTACACGGGATCCGATCCAGAACCATTTGCGTTTACACGGGAACGGATCCAGATGAATTCAATTGGTTACGCGCATGCGTTTTTCGAAAATTTGCGGGCATATGACGTTTTCAGAACTTCGTGCGTGATCAAAACATTCGTAATAATTCTTCAACACAGTAGTTTGTTTATGTTCGGTTTTCTGGCGCCACAGATTACATATTCAAACTACCTTGAATTGAAAAATATTCTGTCTCACTTTCGGCAAAAAACGCCGATCTGGACCAGATCCACCCACCCGTTTACACGGGATCCGGTCCACATCGGATCCATACGGGATCACCTCTGAAATCCGATCCTAAAAGTGTTCGGATAGTTCCCGTGTGAACGCAAGGCCTATCCGTACTCTTTTGGATCCGATCCGGATCGGATCCACTCTCGTGTAAACGGGGTCTTTGTGTCCTTGTCGATAAATTGTTCATGTCTTAGCGAACTATTGTAATTTCATGATTTTTTTTCGATCTCCCAGTCTGTAAAAACAGTTCAAGAGCGAATTATTCGAAAATTTTATTGTCTTTGTGCATCAGTAAACTTATCTTGACAATCTCTTCAGATCTTTTGTGCACTTGAATTCTACTTTCGTTTGCTCCACCAAGGTTTTGGTGGCGGCGGCGGTGGTGGAGGTGGCGGAGGTGGAGGTGGTGGAGCTGCAAAGTAATGACAATTATTGGTTTGATCATTGGGATTATTCCAATTGATACGATATATAATCAAAACACTAATACGAATAAGATGGGCGGCTCAAAAACGCTACAATTGGATAAGAATCTTCAATTATCTGTATTTTGATTGTAAAATTTAAGAAAACTGCTTATATAAGCTGATGTAAATAGACTTTTCAGAGTCACATGCTTTATGAATGATCCAGAAGGTAGGCTCCTCCTGCGCATTGCAAATAGGGAGACAAAAAAATGATGCTGCTTGGATACCCTCTTGGATATTATACAACACTGCTTCCATGAAAGAGTCTATAGCGAGAATGGCCGAATCAGCACTTTGTTACATAATTGGAAGAGAATGTTCTGTAACCCCACACTAATTAACATGAATCTACCAGCCAGCATGGTTTAAGAACGGCTCTTGATAGATGCTAGCTTGAACTAGCCCCGAAGAATGCAGATTGGTGTAGATTAAGCCAATCAGAAGGCAGTTTTTATTTGAATAATAGGGCCATAAGAAGTACTTGATTGGTGCATTCTCTCCTAGTCTGGGGCTAGCCCCAGAAATCAGTAGACAGTTTATGATACAGGTTTTGCCTGGTTTTCAAAAGAAACGCGGGACCTAAACAAACTAGAGAATGGGCTCATAAGGAAAATAGAAAGTAGTAAACATGCCAAAATTATATCGGATGTTTATTTTATTGAAGAAAGTAAATCTAGAGCTCATTCTTGGAAATCTTTGGTGGGGCTGAACCCTACTAGCCTCGATGCACGAGCCGCAACTGGCTTTGGGGTTCTATCTCGTTTTGTCTCTCCTTTACCGAAAAGCAATTCTTCTCTATGAGCAACACTGCTATGAAAATGCCTAATTTTCTTAGCACGCGCAGAAGTCGAAATCGTAACGAATTTAATGGTTTGATGCTATAAACAATTTATTCGAACATTCAAAGGCTGTAAAGATTTCAGAAAACCTCACACAAAGCCTGTTATGATAGGCTTTGTGTTTTCATCGCTTTGATCTATAGATTCACTCATTCTAATATTGACATGAAACTTGGAAGGTCTTGCAAAGCTATAGAATAACTTATTTATAGCTGCAAAGTTATAGCTGCAAAAAATCAAGCAAAGAACCGAATTAGGATGGGGACTAAAAATGAATGAACATTCGAATAAATATCAATTGAAGACCTACAATCTAATAATCAAAGATTAAAAAATTTTGTACTGTTGGGTTTTTTTAAAATCTGATCTTAACATTTCCGGGAATTTAGTGCTTTTAACAAAGAACGACTCTAGATTTGAAAAACTTTCAAACTTAGCTGGTCAAAATGAGTTTTATCAGAATTTACATTTACGTCTAGATTTTCAAAGAAAAGATATTTTTTCTTTCTACCTCCATCATTCTACCACGAAATATTTGTTTGCAGTTTTTTAATTGGGATGTTTCCCTTTTCTTAGCATAAATCGATTATCGATAAAATCAAACTTCTAAGTGTTTTTGACGATACTTGCAAAGAACAAGTCTGTTGATTATTAGTTTATCTCATTCTAATCTCGAAAAAATTTTTCCGAGCGGTTTCTTTTCCTTCCACACCTAATTTTTCTATTTTAACGCGTCTTTGAGAGTTTGTCGGTTAAATAATAGACCTTGTAAGCCATTTTTAGGCCATAGAAAATGCAAATCTCTTTTATTTGTTTTAGCGCCAAGGTATTCTGGATCAGGTTTCTTGATCTATTTTCTAAGCCAAGTTGTTGCTCGTTGTAAAACTTGGAAAACTACCGCTTTCTTCAAGCAAATTCCCGTGTTAAATTTTCCTTCTGTCTTTTGTGTAAAAACAAACTAAACAAGAGGATATTGAAAGGAATAATAAGCACAATAACCTACAGAATTATCGACTACATCTCATTCTCCTTTTTTCTAAAATACCTTACTTTTCTCTGGGCAATAGTGGGGGCATGGCTCCCCACCCCCTGGTTTTACTGGCCCTGTCCCATATAACATTTGGTCACAGAGCAACAACTAAAGGCTTTACATATGGAGGGTGACTTTTGAAAATAGGCGATTCACGACGAAGAAAATTCGAAAAAGGAACTAGATTATCTGCAACATGCTAAAATGAAACTTGACGTTTTATTCATGTTGTCGTCATTGTCAGAAATAAGAATATTTAAGATAAGTTAATATATAATAAAATGATTTTTTTTGCTTTTCCGCTTTCAATCTGAACTCGACCTTGGCCACATCCAAATAGAAATTCCAATATTGTTGGAATTATATACTACAACCGACAGTGTCTGTCTTAGGCTCTTTCCAAACGTTGAGCTTCTCATGTGAAGAACTAAATTTAATTTGGTGCAGCATCCAGCACCTGGACCTGTTTGCTGCGACTCCCGTTTCAATCGCCAAACCTAAATGTGCTGCTCGCCCGGCTTAAGTCCATTGATGTTTTTACTTCCGTTTCTGCAGAGTCAGATTCAAAATCTGATTCAAATTCAGATTCGGGTTTGCGCGTAGGTTGAAGATTCGAAAAACTGCCCAGTCGTCTCAACCATTTTTGGAAACAGAATCTAATTCCTATTGAAGATATTACCATACTAGTAGCTACCATTTACAACAAAAATCAGTTGAATATCATTTCTCGTTTTTTCTGGAAAAAAGGGGTTTATACTGACTGTTAGCTGCTCTGCATAAAGGGGCAAAAATGATCGGCGCTCACCCCCGTCTTAAATATAACTGGAAACAGAATTTAATTCCTATTACAGATATCACCATACTAGTAGCTACTATTCACAACAAAAATCAGTTGAATTTCTTTTTTTGTCTTTCTGGAATAACGGCGACCGTTAGCGTAAAGGGGAAAATCTGCAGTCATATTTTAGAAATTTCGATGAAAATTTCAGTAACAGGTTTAAAAATTTCTGTGGAAGAGAAAAACTTTTGTGAGATCAATTTCTGTCTCCCCTACTTTATCGAAAGATAATTGCACCAAAATTTTTGGTACTTAATGCTAATTGCGTTAGATGAAGCTGGCTAGAAATATTCATGATTTTTTCTCACTAGTAGCAAGAACCTTTTTGTAGCAATTGTTGTCAAGTTGTGTATCTAAAAAGCCTTTGCTTTTATTTATATTTCAAGTCCAAGATAAAAAATATTATTTGATATCTATCTTGCACAAAAAATAGATTGAAACTATGTGCATCACTACCTGTCTCGCATCTTGTTCCGGTGTAACCATTTATGCAAGAACAGGAATAATAATTGACATAATTGTTGCATCCCCCTCCATTATAGCAAGGATTGCTTGCACATTCGTTGATATCTGTATCATAAAAAAGCATAAATTTCATTACATATTTGTAACACTCAATTACACACTAATCCACTTCAGGTGAGCAAAAGTTAAAAAGTTAAAAAGTATGAACAGTATAAAAGGAAATTAAATTATATAAACTTTACTGAAAGTGAATTCAATTCAACATAAAAATACAGCGTAGAAAATCAAGCTAGTATTGTACACAGGGAATTATTTAAAGGAGCAAACTCTCTCAGTATTTTATAAACTAGTTGAGGAGAAAGCACCCCTAGTAGACATGGTTGGTTAAGTTTGTACTGCCAAAGGCATGAAATTTTGCGTGAAAGTGCAGTAGGAACAAAATTCATATTGTGAAGGGGGGAGGGTGGGGGCTAAGGGGCTGCCCATTGTTTTGCTTCCATTCAGTACATTGTTATAAAGAAAGTATGAAACACCATGACAATTATCAGTGGGTCCAGTTCCCCAGCCCCTTTCCGCTTTCTACGGCCCTGGTCTGTAAGTTGTTTTGGGTCCTCCAAAGATAAAGGCAATCTAAATTTAGCCTAATTTGAAAAAATCTTCATATCAAATATCATTTGATATCTATCTTGCACAAAAATTCAATTAAAATTATTTGCATCACTACCTGTCTGGCATCTTGTTCCGGTGTAACCGTTTGCACAAGAACAGGAATAATAATTGACATAATTATTGCATCTTCCTCCATTATAGCAAGGATTGCTTGCACATTCGTTGATATCTGTATCAACAACAACAACAAAAAAGTTCATTTCTTACCTTTAAGACTCAAGCTTTAAAAGTATGAATAATGTAAAAGGAAGTTTGATTTTATAAATTTTACAGGATATTACTTAAATTCAACAAACAAATACTAGGTAGCGAAAAGGTTAGTATTGTATACAAGGAGTCCTCGAAAGAAAAAAGACAATTTAGGTATAGAGTATTTTGAAAAATTCGTCATATCAATTATAATTTGATATCTATCTTGCACAGAAAATTGATCCAAGATATGTGTATCATTACCTGTCTCGCATCTTGTTCCGGTGTAACCATTCACGCAAGAACAGGAATAATGATTGATGTTATCGCTGCATGTCCCTCCATAATAGCAAGGACTGCTTGCACATTCGTTGATATCTGTATCAATAAAAAAATATTAATAGACTCCATCACACACTTATTTACTTTAGGTAAGCTGTAAAAGTATCAACCATGTAAAAGAAAGTTCAAATATATAAACATTAAAGGAAAGGAAGTCAATTCGATAAACAAAGAAAAAAGTAGAGAAATAAAGCTAGTAATGTACAAATGGGATTATTTAAAGGAGCAAACTCTCTAAATATTTTAAAAAATAATCGCTTTGAGAAAACCTCTTGGTAAGTTAGACGCGTTTTGCTTGGTTTTTACTGCCAAAAGTAAGAAATTTTCTGTGAGTTTCCTTGAGTCATATACAGAAAAATAACATCTAAGTACAAACTAGTTGGAAAAAATTGTCACAACAAATATTATTTGATATCTATCTTGCACAGAAAATTGACATGAAATATGTACATCACTACCTGTCTGGCATCTTGTTCCGGTGTAACCGTTTGCACAAGAACAGGAATAATAATTGACATAATTATTGCATGTTCCTCCATTATAGCAAGGATTGCTTGCACATTCGTTGATATCTGTATCAACAACAAAGAGAAAAAGTTCATTTCTCACCTTTAGGACTCAAGCTTTAAAAGTATGAATAATGTAAAAGGAAGTTTAATTTTATTAATTTTACAGGATATTACTTTAATTCAACAAACAAATACTAGGTAGAGAAAAGGTTAGTATCGTATACAAGGAATTATTTGAAGAAGCGAACTCTCTATATTTTATAAGCTAATCGACGATAGAGCACCACCTTAGTGAATAAGACACGTTTTGTTTTATTTGTAGTTGCAAAATTATGAAATAGTCTTTAAGTTGTTTTGAGTCCTCGAAAGAAAAAAAACAATTTAAGTATAGACTATTTTGAAAAATTTGTCATATCAAATATAATTTGATATCTATCTTGCACAGAAAATCGATCCAAGATATGTGTATCATTACCTGTCTCGCATCTTGTTCCGGTGTAACCATTCACGCAAGAACAGGAATAATGATTGATGTTATCGCTGCATGTCCCTCCATAATAGCAAGGACTGCTTGCACATTCGTTGATATCTGTATCAATAAAAAAATATTAATAGACTCCATCACACACTTATCTACTTCAGGTAAGCTTTAAAAGTATGAGCCATGTAAAAGAAAGTTCAATTATATAAACATTAAAGGAAAGGAAGTCAATTCGATAAACAAAGAAAAAAGTAGAGAAATAAAGCTAGTAATGTACAAATGGGATTATTTAAAGGAGCAAACTCTCTAAATATTTTATAAAATAATCGCTTTGAGAAAACCTCTTGGTAAGTTAGACGCGTTTTGCTTGGTTTTTACTGCCAAAAGTAAGAAATTTTCTGTGAGTTTCCTTGAGTCATATACAGAAAAATAACATCTAAGTACAAACTAGTTGGAAAAAATGGTCACAACAAATATAATTTGATATCTATCTTGCACAGAAAATTGACATGAAATATGTACATCGCTACCTGTCTCGCATCTCGTTCCGGTATAGCCATTTTTGCAAGAACAGGAATAATGATTGATATTATTGTTGCATGTTCCTCCATTATAACAAGGATTGCTTGCACATTCGTTTATATCTGTATCAATAAACAAAGTAAAATTTTCATTACTTTTTTGTGACGTCAGCTTATGTTTGAACTTTAAATAATCCATTGCAATTGTTTGTGATATAATTAGTCAATATTTAACATAAAAAATTGCTGAATGCTCAAAAAAATTCATGATTTATAACTGATTATGATGTGAATGATATGCGTTCCAAATCTTTTAATTAGCTTTTTAATTGTTAAAAACACTGATTCAAAATGGCAGTTTCTTACCAATACATTTGAACCGTCTGTTCGTCTCACACACGTCCTGACATATATAGCCAGCTGCACATGCTGTAGAGTCCACACTCAGCACCTGACAGCCAGGAGTTACCTAGAAATCATTAAAATTCAGTTTGAAAAAAAGTCCTACCGCGCTGCGTCAACTAATGCAGCAAACAGAGAAGCAAAACTTTACAAGCCAATTATATAGAAGCGTCAAATGCGCTAGATGTCAATTTTTTCATATCCGTCATTTTGAATAGTTGCAAAAGGAACTTGCTCCATATTGAACCCAAATAAATTTTATTAAAGAAGGGTTGATTTCGTTCACTTCTCTTTCAAATATCAATGTGAAAATTGGTGAGTGACCTTATATTGCACTTAAATTTATAAATTGATGTTAATATTGAAAATATATTTGTATATTTCTGTGTATTTGTTGTTGCTCATTCTCCTCGCATTGCGGTGTTTCTATTATGTGATTAGTGCTGTTGATAAAGGAATAATAGAGGAATAATAAACACCTCTAACTGTGCAAAACAAGTTGAATGTGTTGCAAATATGGCCACTCTGTGATTTGGTCAGAATAACAGTAATCCGTTAGCAAATTTGAAATCTTTCATTGGTCGTATTTCACCCAATGTTGAATATATCTAACTGCTTTTGAATGTTGTGAGGTATATTTTGCCGCTCTTTCAGGTGATGTGGTCAAAATTTAGAAATTCTGAAATTGGATTTTATATGACGTCACACTTCGGTACTCTATTTGCCTGTTAATATTACAGCTTTGATCACCATTAATTTCTATAAGATTTTCTTCCCCTAATAGACACATATATCGCAAAAATGTTAAGAAGACTACAAATGTGTCATAGAAAGGAAAGCAATTGGGGCATTTATAGAGGCCAAGATGGTGCACTTGTTGCTTTAGCTGGTTTGCTGGTTCGCTGGTTCGCTGGTTCGCTGGTTCGCTGGTTCGCTGGTTCGCTGGTTCGCTGGTTCGCTGGTTCGCTGGTTCGCTGGTTTGTTGACAAAATATTGATTTCAAATGTAAACTTACATTGCCATAATCTATTCACTTTATTTCAAATTGAACTTTCACTTTTACATTTCAAAAAGGTTAATCTGAAATGTAAAAGTTTCCATAGGCATGCCCAATAGCCAATCAATTTTTGCATCTGATTTTACTTTAGGAAGTAAACGACGTCATTCAGATTGTAATGTTTTAAAAAAGCGCTCATTTTAAGGTGTTCCTTATTTTGGTGAGAAGAATACCTTCATGAGATTGACATTAGTATAAGCTTTTGGTTCTTGAAAAATGATAATTATAGTGGAAGAAGATGAGATGGTCCGCAATCTTATTCTAGAATTCTATCCTAACAAAAACTTTGCATAAAATCCATTTACGTGGAATGAAATATTTTAAATTTCCGTCATGGTGGATTTATAGGTAATAGCGCTGAAATCCATTCGGAGCATTTACCCATTACGTTTTCAGAGGCGGCGCTACATGGGATGTGAGGGTGACATCCCCCAAAATTCATGAAGTGACAATTTCCTCGCAGACACTGCATTTTTATTGGTTACTCAGCAAATTTTGTGGTAGGCTTCGGTTAAGAAATCAACGATAATCGATTAAATATTTGGATCTTTAATTTTCAATTCGATCTGATTCTCTTCGTTCCTCGGCACATTCATATTTTTTCTGTCAGTTGACAAATTAAAGCCAGTAAAAGCCAAACGCCACATTACCACATTACAATGCTGCAGGATTTTCTGGAGTTAATAACGATTAACTCTTGGAGTTAATAGAAATAATTAGAGGTAGTTGTAGGGCAAGCGGTGATGCAAATTCACTCTTTCAACAACTTTATTTGACTGTTTATCGACTCTTTTATTCAAAATTCCGAAAAAAAAATAGTTTTTCATGAAAAAATTTTCCTGCATCAACGGGTACACGATGGCGATTTATCGAGGTATTTTTAAGAGTTGAAGAAATCTCAAATTTTTTATGTTGACGGGGATTCGGCGACATTACGTGGACATCGTAACTCATTTAAAAACGTTTTCATGTCTACGTAAGCATCCCTGTAGCATCACCGTCCCTAGGACGGAAACGCGTCCACATCACTAACAATGATACAGAAACTAGGCAACATAGGCGCTTCCTTTGTTTAGCGGAAACTACTTCGGCGGCTCCTTGCAATCACAGCAACAGGATAACATTATTGATGAAATTCTGATGAATGGGACTCAAACTGTTCTGTTCTGCAAGCTAAAAATCTACCTACCCAAATGTTCTGCTGGTCAGATATCTGGCGGTGGTGGTAAATTTTTAATTTCCTTAGCCTAGAATCTATGTTTTCGTTTCGAACGGCGCTCTTCCTCTAACCTTCTCACATAAGTTAAAAGAAGTGGATATTACAGTGTATTCGAAGCAAGAAACGCTTCTTGACCGGATCTGCATTTTCATAATTTATCCGCCCAATGATTCGAGCTTGCTGAGGAGAATAATCGGCAATGCATTGTCAAGTTGTTGCCGTCTTATAAATGTTGTATGAATGTCAGGCTTAACAACGACACCAGGAGTAAGGTTATATTTTAAGGTGTTAAAAATTGCTTCAATGAGTGCATTTTCCAGCCAATTGTAAGCATCAAAATTCGAAAATCTCCCAAATCTTCCGCGATAACAATGATGCCTTCTCTGATAGCAACTTTATCGCCTGCTTGTTTATTGGTCCTGCCGAAATGATCTGGAAGCAGGCAGAAACCTATGCTATCTAGTTACAAATGGTTCCTTTCCTGTTTAATGATTGAATGAAGAGAGTTTTGTGATGTTGCATATGGCGTTATATCAGTCAAAGTTTCATCAGGAAAGTCTATCCCTGAATCTTTTTGACGATTGTCCCATTTCCGAAAATCTTCTACATACAGCCTTGCGCGCCTGTACCATTCCATCGCTGAGATCCTTATGTTTTCAAACGAAATGAGATATAAAAGCTAATTTTTATTTTTATTTCATTATGATGTTGCTTTAGACTGCCGCTATTACTACAATATTACAAGACGGTATTCAGTACTCTTAGGCTTGGAACAAAAGGCGGGGGTTTTAAACACAGGTCGACATTAAAAAAGTCCATTGATAAAAAATTTCACGATGGTGAATGTGAGCAAGAAACACAAAAGCAACAGTATTGTACCTAAAATGACGTCGATTGAGCCTAAGACAGATTTTTAAGAATTAATAAACGGGCGAGAGGGTTCCTTCAATTGTCTTCATCGGAATTTGCCTCTGTTTGATATAATCTCCTACTCGGCAACCTGGCACCGGACACACTTCTTGAGAAATTTTTCTAACACCGTCCCTGGTCTTTTTGCACAACAAAGCATTAGTAACATGTTTAAGGAACTCACCGATTGACTAACTGGTTCATAATGGTTCCAGCCATCAGCACCAACTAAAGATCCAGAAGCTCGTGTTGATTCCAAAAGCTCACAGTCGTTTTGCAAAGCATTTGGTTTGAAATTGAATGACTTGCAATTCGAAACATCTAGGCAGTTTTTAAGGCAAGATGCTAGAGATTTCGAACTGTGTACTGCAATCAGCTGGTCAGCGACTTTTTTACCTTTATCTGTTATTTTAAAAATGGCATGTCTTCGACAAGGGCTTCTGTGTATATCATAACTTCCTTCATCCATGCATACCAATGAAAAAAGCACGAAGATGGTTAAGGTAACCATCCTAATGCATTGACAGCAAAATGAAATGTTACAGCGTCAACAGCCTTAATTAATGATTGCTTTTATTACTTCAATGAGATTGCCTCCGTTATTAACCATACACAGCTTCATTGACAAAATTATTACTAAGAATCTGTATGAGTACCTGTAACTAAATTCAAATAGCAGCAGGGGAGGATACCACTGATGTTTTTGCTAATTTCTGTACAGGCACAAAACACTACGTAACTCGAGAAAGTCATAACTGAGAACAGTTTTTTTTGCTGTGCAGAACTTGAAAATTGCTTCGTGTGGATAATTTAATTCTAATTTTGCAAGAGTAGGGTGAAAACTTGCTGGCAGGTGCTTAAAAGAAACACAAGAGGCGTGTGTTTGTTATGGGAAGTACTACTGAGTTTTATTATTCGTTTGATGAGTTTGATGGTATTCACAAGTGATGAATAGTGAATTTGATTTTCCTGGTGGCTGTTTCTTGACTGGGCTAATTATTCATGCAGCACTCAAAATAATGGCGTTGTATGGAGCCAATTAAAAGTCAGTTGTGGTAGCAAATGGTCCTGTGGCCATTCAGAGCCTACTAAAATCAGGAACACATGATGCACTGTTCTCTCGCATTACAGTATAAGTCCAATCTTTTTTTAATTTATGCTGAAATGTATATGGCATATATGGCATAAAGGCAAACTTCAATGATATGGTTGCTCTAAAATACCTCAGTCAAAGCCCACCATTCCCAGAAGAAGTATTCATTGAACTGATGGAAACTGCAACACGTTCATTTGAATTCAGTTTTGACAATAAAAGGTTTCTCATTCTTGAAAATGCAACTTTTTCATATTCATAGTAAAACTAGTATGAATGTGAAACTTTCTTCGTGTTCATAGCTTGAGAATAATTTTTAATCACACCGATGCCTTGATAATGGAAGAAAAACAATGAGACATCTGATTTAACTTGTTATCAAGAAAATTAAAAAAAATTGATGCTTTTGATAACTTACAACGAAATAATTATTGACTTTATGCTGATTGACAAAAACAGATATCAGTGCTAATTAAGATTTTGACACCGACGTCGTGTTGTTTTATTACATATAAAGGTGCTACGTTTTGATGCAGATAAAATCATGACAGATAGTCTCTGAAGCAATTTATAAATATATACACTTTAACCTTTTAACCTTTACACTTTAACCTTTCCAACCTAGTTGCGACTCAAACAGAAGAATCTAGTTCAGTTTGTATCACTTACTTTACAGGAGGGATTCCTTTGTTTTCTATAAGGTAAGTTTGAAATTTTCATTGTTTTAGGCTCAATTTTTCTTATGTTTTATGCTAAACAGGTTTTCTTATTACAATATCCTCATATTCTTTCGAACAGATTTGAAAACGTCGATTTTCATCATTGCCTAATAATGCTCGTTCCTCTTATGCTGTCAGTTAATTAAAATTTATCTACTTTTCCTGTATCAAAAACTTTAAATACTCCATGTTGATATTGTTGTAGCTGAAGGTTTTCCATTCAATGTTTTTGATACTCTCAATAGATTTACTTCCTTTTTTACCACCATCCACCCGATGGAGGCGGAGGTGGAGGAGGTGGAGGAGGTGGTGGTGGTGGAGCTACAAGAAAATTGTAATTTCGATCAATCGTCATTTAATCATGATCAATCATCTAAATATTTCATGATTAAGAATAATATTCCGTTCTCTGGTCGGTCATTTTGCCCTTAAAAATATAAAGTGAAAGTGTTCTCATCAAGTACAACAGCTATTTCCTGCCTTTTCTCAATTTGTAAACTTTGTGCCCATTCTTCTCTTTCTTGTTCAAATTTTTTTAACTCTTAGCACCTTTGACAAAATTGACAATATTCTAATCTTGCAACTTTTCAGCAATATACATGAATTACTAGGTACAACACTTTCTTTTTGTTTTCTTTAAGATCAAGCATTGAAAACCAAGAAAATATATCAATTTGAAATTTTTTCCTCTTTTTATGTTTAGTTTAATAGTCAGCGAATAGTGTTTTTAAAGTAATTTGCTTCAAATATTGTGTAAAGAAAATATACCTGTTTGGCATCTTGATCCAGAATAACCATTGATGCAGGAGCATGTGTAGTAATTGATGTAGTTATTGCAATTTCCTCCGTTGTAACATGGACCACTGGCACATTCGTTTATGTCTAAACATAATTTTGTGAGTGTGAATTTTTTGCTAAATTACAACTTTGGGTTAAAGTTAAAAAATGTATGGGGAGATCTACAACGATTCTTTATGGAAAATGTAAAATATTATATGCTACATCGTTTTTATTTAAGTACTTTAGATTGGAAGAATACCTTCCTTCAAATATCATGTGCTTTAAAGATAGTTTAAAACAGGATTTAAAACGTGCCCATCTTCTCTTTATCGTCTAATAATGCCAGTAAATATGCTAGAATGGAGTTTTGAAAAACTTTGTTCTATCTAACTTGATACTATGAGTTTAAAAATTAACGAAAATGACGAAATCGTCAATTACCAGATTGTATGGCTATATCTAGCAGTGCGAGATAATAAATGGGCAGTTTAGAGTAGTTCACATAAACCCAAATTGACCCCGAGGTGCATGCCATTGATGTTAGTATGCAGGTAAATCATGCCCATGAAGTGTGCAAAAGTTTGATTAAAGAGTTAATAAGAAAAAAAATACCATTTCCACAACTGACACCAGCATATCCAGGCTTGCATATACATTTGAATTCGTTGACAAGATTTTGACATGTTCCTCCATTTTTGCAGGGAAAGCTCGCACATTCATCAATGTCTTTATAAAATGTAAAAGGAAATTTATGGAAGAAAATATGAAAAAAATCCCTTTTCTAGATTTACAAAGCTTCTGGCTGTATTCAGGATACCAAAAGTATTTGGACTAATCAGTAGTGTGTTTATTACTCGTTTTAATGTCAAGTGCATATTATGGTTTGTTCATGTTTTAAAGAGATGTGTAAAGAAAAGAAAATATAAATGTTAGTTTAGACTTTCTACCAAACTACAGAATCTATAATTTTGTTCAAAAAAGTTGACAAACAATTTTTCATTTTTGTGCAGTTTAACTTATAGAAAATATCCCTCATTTAATAGAGCTTATGCAATAAATGAAACGTTTGGGCACTTTTGTTTTCAATTCATTGCAAGTTAACATTAGTTATATGTCTGCTGTGCAGAAATATAAACTTTTGTAAAATTTTTATCAGATGTTGAATTCTATTTAAACTGTTTTTAGAATTTATAGATAAAGGACTAGAGAAAAACTAAACGTGAGAGCAAACAAATATTACTTTCCTAATGGTAAACTGAAGCACTTATCCAATTGGTGACTTTATGAAAGCTTAGCTGATCAGCCAAATTCTTACCAATGCATTTAAATCTGCTATTTGTTTCGCACGAGTCTTCACATATATACCCTGGGGGACATGCAGTGGATGTCCCTGCAGCAAGACAGCCAGGAGTTATCTGTAAAAGATATACCATTGATTAATGAAAGTTACTCTTATCTCCTTTATTGTATCTATCACTATCTATCTCGATGCCGTATAGGCAAAGTTGTACTAACTTCTGTGTAGAATCATTATAACTCCAGTTTCAGACTGAATAAAAAAAGCCTTTTTGATTGGAGTTCTCGATATCAATAGGCAGATCTATTAGGGGTGTATAGAAAAAGATGGTTCTAAGCTGCAACTCCAAATTTCCACTCTTCAAAATATGTCAGTTATAAGGGAATTCAAATTTCTTTTCAAAAATTAGTTTCTCGCACATTTCCTCCTACTTTGTAATCCAATTTTTTTCATAAAAGATCAAAGACCACATTGACACTGGTACTGACCAAAACTGACACAGAAAGGCTTTTCTCACTCGACCTCCTGTGTTCATTCAATATGAATATGCTATCTATGCAAATTTTGGATCGCTTTTGAAGGTTTTCCCTTTTTACTTTTGCTAAAGTGTAGGCAGTATCGTTACAGAGACATATGTTACTCTAAAAAAACATTCTGACCAGGCCCCTACACGGAAGTCCCATCTAAAGCTGTAACGCAATAAGTTTCTTGGAAATAGTGCATAAGAAGTATCAACACCTTTTCTTGCAAAAGAAAATAATTTCATTTTTGTAGCTTCTGTGCTGCTTGTTAATGTTTGTACTCATTTCTGCTTTAAGAACTACTTTTTGTATTTTTTGTTGTTGCTGCTGTTTCTTGCAAGCTATTGTATTTCTTTTCATAACTTTAAACAGTTGTATAAACTCTTCTTTCTCAGAGATAGCCTAGCGTAACGAGCTTTATTTGCCTTGATTATTGTATTCATTCAATAGTTAATGTGAGGAGGATAATAATGATGAACTATAGTTGTCTATGCAAACTGAAACCTTACAAAGTTTGTCAATCAGTATCAACATTGCTTTCCTATCGAGTCTGAAGAGAGATGTTTTGACATTGAAAAGTGAATTATTGTAGATGCTAGAACCATTATTAGATTTACTATTGGGTGGTCGATTGAGAGAATTTGATGAATACCTTGTGGGCATCAATGACTCGATTCACTGTCTTGATTCGTTACCATAGGTCGGTTGGCCTTCACCTGCTAAGACCTCATCTACTCAATGAATTCGTCATTCATCCAAGAAATGAGATTTACATGGCAGCAATAATTAAAACAGATGGACATCAGGTGATTTATTGAAGGTAGATCATTATCAAAGCGTACCGATACTATAATTTCAAATGTCAAATGTCAAATGAAATACTATAACGTAAAATGAAAACTTCTCTTGAAAATATTCCTGAAACATTATAAGTTTAGAACATAATCATGTGCCATTTCACATCTTTCCTTGTCGTTTTTGAATGTTTGTTTTGGTGTATTTGCTTTTCCCTCGTGTTTGCTACGCATTCTGAGCAAACGCAGAGGCGGATCCAGACTATAGCAACCTATGCAAAAGCACGAGTCAGATTTTTACAACAACAAAATAAAATGGAAACTATCAAAATTTTTAATCAAGAGTTTTTTTGGCAAATTTTTCAGCAATGACCGTTCTAGATCTGCCCCCGTTGATACCAACATCATGCAGAAGGCAGGGCATATATTTTGCTGACTATCTTTCGGCCTCTGCACAAATTAGTCGAGTGGCGATTCTAGGCATTTATCTGGTTCTTATTTCTGAATCCAGAAACTTGCCTGTTCCTTGAAAGCCAATCACTATTTGTTTGACCTATGCAAACGTCTTGTAAGCCAATCAGAGTGTATTTTACCTCTGCAATCTTTGGCGCGAGCATAGGTGAGATTTAATTCATCAGATCAGAAGTTGAGCTTGCCTCTGCAGCGGTACAGCCAACCAATAGGATTCAGAGTTGACCTATGCAATTTTTGACAGTGAACCTATGCAATGCTAAGCCAGTCGATTTCAGAATGTCTGTTCTGTAGTGTTGTGGTATGACCACTGCGTTCGGAATGACTTTTTCTAAGACAATGTTATTTTCCACTCTACATCAAAACATTTTGAATTTAGGCATGCAGTCACTTGCAACGCAAATAATGCCTTGATTTTGAATCTCCAAGTGAACAAACAAAAACACATTTCATGGAATTCTTTTTGTAGTTTCGTTGGAATTCAAATTGTTATGGTATAGAAAGTACAACCTTTATGGGATCCAAGCTCTGGCAAGAGCTTACAAATGACATTAAAACATCTTCTAGCCTCGCAATATTTAAGAAAAAGATTAAAACTTGGAAAGGTACAAAATGCAACTGCAGACTATGCAAACCTTACGTTGCGCAGATTGGATTCTTGAAATAGTCATCGAATAATTGTATATTGTTATCTAATGAGTCATCCTTTCAAATTTGTACATTTCCTATATCATTTTATCCATTCATTGTAATTAATTTAAGATTTGTAAATGTAGTATAAATAGTAGGCTTTAATTAGCTGTTATATTAGCTAAAAAAATTTTGCTACGCCTTGATTCTGATTAGTAAGTAATGATTCTGATTGGAGACAGAAAGAGCAGGCTGATGACTGAGTAATTGACCATTTGCAGAGGTTTTTCCTAGTGGCAAGAGTGTTGTTTAGGTATTTGATGGTAAATTTGTAAATGTTTTTTGGTAACTTTTGCTGGACACTAGACCAAAGTTGATTAGTTCCCTTAGAAGCAAATTTTAAGATGCACGAGATAATAAATCCTTAAAATGTAAAAACGTTTTCAATGCGGTTTTCGTGTTCACTTTGGATGGATTTGAGAACTTGTTTTGTGTTGCGATAAACGTCATATTGTATGTTTGTACCAGTGCTAGAATCTTTCCATAAAGAGCGAATCTCTTGGTTTGGGGACAGTCTTAAAGAGTTGCGGATAACTGTTTGACATTGTTAAAACTTGGTAGATGGAAGAATGAGATTGATGCCAAACTTCGATTTTGGAATGACGAGGCTACTTAGTGAACCACTTATTGGCAGCTCGAGCCATTGTCTAACAAAGCTTGAAACAACATTATTTAGATTTTCTGTCACCCATGTCTTGCTTAAATCAGCGATGGTCAGGTTCCAGGAAATTTTGGATAGCACATATCGGTGGTATAACATAATTTTGTTCTTTGGATGACACGACAATTTGTCGAGACTGGACATTAACGAGTTGACAGTTTCCAATAGTTCTGACATATGATCACTATTATCCATAGGAAAGTTGAAGTATCTACCAAGATATTTAAAAGATCTGTCTTTCTCAACAGTGGGAACTATGTTTTTATTGACAATAAGTTTGGGTAGAAACTGAACAGATGAAGTAGATGATTTTTTTAATTCCAAATGTTGAGCACTTGTCAACCCGAATATGCATGTTTGCCCAAGAACACCATCTAGAGAAGTGGTTTAAGAGAATTTGATTTTCTTTTTCTTGACCAGTAAACACTGCCGCATCGTCAGCGAACTGAAACCAATGGACAGGTTTTAAGGAGTTTGTATAGAAGCCGAATTTGTTGAATTTATTATCTGAGATGAAAGTATTAAAGCAAAGGTTGAAGGTTAATGGGCTAAGGCAATCACCCTGAAGGACACCGCGGCCTATCGGTATAAAAGGGGTACGAAATATATCGGTTATGATAGATGTTTATAATAATAATTATAGTAATAATAATAATAATAATGGCAGGTAAGAATCTTCTAGAAAATTACATCCATAAGCTACGTGATGTATCTTTTAATTCATGCCCACTTCTTTGGTCAAATAAAGCGTTGATAAGAACATTTAGAACAATATATAGATTCAAGAAACGTCAAATCCAGGGTCGTTTCTGGCTTTTGTGCACAAGGGGGCTACCCCGACTCCATTTGCGTAAAAAGAGGGTGAGCTATCCTTTATTGTTCTTCCAAGGGGTGTCACACACCCCACATCCCTGTAGTAACGATCTGCGTTGAACCTTTTCTCTCATTCTTTTCTTTTTTCTATCGAACACAAATAAATTTATGTCGACGCCTCTTTCATTACGATTCTCTCTGAAGAGGTGGACGAAAGTACATTTGTTTCGTCTATTTAATCAGTTTATTCTAATATTTGGGATTTCTTGGTCTCCAGGCAACCGCACACTCTGGCCTAAAAATTCTAATATTGGTCATTTTCTCCAAGGAAAGGGGAGGCACTGAATTACAATTACAAAAATCTTCTTTGTATAAAAAATCAAGTCTTGGCCCCTAGAAAAGAAGCGTTTATTGAACGATATCTGAAAAGAAATCTCTTGAAAAACAATGTTCACCTCGCTGTTGAATACGCGGGAAAATAGGGATATAAGCAAACATATCACAGGCCATTCACCTATTATCTACCGGCTTTAAAAATATACACAATTTGTAAACGAAGTGAAAAGGCCGCCTTCATCATTTGAAAGAGGCGATCTGCCTTAATGAGGCTACTGGCTCGATACAATTAAGTACAGCCGCTTTGTGACTGTTTGTTACACTTTAAATGTATCCAAATTCTATGCTATGGATGACCAATGCTCCAACAGGATGATAAAGAATCGATTAAAACTTGCAGTTGTGATTTGTTTTTTGAGAGCTTTCATTACCATTTAGATAACCTTACCTTTATCTTTCTCGATTTTGCTTGTGCGCCTTGTTACGTAAGGTGGGTTGTCCAAAAATTGAGGTTTTTGCGTTGCGTAACACAACAAATCGTGATTTCCCATTATTGAATCAACAGTTTTATGCGTATTAAGTTTTAAGATTGAGACTGGAATTCCAAAACGAACGCTACTTTCTTTAGTAGACACCTTTAGTAACACTGCAAGAATACCTCCTGCACTATAACTGCTGAGCACATTAAAAAAAACTTATAGTAGTAAGGCAAACAACAAAGGATATGTTTGCGAGCTCTTTGCATCAGGCCTTGTAGTTGACTTGTGCAGTGACTGAATGCCCCAGTGCATCTAGGCACCTTCGCTTATTATGTTGAATATCCTGTCAAATATTCCTTTTCATCTGCAATCGTTGTTTTCATCCCATTTTTACCATTTATCAAAATAAAACAAACATTCAACTGTATTTATTCAACACAAAATCTTTTTAAATTTTGAAGGCTTGCAAATACAAATGAATCCATTAAAACCCAGACCTTGACAACAGTGATTCTAAAACTTTGCACCTACCGTTTGATGTACGGGCTCATAATGATTCCAGCCATCTGCCAAAGTTGTGCCTGAAAGTCTTGTTAAAGACAAAAGTTCGCAGTTGTCTTTTGAACCTTTTTTGAAATTAAACGATTTACATTCGGACACATCCAAGCAACCTTTAAGGCAAAATGACAAAGATGGGGCACTTATTGTTGTAATAAGTCCCCCAGTAGCCTTTTGTCCTCTGTCCGTTATTTTGAAAACAGAGTAACGCCTGCAGGGACTTTTGTATATTTGGTAGCAGGAGACAATTGCCGCTGATGCAGTTAATACAGCTTTAAGTAACCAGTTTTCCATCTTTGGAGGAGCCCTTTAAACAAATCGTTGCGGATCAACAAAACAACTTTATGAGAATTACAACTCACAACCTGTCTTCTTATGTGAATATAATTTAAGTGTCACTGAATGATGTTATAAATTTTTAATTATAAGTGAATGCAACTCGCAAGATGTATCAGCCTTGACTTGTCAGTATCGATGGTATTACTAACTAAGATGAAATTCAGAGAAAAATGGAAGCTCTGAGCGAAAAACTAGCAAATCTATATGACTTCCTAGATAAGCATAGTATCTTATATTCGTTTCAGTTTGTATAACATGAAAATCACTCTGTTAATCATGTTTTAATAGGCATGACAGAAACTATTAAAAATTCTCTTGACACCAGGAAATTTTGTTGCGGCATATTTCTTGATATGCAAAAGCTTTTGATACAGTGAACCGCTTTATACTTCTAATGGAACTTGAAAATTATGGAATCTGAGGACCTGCTCTAGACTGGTATAGATCTTATTTATCTGACCAAAGGCAGTATGTTTCTGTGAATGGGTTTAGCTGTAACTATCCTGACGTCACATGTAGAGTTCCACAGGATTTTATCCTTGGCCCCCTCCTCTTCTTGATTTTTATTAATGATCTACCGAATTCATCGCCTTTACTCTCCTCCTATTCATTTGCGGATGATACAAATACCTACTTTGAAGCTGACCGTCTGGATATGCTGCAAAGAGTAGTTAATAATGAGTTAAACAAGATTAAAATGGCTGAATGTTAACAAGTTGTCACTAAACGTTAATAGAAACAATCAGAAACAATATGTTTTGAAAAGGGGAAATGAACTGATACAGCAATCTAGGTATGTAAAATTCCTTGGTGCTCTTTTAGATGAAAATCTTAGTTAGAAATATCATCTATCTGAACTTTCAAAAAAATTGGCTAGGACATGTGGCACCTTTTTCAAGGTAAGACATTTTCTTCCACTTGATGTTTAGATCTGTCTATAAAATTCATTATTCTCTTTTTTTCTCCAGTATGGTATAATAGATTGGGGCTTTACACATGATGGTCATATCAAACCTATTTTTCTGCTGAAAAAGAAAGTGGTAAAAGCCATTGCATTTGAAAATTCCACTGCACCCTCCACTCCTATTTTTTCAAACTTGATGATACTGAAGCTGGAAGATCTTTTCCAGTTAAAATTGCTTTTTTTTGTTTATGATTCTGTCAATTCAAACTCACCAAGCTGCTTCCACAAATTCTTTGAATCTGTGTCAAATGCTCACCAGTATAGTACACAGCAAAAAAGACATTTTCTTTATACGAAAAAATACTTTGCAATGTCGTCTGTGTGTTTCCTTGGTGCTGAATCTTGGAACAATATCCCAGTAGAAATAAAATGGTCATTGTCTGTTGTCAGTTTTTCTCAAAAGCTTAAAATCTTTATATCAGACAAGAACTATCAAATTTGATTTTGAAGCCAAATTTATTGTTTTGTCACTGATGTAAATAATTAATTACATTTAAAACCACCTTGGAAAAGGTGATGCTCTCTCCTCAATTAGGTCATCTACTGAGAGAGCTCATCCTAAAGAAATTTCCTGCAAACAACATCTTACGTAATCGTTATTTATTGTTACAAAGTATTTTTTATGTAATGTGTTAACATTGTATGTATTTAGTTGTAAATTAGAGTAATAAGATATTGGATGTACAGAAATATATAAACATAAAAACTGAAACAGAAACAGAAACTCAAGAAGAATTTCTAGTAGGGAGCTCATTTGCCAAGCAAAAGCTGATGATTCACTAAAATTTGTATCAGATTCAATGCTAAGACATTCTCGCAAATGAAAAAACACGTGTCCGGTTTTAAGTTCCTTTAATTTCAAACATTCTGTCATAAAGAATTGTCGTACAGGGCCGGCAAAAACCATACCCCCAACTATTCTGCAAAATAAAATGAATATTTTAAGCAAAGATAGAAAAAATTGTAGCCTACCATTCTATAAGTTATTTTGCTTCATATTTCTTCATGTTTGGCCTTATCTTAAGTTTCCTTGTTATGTTTTTATTGTTTTCACCATTTAAGATGGGATTTTTTTGAAGAACATGAATCATTGTCTAAACTGTGCGTTATACATTACACGTTACACTGTGTGAGTAACAGATTTAAAAAATTATCTCAACTATAAAATATTGTTAGATGTTAGGAATGCGTGACTTACTTAGACTATACCGTATATCCTCGAATAAGTCCTCACGCTCGAATAAGCCTCCCCCTCGTATAAGCCCCCACCCAGACATTCATTTTTGTAAATAGGCCCCCGGGGGCTTGTTCGGGGTTTTACAGTAAAAGGAGGAACCTTATCTAGAATACCTTGGTTCCAAAGCTAAATGAGAGAGTTTGGCAATTTTGGCCTAAACCTGGCTAACCAGGCATATTGCACGGACAGAAATGAGGTGCAAAGATGGGAGGGAAGGGGGGACGGAGTTGTTAGATAATGATTAGATTTTTTGCCATACCCTTCAGGTGACTGAACACTGATGGCAGCACCCATTTTTAGAATTCAGTTTTCAACTTTAAGATGAATAAGACGAGAAGATAAATCTTTAAACAAAAGATCTTTATAGTTGGCTTCTCATCAATGAGAGGGATTTTCCTAGTAAGTTCATGAACTGAGATTTCCATTTCATTAGTCTTTCATATTGATTGTAAGCTTTCAACATTGCTTTATGGCTTCTCCATCTACCGCTGATATCATTAACTGTTTTCCACGCCAAAGCAGTTTGTTTGTTATCTGCTGCTTTTTTATTTTCGTCGATCTTTGACTCGAAATAGATTTTTTGTTAAAATTCATAAATTTCTCGTAGTGTCTTTTCGGTTTTCTTCGCGAGACTGATGTTCTCTACACTAGGGTTACTGTTCTTGTTCTTTTTTCCTTTTATGAGCACCTTTCTTTTTCCCATTGTTTTTTCCTCTTTACAGGTAGCTTCTCAGAGGCATATCCCTTTGCTGCTTCTCCATAGGCTGTCTTCAAGTTTCAATAGGATACATTCGCACTTTCTTCTGTGTTGAGGGATTGAAGGAAGTTGTATCTATTTCTAAGATTAAGTACAAACTGTCCAGATAGTGTTTGGTCATTCCTCGGCACTGAACAGTTGAATCTGGGATATTTTGTTGACGGGTTTTTTGTTGGCTCCAAGACTACTGATCCTACCTGTCGCGGAGACAATACGATGGCCAGAGCCTACACATTCAAAAGAATTGTACCCTTCGCAGTTTAATGAACCATTGCTCCATTTATAATTAACAAGAATATAGTGCAGCTGGGCTTTTGTGTTGTTTGGGTACAAGAAGGTTCATTTCTTTCCTTCTTTCTTCTGAAACTTCGTATTCAGGCACACTAGTTTGTTTATATTTTCAGTCAAGAAGAAGAAACAATTTCGATTTGAAGATTGATTGTAGGAATGTATGAATCCATTTTCTCTTCCTAGTTTTTAAGTCTCCTGCGAATATGACAGTATTGTGTTTTGGGAATTCTCTCGTGAGCCCAGACCGTTCGTAATAGAAATCTATGACATCGGTGTAATCACTACAGTTTGTTGGGCTATAGCATGCCACTATGGTTGCCTTTGGATTTCAATTGAAGGAAGCCACCCAAGGATTAATTTAAGGTGCAGTGATGACTAATTTGTGCAGTGATGAATCGAAAATGTGCAGTGATGAATTGCAAAATGTGCAGTGATGAATTACTTCACTAAAGAAATACTCCAAATACTACTGATTTGGATGTTTTTAGAATAAAGACAAATTAATAGAAACTATAATCAAGAGTTAAATGAGATAATAGAATCAACCTACGTGTGAAACTTAACTAAAGCCAGCTTTAACAAAAAGATAATAAACAGTTAATCTCAAACGCACTTTATAATGCAAAAAGTGTTTTTAAGAAAATAGCAATAGTACTGGAAAAGAAATGCGGCCTGTTTCTCTTCTTTTGTGTGAAATACAATACGCCACATAATTGGAGTGAATACCATTTATATCTTTGTTTTATATTTGATGAAAAATTTTTTGGTTAGGGTATCCATAAAGCTAGCCAGGTATAGTTTTGAAAGATTAGTAGCAGTTCCAGATTTGTATCATATAGACAAACCTCATATTACATAAAAAGTATGTAATATACAGTAAGGCTGTTTTTTGGACAGTTCTTAGAACATTGAAATATGTAACATGAGTAGAGGTCAAGTCCCTAAAAACAGCATTTTATGAAAAGAAACAGCTAGAAACAGTTGATTTGTCTTTTAAGGATCAGTGAATAACTTACAAACACAGTGAGTGATTACATTCCACTCCATTTCCCCCATTCACAAAGAAATACTATATTGATTCCATAGGGTGGAAATGTAGAAAAAATTCCCTGTTATCAGGTTTGCTACTTTATTTTCTTTTGTTCAGGTTTGATATGTTCTGGTAAGATTTATACATAGTCAGTAGCAGCTGTAGTTAGGCCAAATTACACTGAAAACGTCCCTGAAAACAATGTAAAACTTTGTTGGTCCGTCCAAAAGAGGTCCAGTCAAAACTTAGCCACACCCTTAGCAAAACCCTATTGGCCCCAAAAATCTGCATTTTACGCTGTTTTGTGCCTTGATGAAAATTCCTTAAATTAATGCCTGAAGCCACCAGTATTCTAGACGATATGGTTTCGATGTTGCTCAATACTCTCTGGGCTCTTGGACTAAGGAAAATGCCAACGCCTCCAACTGAGTTTTTGGAACAGAATGATGTGATAAGAATCCAGTTTTCGCCGAGATCATGGTGTTTTTGGATACAATACGATTCTCTTGATTACATATCTCTTCCTGGTTGGTTTCCATTGCAGCTTGGATGAGCTCACTAAGTTGAGATTCGGAAGATAACGTTCTAGCATTGAAGGTAGCTAGGTGCATAGGTTTTTCACACTGCAAAAGTTTATGCCCGGACGCTGAATTTTCGACTGCCTACCGGGCGTTTGCAGGACATGACCCGCGCGACGGGCGATGCGGTCTGATTGTCTAATATTGAGCTATGTCTTTTAAATTTTTCAATAGCTAAAAATATCTCACGGTCGCTACTCATGTGGATGTAGATTTTCGATTAAGTCTCCATCTCTACAAGAGCAGCTGGCCAATGCCCAGGCGTCTCCTCCACCCCGGTTTGATATTTGGAGTTGTACTTCTCTTAAGTTGATTGCCAACCAAAGCTGCCCAGCAGATCCTACCCGGAATCTTGTCTATCCGTTCTATTTCTTGTTGAAAATTGCAAGGGGTAGTCTTGATATAGCAGCAGAGACTCGCTCCCGTGCCACTTTAGCCGTGTTTAACACATTTCCATCCTGCCCCAAGTTCTCTAAGAGAACACCCAAAAAGACGTGGCGCGGAGGTGCGACTTCGGAGTTCACTCTGCTTTCAGCTGAAAGCAGAGATCTCAAGCAGGACCAAGCATAGAGTTAAATCTCAAGCATAGAGTTAAAACGAGGCTAAAAATGCTGCACTCTTAAGGCAGTTTTACGAGCAGTTCGTGATTTTGCAGTAACGTTTTGAAAAAGGCTAGCATAATAACATGGTTAATACTTATGCAAAATGAATTTTTACAAAATGTGACTTCTACTATATAATGTTGTGACATATTCTATGAAAATTTTTCAAAGTCGTCGATGAAATGCTTCTCGTCACGTGCTTAATGCTGCCAGTGCTTAATGTCATTGTCAGTTTTGTGGCTTGTTTCTACTTGCAGTTGATGACCATCTTGGTGACTTCATTTTCTTTTTTTCCACCAACCTGGAGGTGGAGCTACAAAAAATTTGATGAATTGGCAACCTTTAATTGTTATGTTCCATTAAATCCTAGAAGCTTTTACATTTGGATATAAAAAAGGGTCTATCACCAAAAATAAATTTCAAATATATTTTGCCATCCTGCTACATAACAAAGTGAAAGGTAGGAATTTGCGTTAAATATCATACATTGTCATTACGGAAAAACTATCGGAAAAGTCTATCTGGAAGTTTCAAATAACACCCAAAAAAAACTTACTTTCATTATATGTAATGATTTGCTGTTTATTACAGTACGATTGTCTCTATTATCACTAACATTTATGTAAATTTTTTTAAATATTTCGTAATAAAATCCTACCAGTTTCGCATCTAGATCCAGAATAACCATCAATACAAGAACAACTGTAAGAATTTATGTGGTTGTTGCAATTCCCTCCGTTTAAACATGGATTGCTGCCGCATTCATTTATGTCTAAACAAAGAAAAATAATTATTCTTGGTGAAAATTTGAAAAAATCAATTTGACTACTCTTATTCTTTGCCTATGCTAGAGTTTCAAAAAATTTTGATCAAACTTTATATTCAATATTTGACTAGCATTGATCGAATCTATCATACGGAAGTTAAGAAATTTTTGTATCTAATGACAACTCTACTACATAAATGAGTTTTATATGCATTGCCAACGAGATCAATGGTGGCGCCAGCAACAAAGCTCTGGAGGCGGGGGGAACAAGACAGAAATCCCTTTTTACTACCGGAAAACGCCCTTTTACCACCAGAGAACGGCAATTATATCCAAAGAGTGTGCAAATGACTAATTTTTGGTTATGGAAAAGCAGTTTGAAAATCACAGGATTACATCACAAAAAGTACCCTGTTAAAATATGACCCCTCCCTCAACAGTTTCTCATCGAATTTAGACGAAATGCAAAAATGATCCTACCGAGAACTGGGGGCACGTTAGCAAAAATTTATGAGTAGAAATCTTACCAGTTTGGCATCTAGTTCCAGTAAAACCACCAGCACAAGAACAAGTGTAGTGATTTATGTAGTTGTTGCATCCTCCACCGTTGTAGCATGGACTGCTGGCACACTCATTGATATCTTAAAAAAAGAACCAGTCTTTGTAAACATTAAGGAAACTGATTTGACTAATTATCTACGCCAATGTTGTTATAAATGTTTTCTTGCGCGCTTAATCGACAAATTGGCAATGATAATTTGCCGTAGATTTTTCTTGTTTGTGCAAATGGTTTAACATTTGGTAAAATGGGCATATCTATGTGAAGCATATCATAAAAAATACCATTTTAAGCTCCTAGCATTATTTTGCTTAATAACAAAATTTTAGTTGATTAACCTTAATATTTATAATGGATCTTAATATCTAAATGTCACCAATACTACAATATTTATTTTGAACTTTCCCATATTTTGTCAGAAATTTCTTTTACCTCAAATTCTCTCCCTATGTTCTACCGCTAGATTTTGATAATTATTAGATTGAAAAGATTTCTTCAGTTCAACGATGATAATTTAACAAACCAAACCAAAACTCCCGAATGTCTGGAAAGCTTTTGAAAGAAACTTCTGACATCACTTGTTAAAAATTAGTAACATTTAGATGAATTAATTAAATTCATGGCTTTTTTAAAAAGGAAGTATATATCATTGCAACCTGGTGTTGAAATGCAAAACGGAATAATTTATAAGAATGAGAAATGATATGTCTAGGAAATTTTTCACGGAGAAGGGAAATGGCAAACAAGAAAAGAAGACTCTTGTGCATTAATAATACAATGAATTGAAGGTAAAAGTATTAGTCATCTCTTTGATTTCCAACTACGCCTTGATATTATTAGCAAACGTACATAGAGCAAAATTTGCAATTGAATCGTAATGAATAAGCTAAATGATATAGGGCATTCTTGAAAATGTTAAGAAAATGTAAAGTTTTGAAATAATTAACTGGATACTTTAAACTTCGACCCTATTCACACTACAAATATGAGTCAAACCTGAAATTTTCACATCAATCAAAAAAGCTTTTTCATTATTAACAAAGTTTGTCAAACTTCTATTCACACCAGGCAGTCTTTTGAGATGATATCAAGTTGTCATTTGTTGTCAGAAATAGGGATTTCACGCAAAGGAAAAAAGATTCTGCTATCATCATCATAAGAGAAAAATATAATAAAGAAATCCACTCTTTTGATCCCTTATAAGGTCTACTGCTTCTTAATGGTTGGTAGATACGATATTTGATAAAAGAATCGATGCTCAATGAAAACTTCAAGCAACGCCTTCAACTTTCGAGAGAGACATTTTAGATCCTCGTCAGACTTTGCGAAGTGAACGTTACTCGAGAACGAAAACCATTCAGAACCAGCCTTTCTCCTGAAAAGAGTCCAAGCTGTAGGCTTTACAGACTTGCCCATGAGGCATCGTGTCAGGCATGTGCAGACGTTTTTAACATAGGTAGAACAACTAAACATGAAGCGTTCTTCGACGTAGTATCTGTTATAAATGCCGTGAAAAATAACTTAATATGGTTTCCTGTAACATTGGAAGAAAAATGAAAGCAATAAATACTTTCAAGAACCGATTTGAAATGCCGAACGTTCTTGGGGCTACCGACGGAACACTCATTAAGATCAAGGTTCTTAACGAAAATAAAAAAGATTATTTCAGTAGATTCCAGCGACACGATGTTGTGAGCCAGGGTATTGTTGATATAAATATAAAGTTCTTGGACATATTTGTTGACTTTCCCTGATCAATGCACGATGCGATGCAAGAGTGTAGAGAAACACAAAGACCAGTTAACTGCTATATAGAAAATTTGAATAACTGGAAGAAGCTGTGGTGATTTTTTCGAACCGTAATATGTCTTCCATTGTGTCACTTTTATTAACACCTTTCATTGTCTCTGTATCCACAGCAACGTAATCAACAACTACCATATAATATCGTCTCTTGCTAGCTCCGTGTTTTCTGCACGTTGAATTAGACTTAAGGCTCAAACGTCGTTTGCAAGGATCAAACACGTTTGATGGTAGAGAATTTAAAAAAAACTGAAACGGTATAAAAACTGTAGTACACAGTGAATAAATGAACAAAGCTACAAACAACGAATAAATTGATTAAATGTAATAGATAATGGATACATGCATAAAGCCAAGGAAAATACTGAAAATGATTTTAAAAACTGTCACTTTCGTGTGATTTCTCTCTTCTTCTATTTTTCTTGGGGCTTCGACTTAGACGTGTATTTTGTCTCTTTTTTTCTTCCCTTGCATATACCATACTCAATGTCCTTGACATATTTTGAATTGAGATTGATTTTAATCTTGCATTTGCATTCACATCTTTTACTGTCTCCACTAATTCGTTTCCCTGGTTTGACATTTCTTCCATCAATGCATTCAATTTCTCTGCATTTAGCTCTTTCACAGTCTACTTTTACTCATTTCTTTTTTTTCATCTCCCCACGTTCTTTGATGTGATTTGACTATATCAGTTCTGTGTTCTGATTATTATCACTATCATTACCTGCATCAGCATCTTGGTTAGACAAATCGTTAAGTGTATGGCTGATTATCTCAAACACTTCTAAAGATGGATTGGATGAACCATGTACTGTAAGGGTTCTTTCAATGGCCATATAGATATTTCCTCCAACTCCAACTCTTGTGCTCTCTAAAATATCCTGAATTTCAAACCCAGCTACCCAGGATATTTGTAAACTGTACATGTCTCTCGTACCAAGAGCACCGTTAACTATATCGAATAAGTCGTGTTGCTGTTTCTGTTCTGTTGCAGCCACAAACCTCTGTGTATCTATCCGCGTGATATTTAATTTTTCGTCTCACAATTTTATGTCGATTTTATTGTGTGAGAATAGAAACCCTTGGTTTCTGATATTACTGTGCGTCTTGTGACTTCCGCGGGACATAGGTGTGTACCACAGAAAGAAACATGTCTTCGAATACGAAGATATATATATATATATATAAATATATATATATGATTATATGATATTATTTATACTCAAGAGAGAGAACCTCCATGCCTTGTGTTCCTAACTGTAAATAGACACTGACGATCACAGGGCGTGATGCGAAGAGGTCCCGGGAATGCCAAATATGATAAAACCTTCTCACCATGTGTCCCGGATCCCTGGACCCAAATGGAGGTTTTCTGTCTCTTTCGCAATAATGCGTGAATTAAGAAATTGTACATTTTTTATCGTAATATGATTCCAAATAGCATACTGGGGCTGTTTAATGGTGTTAACATAATTATTGCATGTCCATAGAATTACCCGCTAGATTTTCATCAGTTTGTGATGGGCTATCTTCAAAACATGGAATGTATAATGTTGGGATGTTTGAACGCTAGAATGTTTGAACGTTTGAATGTTGGAATGTTGGAATGTGAATAGAAGAACTTTAGTCTTTGCATGAAAGTACCTTCCTATAAACTCTCGTATCAATGAACCCAAATTAAATACAAATAAACTTGTTTGCATGTAGTTATAAATATTTTAGACAACACATTCCAACGTTCCACATTCCATGTTGTCAAAATCAGGGGCGTCGAGAGGCGGGTTAGGAGGGGCCAAAGATCCGGGGCCTATTTAGTTATAGTATTTCGTTAATCGCGCCAAGGAGATCACACCTTTGATCATCATATGCATCGTAATGCAGCAAGAAGTGTTCAGTATCCTCAATTCCGTTGTTTACTAGGCACATAGGATTGACTGTGTCGAGAAAGTGATGAATGAATTTGTGTGAATTTAGTTTACTGAGGCTTACGGGTAACTGAGTGAGAATGGCAACTTTGGGTCAAAAATTCCATAAAGGGGCTTCAGGGCAGGGCGGATAAGAGAAGATATTCTACTTTTGAGTAAGCTGACTGTAGGCGATTCTCTGATCTCAGAGGCAAGGCTAAGCTTGACTGAAAGCGCTCTGTTCTTGCATTAATTCGCCCAACGATAGCATGATTTCTAAGTGCGTAAGTTGAAAAACGAGTTTGTGGAATAGGATGTCTTGTATATTCCGGAGCAAGGTTATTAATAAACTTAAAGAAGAGAATGAGACGCCTAATTCACCTATTGCCTTTTAAAGATTCCCAGCCAAGCTCCTCGTATATTTTATTTCTCGAAGTACTTTTCCACTCGCCTGTTACAGCTAAGTCAGCAGAATACTGGACTGATTCAATTCTTTCCATTTGGCGGTGTAAGACGATTTCATGGCTGAAGCCACACACTTTCTGCGGGATATGATAATAACGTCACCATAGTCAAGGTGAGGCCCAACATGGAGTTTGTAAAGAGAGTTTAAAGGTGATCAACGAGAATATTTTTTCTAGAAAATGTCACTTCAACTGCTTGCTTCGCCGGGTCAGGATTGAACGACATCCTCCAATCATGTGCCCAACGTTTGATACGATCTAAGTCATGATTCACATCAGCAGAGCATTCATTTGGGTTGTGAGCAACTGAAAAAATCGATGTGTCATCGGCAAATAACTTAACGTTGCATTTGAGATCTGTTGTCAGATCATTGGTGTAAACAAAGAAGAAAAGGGGACCTGAAATCGACCCTTGTGGAACTTTTGCCATTCAAGACAGTTCGCTGCATGCAGTATTTTAAAAAACCGCGTAACAGTGATAAAAACTGCCCAGAGACACCATTTTGCTGTAATTTGTAGATGAATCTGTCATGTCATACTCTATCGAAAGCTTTCGAAATGTCTAAAAAACTGACCGTACATCTAGAGGAGGGTTGCAGTCAAATGCAAGAAATATAAAGTGAACAATTGAGATCAACTGGTTGATAGTCTCCAGGGCGAAACCCAGATTGGTTTGGATTAAGCAGTTCATGAAAGGAAAGGTGCTCGTACAAAGAATCAAACTTTAACTTTTCAAATACTTTTCCAAGTATAGGAAAGAATGAAATGGGACGTAGTTATATACAGATGGGACTCTAACGAAATCATGCGCACATCTACTGCTTAGATTCAAAGAGCAAAAGCTGCATTTAGAAGTTTTAGGCCCTGGGTTAGGCTCTATATCACCACTCAATATAACGGAGCTGAAAGTAATCCATTGCATATATATTATGTTGCTTGGTCGGCATATTATATATACATACCCATTGCGATGGGCGAGTTCTGTTGTGATTCGACTATTTTGTAAAAATGCTGTACTAGCTATTCCAGGAAAAAATTCAATTATTTCTGAAACGAGATGGATTAAAAGCCGGGCATGAAAGTAAATGCGAGTGAAAGGACTCCAGAAACAAGGCTCTTGTCCTTCCTTGAGGAAGAAATGAGCCGCAAGAAAATGCAAGGTGACAGTAAGGGGAAAGACTAGAATTGAGATCGAGACAAACTTTAAGGAAAGAAAGCATAGTTTTAGAAATGACAAGATCAGAGGCACAAATCCCATATGATGGAGAACCTGCTTGCACGTTTTTTTTTGAGAGATGAACTGAAAACTCCAATTGCTACTCGCCATTGATTCAATTCAACCAGCATCAAAAAGGAAAGCTCTCCCTGGCGCGTCAACACGTGTGCATCTTATGAAGGACCTTTTACATAATAATACAGGTATACTTCTCATTACCCTTCTCTATAGACAAAAAACGGAAAGTCTTACTTAAAAATTGGTGTGAAATTACTAAATTTCTTGAATAGAGCATTCTTAAACAAATTGTCTCTGCTGCGAGGCAAAAGCATTTACAATTAAGCTATTTATGAATTCACTGGAAACTTTAGAAAGGATCACGAAGGTAGGTCTTGCATATATCATTACTTTAACTTGCAATAGTAAGCGTGGTGCTTAGGGAATTGAACGGGAGATTAAACCTGAACATAAACAATAGCTAAGTTTACGCGTATTACGTAAAGCAACGTTTAAAAAAATAAACAACAACGACAAGATAACAATATATTAATTTACGCTGACAATATCAAGCGTTATGTTTTAGGAATAAAATGAGAAACAAAATAACAACATAGTCAATAGCCAAATCAACGGGTATCGAGTGAACCGTTTACAGCGTCCAGCAAATCTTTCTCTGTATTAAAAAACTTAAATTTACCAGACTTCGTCTTCAAAGCTAGGCGAAAATTAACGTGCGCCAAATCAAACTCTACTTCGATGTTTTTTTTTGGTTATATATTTAGCTTTGGATAGAAGCTTGGCTCTCCTTGCCGTAAGGTCTATAAGAATTGACTTACTTTTGGGGAGTTTTTTCCTAACACGATAGGCAGCAACCCTACTCTTCCAGGATTTGAACTTGACTATTATGGCTTGCTGTATCCTGTCATTTACTAGCTTCCTTGCACCAATATGATGAGTACGATCGATTTCAGCCTCGGGTATAGCGACTTCCATTTCAATAAATACTTTCTTCACTGCCTCCATGCAGTCAGCAGGAGACTCACGTTTGCTTGCATCAGGTGCTTCAATTCTGTAGAATCTTAGCCAAGAGCGACGAGTATACTGTTCTGCGTTATCAATCTGGACTTCCAATTCTCGCATATGAGCTTCGCAAATAGATAGCTTATTCTCCAGAATAATGATTTTGTTCACTAGTGGCTTTGTGGCAAGCTCAATCTTCTCAGCTATCTTGGACTCTAGTTTCCTTTCAAGATTTGATATCAATTCCTCCATGTATCCCTTGGTTGCAAGATCTTTAATAGCCTTATCAATAATTCATTTGATTGTTGACTCATCTATGGCTCGGGCTGGGCCCGTTCTTCGGCTGCTCGTACGGATCTTTCCGTCGTCACCCATGTTTGACTTTGTCCTTGGCCTAGGCATTTGACCTCCAACAGCCTAACTCTCAATTTTGTCGTAAATAGGAAACGTTTGGCTTTGAATTTGTTTACCTTGCATTTAAAAGAATCTATTTGCCCATTGCAGTGCTAATGGTGAAATTCAGGTCATAACCTTTTACATTTTTGTGATTTTTATTTTTCTCGCTACGAGACACGTCCTACCCTCACTCTCGCCTTAGCATATGGCCTTGATTCATGTTAAATGTTTGTGCGCATTCTTGTCAGAATCCTTAAAAAGCTTTTTTAACAAATTTAACTAAAAAGGGCGCTTCCGAAATCTCCGGGAGACTGAAAGGCGTGGCCACCGGAAATTTTCTTAGGGGTTCCAGTAATGTAAATCACCTCTGGGCCCGAGCTGGCTGTCGATGGCCCGGATCAAAATAGCCAATTTCAAGATAGCTCAAGAGCTCTATGAAACAATATGTCAGATTTCAGATTTTGCTGTTCGCATCCTGACAAACCGTTACCAAGATAGGACAATAACAGATTAGCATTATTAGGTTTCTAAATGTAGTGCGAATAGGGTCTTAAAAGAGCCCCATGAGACAAAAGGCCGCACTAACTATTCGCCATAAATTCTTGAAATCCAAACTGATATATACAATGTCAAAGGTAAATAAACAAATACAAGCAATAATAAGTTTTGATGTAAAAAATGTGCTTCTCAGCAAAGCTTTAAAGAACAACTGACATTAACATGGGAAAATCTTTCTATGCTGACGTCCTATAGCAACCTAAAAAAACAGCTTTTTCCATATTTTTGCAGCCTGGTCCTTCCTAAAAGACCTGTTATGAAGAAATTTGCATGAAAAAGCTAATGACTTTGGCTAATTCTTGCATTTTTATGTATATAGAGTACAGAGATGAATTATCCGTACCAATGCAATTGAATCTTCCGTTTCCAGTGCACGACTCTTTGCATATGTATCCCGGAGAGCAAGGAGAGGATGCCCCTATAGCCATGCAGCCAGGCGTTGTCTGCAAAAGACATTTAAAGCGAAATCAAGTCATTAAAAGATAACTATAATATATCGTAATTACTAATTGAAATAAGCTGTGAATACATATGACTGTTTTTTCAAGTGCCTAGAGTATTAAAGAAAATATCTTCATTAGAAGTCGCTTTGCTGTTCTTAATTATTCGGTAATAGTAAGCACTAGATGTGTTTTGAACAATAAAGCCTCCTAAACAATAAAGAGGCTTCATTTCAAGTGAATTTGAACCTCAATCCTGTTATCAAATTCAAATTTTTTTTTGTAAAAAGTGAAATGAAAGTTGAACGTTTAATGATTGCAAAAGTTTATTGAGGAGTGAAGTTAGAAAGCCCTGGTCCCAGCTTGTTTGAATTCCTTTTCGCATAGGAATTGTAGTTATTTCTGAAAAGATGCAACATGCAACAAAAAACTTCAAAATTTTTATGTCTGAGCATAAACTGGTTTACTGAAGCAAAACAAACTTTTTTCGTTTGAAAATTTATTCAAGAAAAATCCTACATGAAAATATATTCAAATGATTGATCACTTTTTCATTAAACCAAGACTAAATGTTACGCTTAAAGACTGACAATAAGAAATGAAAGATTTTAATGTGCAAAGTTTTTTTGTTAATTGAATCTTGGATATGGTAAGGTGGGTGGGTAAGGCATTTTTTTCAAAAAAGTGCTTTCCTTTAACTTATTCTTTGAACATGCTATGGATTTGTAAATATATTGCAACTACATAAGATATGTATGGCTCAGGATCGGTAAAAGCATTAAATTTTGAGCTTAAAAGTAGAGGGTAAGAACTGATTTTGCATACATTAGATATACTTTCAAAATACTTTTTCACTACATCGCATTTTCGTCGTCATGTTGCTTTGTTCCTGACTAACTTTCGTATTATTAATCATTACAAAATACAAAGAATCTTGTGAACAGCATATCCTCCGTCTCTTCATTCTTACACATGACGTAAAGTGTTTTGCTTGGTGAGAAGGATAGCCTGCAATGCCCTCCCCCATTGGTGCTCTCCCCTTCTCCCACCTTTCTACATGAAGCTACAGTCTACTTCATTTGATTGTGTAATTGTGCAGGCCAACTTCGGGTCAAGTATTTTCAACCAACCAGTTTCGGGAAAAGGGGCATATTTCTTGGCTAGAAATTCTGAGCATCATTAAGTGAAACAAACAGATTTTCTTAGTCATGTTTTTTTCTTTCCATACCTGCTGGAAAAACCCCAAAACCTCATATTCAGCTTTATATCCATATATTCAGCTATATTATTTTATATGATATTCATTCTGATAATTAGCTGTTGTATAAAAATTATTTATGACATGTTAATGTGATAATACAAGTACCAGAAATTGTGAGGGAAATATTCCTGGCAATATGAAACGAACTTATTAATGGAGGCTTCTGGGTAATTTTCAACCCATACCAAGAATCTGCTTTTTTAGGAGAAGTGGCATAATCTGTAAATTGAACTAAGAGAAAAAAGTTAATGTAGTATAAGCATTTTATTAATGCACATGTTTGAACAGGGCTGAAGCTACAATTTTTGCCAATAAGGTTTAGGACATCTCAATAAAAAAATAAGAAAGTTCACAACGATTGTGTAACTATTCTGTCGATATTGATAACCTCAAATAATTCTGGTTACTCAACTATAGGTGTTGATTCTCAATTCTTGTTACTCAACTAACATGTCAAATGTTACTGATAACTGTCAAAAACAACAAAACATCGAATTGTTTAGACATTATAATAGGAGAAGAGAAAGGACGTGTTCCAGTAATTTTGTCAAGAATTATTGGTAAGTTTCTAGGTTATCAGTTGTGAAACAGGTTAAGCTAACATTCTAAGGATTAAAAGTAACTGGGACACTGACAAGTTGCACGAAGAATGAACAAATCACATTTTGCACCACAGTGTACTTTGTGCATGGAGAGCGCTGGTCCAGTAGCCACAACAAGAAGGTAAATAAACTTTCCAGAAACCATTTAAGTCAAAAAAGTTCCTTTTCTTGCGTTAACAGATTGCAGAAATAAGTTGAAGGATTAAGTGCATAGAAAGCTCCTATCGTTCCATCAAAATCATAAGCCAATATTCTCAACCATTCTAGTGCATGAAATATGCGGAAACGTTCTTCTATTCTTTATGTTTGTAATGCGATAGCTATAGACCTTGGATTTTTGTTCTCAAATGCCCATGATTTGCATTTTGAAAAAAGTTTCTGGCTTGCTTTTTCATAGCGTTTCTTTCTTTGAAAAAGTGAATTTGAGGAGGAATTTTGAGTAGCTTTGAAAAGGTATTTTTTAATTAGCTTTGAAGAGGCATTTTGAGTAGCTTTGAAGAGGTATTTTTGGGTAGCTTTGCACGTTTACTCCAATCAAACACGATGATTTGTCTTTGGTTCAAGAATTTCTATACGTTTTTTAAAGATATCGCAATAACTTTGTACATTAATAATATTTTGAAGTCTACCACTGCAGAATGCATCAATACAATGTCAAAAGTAAGCACTTACACTTTGGTAAATTGGCTCATAATGATTCCAGCCATCTGCATAAGTTGTGCCTGATTTTCTCGTTGATGACAAGAGCTCACAGTTGTCGTTTGCACCTTTGTTGAAATTAAAAGATTTACAGACGGACTCATCCAAGCAACCTTTAAGGCAAAATGACAAAGATGAGGCATTTATTCTTTTAATAAATCCCCAAGTAACCTTTTGTCCTCTGTCCGTTATTCTGAAAACAGAGTAACGCCTGCAGGAACTTTTGTATATTTCGTAACAGGAGACAATTGCCGCTGATGCAGTCAATAAAACTATAAGCAACCCACTGTCCATCTCTGGAGGAGCCCTTCACACGAAGCGTTGTGGAACCGAAATCAAAGAAACAATTTATATACAACCAGTTTTTTATATGACAATTAATGGTGTCACGACTCTTTATCATACATTATTAATCGGAAGAAAACCAGCCAATGAATATACTTCTCAAAGAATGCATTGGTCTTGAATTGCTTGTACTAATAAGGCTACTAATTATGAAGTAAATCAGTTCCCAAGCACTAGTTGACCCAGTCTGGATTTGGGCTAATGTTCTAAAATTAGAGGTATTCGATCTGGGAGCCAGTGAAGGGCAACTTTCTTTATTAGTACCAAGGAAGTTGGAAAAGAAGAGAAGGCATCTACGTAAAAAATGAGACTTCATTTGACTTCCGTATTGCAAGGTTTCTTTTAACAAGAAGCAGGCTGAACATATTGCTACTTGATCATGGACATGTAACATTGTGAAACGCGGTGTGTTTCAAATCATGTGATTTCATCGTAGTGAGATGTTATCACCCGTTATGAGTAATAAACTAAACATAACGCTTTTGAAGTTTAAAATTTAACACTTGTCAATCACGCAAACATTTGGAGTCGCCATTTATGTTGTACGTTTTTGCATTAACAAGGGAAATCACAGCACCTCTTCTTATGTCCCTTGTGAAAGTAGTTCGATGGCTCTTTACATTCTGAACAATATGAACCGGAACATTTTATACCCGGACCGGTTTGCATGCTAAACTCCACTAATCGTTTCAGTTTCCTGTTACGAAAGGGCTTGGGTACATTTTTGCATAACCAAGGTTGCCATTCATTGCTGTACCTAAACCGTTTGGCATGCTAAATTTCACCATTCGTTTGGTTGCCTAATGTTTAAGTGCGTAGGTACGTTTAATTGCTGAAGCCCTCTCACAAACCCTACAAACCTTGCAGCCACCCTGGATATACTTGAATGAATGCTCAGCAATACCATAATTATTTTAAGAACTAGATATGGGTAAATAAACTTAGAACTGCCAGCGAATTGACGAGTCTAATCTTAGAGAGATAATGACATTGAAAAATTCATACACGAGATACACATATTTTGTTACGGCTTATGATCAAATAATTTTAAAAGGCATGAATTACAATGTATCAAACTACAGGTGTTATTTGAAACAGTGACTTTTTAACATTTTGTACCAATAAATCTCTAGCTGAGACATGACAATATAAGAGAACCTTATAGAAATAACGCTAAGAATTAAGCTTATAGGTTACTGTTAACGTTCTATTGGTGTTCTTTTTCTCAAGGAATCATACTAATGACAATTGATAACGAAGGTTTGATATGAGTTCTTCCACGAATAGCTGTAAAGTACCTATAATGAGAAGACTGCTGTAAACTGATAGGAATTTATTGGCAAGATTTCTTTTACATCTCTTTGCGGAAAATCCGAAATATAAACATGACAAATCAAAAGATGGATGCAATATACTGGAAAAGACGGCCAGCAATCGAAGACACTTACTTTATACAAGACACTATAAATACAATATCGCAAAGCTACTTTGTACAAGACAATCAGCTCTACTTCCACCCATGCACATCGATGATGTTCAATTTTAACTCTTTTTTCCAGTTTCCATTTTCTTTACTTTTTTCCACAAAAGAGAAAGCATTCTGTTAAAAAGAAACAAATAATTTCAGTAACGATGTTCAATAACGGTAGTCTGACCTCTTTAAAAACTGGGATTGTATCTAATAAACTGTGGGGGGAAGAGAGGTTCTCCGATTGTTTTAATTTAAATAACCAAGGGATTCTGGCTGTAGAGGCTTTTTTCACACCATCTCTGGTCAAAGATGGAAAAATAAAGATTTTACGGTCCATTGCAATATTATAGTGCAAATTGCTGTAACAGCACTAATATTTTGAAAAAATAAAGTAATCTTGATGAGGAAAACAGTGTTAAAACAGGTTTGTTGTAAGCTGATCTGCAAATATACTGCTCATTTTTAGAAAGATTTCATAGACAGGGCAAGAAAAGATTCGAGGAATTTTTAAAAAGTTGAAATTTTGATAAAACACTTCATTAGCTATAAAAATAAATCTAATACACTTCATAATTTAGACAGACAATCAATCAGTAATGGCAAAATTTCAGGTAGGCCTATTCATCGTAGAGTTTAATTTAGCTAAGCATCGTAGATCTAAATTCATGCAGTTTTCAAAACTTACCACATCTAGTTCCAACTCTAGCAAAGGGACACTGGCACTCGAATCTGTTGACACGATCATAACATATACCTCCAAATTGGCAAGGGTTACTGGCACACTCGTTATATTCTGTTATGTGAAATAAATTCGAAATATTCAGTTGTGACAATGAAAAGCTGACAGTACATTGTTGCATTCTTTGTTGTTTTCAGAGATAAAAGAAATAAAAATTCTATATATAAAGATAAAAGATAATATTTGTTTTGCTTTCGTTTATTATCGAACAAGAAACCCCGATCTATAGGTGTCCCTTTAAAGAAAATTTGGATAATTTCGATAGACATTCCTCTTCTCTGTTTAAATGAACTTTTTGATAGAAAACTTAGAACAATTTGAACTTTTGTCGTAGATTTCATGTCGCATATAAATGGAATAGAGTAGGATTTAATGTCTACATACGTTCCATCACAGAAAAATAATATAGTTATTGATAATATTAAGGTTTCAACAATCCTGGAGTGCTAGCCCTTCTTTTTCATATACACCCCAAATTATTCAGTGAGAAATATTGTGAGTACAATCTGCTAAGACTTACCGTATTGGCATCTACTGCCATAATATCCTGCGTGACAGGAGCAAGAATAACGATTAACATAGTTGTAACAGATTCCATTAACACAAGGGCTGCTACTGCACTCGTTGAAATCTAAAAAACATTGATTAACCTTAAGCTTCAAAGCTTTAAATTATTTTTTTAATATAATCTGATAAGAAATGACTCAAGAACGTCCAAAGGAACAGTGGAACAGCTCTCTAGAGCGAAAAGCTAGCAATCGCTCTTTCAATTTAGAAAAAATTTTGAAAAATATTTCAGCTTTTCGTCTGGCATTTTCCACCTTAAGACTCCATTGTTGAAAAAATAAGCAAGCGGCACCCTAACCAGTCACGAGCTAGGGATTCTGATTGGCCTAATTCGATCAACAACTTGGTATAAATACTTCCTAGCGTAGAGTTCAAAATGTGTGCTCTGACATTTTGAGCGATAAGCTACAAAATACCGATTAGGTTTCAGTTTCAAAGCTTCAAATGAATTCATTTTCAAGATATTTGGTAAGAAATGACTCAAGAACTTCTAAAGATACAGCTGAAGAATTCTTTGCTCAAAATTTTGAACAGAATAGGTCTCCTTGAAATGGGGAAGTTGCAACTTCTATGAAAATTGTTGTCTGCTTACTTTTTCTTAACCTAAGGTACTTACTAAGACATGGTATTAAATTTTCATATCAAGACAAAATAATGCTTCTAATTGAATTTCTTTAAATTATGTCAGGGAGACAATTGCAAACTGTAAAGGCATAGCCATTAGAATACCCCTTGTAAATATTCTTGTGCAATATTTAGTAATAACCGCTGCAATGAAAATATGCTAACAAATCTTAAAAGCAACAGTTAAATCTTACCTGTTTCACATCTGGTTCCCACGTAACCTGGTTGACAAGTACAACTATATTTGTTAATATGGTCATGACATGTTCCGCTGTTGAGGCACGGACTACTTCCACATTCGTTAATGTCTGGTAAAAAACATACATTTATAAATCAATCTCATTGCAAAGAGTTCTCTGAGTCAATTTTCTGCGATATATTTTTTTCGTGGAAATAAAGTTTTCCCTTGTCATTCGAATAAACAACACATCACCTGAATCAAGATGTTTCAGTATCACCTTGCCATTTACATGCATTTGGCAATATGTAAGCAAATCCTTACAAAGTTTAGTATACTTTAGCAAGTAAACGGCACCTTATTTGTCAAAATAAAAGAAGACAATTTTTTTCTTTGTTGCTTACCCGTTCAATGTTTTGAGAAAAAGATTAAATACGTAAAACAATTTTTTTTGTGGTGCAGAATTTAAAAATGGCTTTAAAGAAGCAAAAGTTTTCAACTATACTTTAACTTTTTTGTCTGACTCTCTTCAGACGAATTTTCATTAGGAATCAGATTATTGGTAAAGCCGTTTCATCTAGCAGTTTTGGAATCTATCTACATAAACATGAAAAAACCTCTGTTGTGTAGACAGAAGAAGATCGTTTTCACCTTAGAACTCAATTGGTATTATTCTCAATAGTCAAGCGGCACTGATTGGGCAACCTTGACAATCATGCGCTCGCGTTTCTGATTGGCCTATTTCGATCTACAACTGGGTATATATATTTTCTAGCTTAGAGTTTTCGATTTATTATGTTCTGACGTTTTATACTCTGAAAAGTGTTAGACATTGAGCTTAATTAAGTTCCAAAATATTTGGTATTTTCCCACTTTTAAAAAATTGCCTAAAACCCCTTTCTATAAAAAAATTTCACCTGTTTCGCAATTTGTTCCAGTGTATCCAGGGGAGCATTGACATACGTATCGGTTGATTTGATTCAAGCAAGTAGCTCCATTTTTGCACGGATTGCTTTCGCACTCATTAATGTCTGTTCATGGATAAAGATATAACGATGAGAATGCATGAAATATTAATTTTTTGGAATACTTTGTCAAAGAGAATGTGTACACAAAATAGTTATTGCTATTCCAAAAGAGTATCAAAGGCAAGGCAAATCGTATAAAATCCTTTGATTTTAATTTTATAATCTGAATGAGATCTAGTGGAAGCTAATCTTTCCAAAAGACGCTTTGAATCTCTAAATACATGGGTTTTCAAAAGATATAAATTTGAATCTATAAAGTTAATCCGAAAGGCGAAAAGTATGTCCTAGATGCTTGATTTGTAATCAGTGGTTAGTGACAACTCCTCAACTTCATGAAAAGTGAAAATAGCAATTGTTGGTAAAAAGAAAAAGAAAAGTATACCAATGCATTTGAATCTTGCATTAGCATCACACGAATCTTCACACCTAAATCCTGCTGAACATGCAGACCCGGGACCAAGCAACATGCAACCAGGTGTCACCTGTAAAAGTTTGTATAAATAATTCGCCATCTACATGACTGTTGGAGCGCTATTTGCGTAAGCAGCATTGCATCTAGATTCCTATTACAGAGGCAAACAATGTTTTATCGTTATCTCAAACAGTAGTTTGAAAATAAATAAGTTCTTGTCAGTGACTGAATGTCTCAAAATTAAATTTTTCCCCTTGTTTAAACACTGAAAATATTTGCACGAATCATAATAAAATTTTGATACTTGTAGCATGAAAATGCGGTCTATTGCCTTTGGCCTTGACATTAGGCATTAGAAAATGATATCCAAATGTACTAAGAAAACAAGACACATTCAAAAAGTGTTGCTTTCCTTGAATCATTGCTAAAACACTTATGTCGGCAATTAGCTATATTATTACAAACAAATGTTACCAAGCATGTTTTCTATGTCGATGACGTCTTACCGTTTGAGCAACAGGCTCATAGTGATTGCATCCAGCTGCAGCAAAGGAGCTTCCAGTCAATTTATCATTGCTCAATGTTTGGCAGTTTTCCCCTTTGCTAGTTGCAATATAATTGAAGCTCTTACAATTTGATGTGTCCAAACATTGTTTTAGGCAGTCCCGAAGAGAATTAACTTGCATAGAAGCGATGACGCCTCCTGTCACTTTCAACCCTTTCCCATCGACCTTAAACAAAGCATATCGCCTGCAGCTGTTTCTATGTATCAGATACTGGAATGTACCATGTATGGTGAAACATAAAGTAAACAGACATATCAGTTCCAGATGACATTGTCCAACCATCTTTGTTGCTTGCGGCACCAATTACATGACACTGAAAATAAGTACATGTAAAAGTAACGGCTGAATAATTTATGATCAATCTCTCATTCAACGCTCATTAAGCAATTTGGCCCATTTCACATCAGCTGAATCGAACAACCATTGTCTTCCTTTGCATCATTTAAATCAGATTTACTCCCTCTCACAAGAAAACGTGAAACTGCAAGACTGACGAATATTTTGCAACAATCAATGAGTTTTAAGTCTATTTGAACCTACTTTACATTCCACAACCAAGCAAATTTTTATTAACACTGCTCCAGCTTAACAACGTGCTTCTTCTTATTAGTTGGAACAAAATGCCACCCCTGTGTTAGAAGTTCGGTAAGCATTTTTTTCATAGAGTATAGTAGTTGAATATAACAGGGGCAGCAAAGTTTTCCTCTGACTGGCAGAAGATGGTATTTCGTGCCAATGAGTGGGCTTAAGACTGACTGAAGACAAGCTTTTAGCTTGCAAGGGGCATGGGAAAATGGAACAAATGAAAGGGTGATTCAATTTTTCGAAAGGGGACTCCTCTGCTAGCTGACTTTTTCCTAGAGACGATTTTCCACTATAATATAATCTTCTTTTATGTTTATAGTCTATAGTCTAGTAATCTACTTTTACAGATATCTTGAATTCGCAAGAATGCAAAGTTTATTGCAATAAAACGTTTACTAATTCATGAGCTTCAAATTTAGATTGGCACCTAATCTTTCCCATGCAATGTATCAAAGCCCTTGCTAGAGCACAATTCCATGAAAGAGACTTGTGGCTTAATGCAAACTTAGCCCAAAAACATATCCAATAATTCCAATGCCTTGCATCTAAAGAGCATGATATATTTCATGTACACCATGTATGGAAAATTTTGCGTTTTTAAAGAGAAACCCTTTTGAAGGCAATCAAGAAATTGACTGATTCATTATGTGTAATCTACATGATCATTGAATTTAAATTGTCCTGTGGTGCCATTCAGCCCACTTTTAAAGTCTCCCTGTATCCGAATTATTGAATGACTGCATCAGGTGATTGAATTCAGTCTAAACAAATCAGGCTTTTACAACACAAGTCCGTTCCCCTAGCAAATATATTCACAGTTATCTCTTAACTGATTCAATGCCCTATTCTACACAAAAATACCCTTCATCATCTGTACGTATCACTCCCTTTCACAAATACCCATAACTTGAAAAAGCGACATATTCACTCTCTTAGCAAACAGATATTGTGCTTAATTGCTTACTAATTTGCGGTAACACCTGCAAATCTAGTCCATTCAATATTCTGAATGAATAGGATTTAACAACCACCTATACATATCCAATGAACTTTGTTTTCTTGGTTACCACTCATCCATCAAGTCTTCACACACTCAAAATCCTTATTCTTTGAGTGCCTCTAGAGGGGGCCTATTTTAGATTTGCGGCTGCACGGCTTCGACCCTATCTCTTCGTGCGTTCTACGGATTTGGCAATGGGTTTTCTGCGGATTGCGGCTTCAGCATAGAATGCGTCTTGTGTTTTTGTTTTAAATTGGCAACCGTTTACGGCTCCTAGCATGTAGAAGCGTTTTCGAAAAATATGCAGTCGTTAGATGTTGAATAATATTTAGTCTAACGCAACGTGAAACAATGTGAGAAACAATAGAACTGGCCATAAAGTTAGTTCTAACAATGTTTCTCTTTTAATACAAGTGCGCATTTTGCTTTTTTCGCAATGGCAAGTTTTGCAACTGTAGCTGTGTCTTTGCGCATTATTTCAATATGGATTGCGGATTTTGGCTGATTTTAACACGTTATTGCTGCTTTTAGACATCCAAAATAAGCCCTCTCTAGACTCGCTTTGAAGACTGGAGCAACTGGACCATTTCCAAAGTAACACTTACTTAATGAATTTTATACTTAATTACTGGGCTAAGTAAAACAGGAAATAACTTTATTTTGTAAATTTTCTTTCATAAAAAAGAAATATTTGGTTGGCATGTGGCTGGATTGCAAATCTTAGACAATTTCCTTTGCAGCTAAATGAAGTTAGCATATCTATGAAACAGAAAAATGAAAATTCCTAAAGAAATTGGAAAAGAAAACAATTATCTATAGAATTTCTGAGAGACCTGTGATGTTTATGCAAGAAAATGCTACATTTCTTGCCACAACAGCATACCAGCCTGCGCACGATTCCAAGGGTTTTCCCAGAGACCAGTGTAGCCCTGAAAATTCAATCTAACTAGTCTCAACAGTTGTCTCATTGCACGTAAACCAAACACCGTGCTCGATGAGCTTCATTGTAGCAAATACTGCGCCTTAGTTTATCGTGAGTCTTTTTAAGTGGTTTTAAATCTTTTGCCAAATTACCCCACTCAAGAGAAAAGTTGTCAAACTGTTGTAAAATGTTGTAGTGTATGTTTTCATTGCTCTTCTCTGTAAGAAACACATTTGCTCTGATATGCTAGATAGGTTTATTTACCGTGAATGCATTTTAGTAGACTTTTTGTCGTTTTATTTCGTAGATTTGCGTTGATCCTGATCAGCTTTTCAAAATAAGATGGCACCAAACTCATGAATTCAGAAAAACAGGCTTCTTTCCCAAAATCAGCAAATGTTGATCTTCGTCTTTATCTTAGTCCTTTATCTTTATCTTTATTATGGTACAAAATTTCGTTACATTAAATCCTCTTTTATTGCTGAAAACGAATTATAAACCAATTGAACAGGCACGGCGCCACTAGGGGGCTGGGGGGCTGAAGCTCCCCTACTTTCTCAGAGAATCAACATATTTTACCGTCCTTTCTATCATTTTTTTAAAGAGAGTATGAAATCAAAAGAGACCAAAGTGTTTAGATGCTGCTTGATTTTATTTGATAGATTAACTAGCTTATTAAGGTATATTTCTGTTATTTGTCTTTTATTTTTATCAATTCAGTAGTTAACCCTCTCTATTATTGCAATGTCATTTTTTATGTGTAATCATGGCCTACTGAAAATACTCGAGAAAAAGAAGATACACATGGGTGTTCAGGAAGTAAAATTCTCTCAGTCAATTCAACGTCATTGAGATGTGCACTCTGACCCATTGGTCACCCTTTCTTCCTTTCCCCAACGTTTGTCGCCAGAGTTTTAGCATGACTCGTCCCCTCCCAATTTTTTTCTAAAAATCAATAATCAATGTTTTTCTGAGAATCGTCGAGCGGTCTATTCTGAGCGGTATGGTATTTTGTTGAATTTTAGTCCTGGAAATGCATTTTTAGCCATTCTAGAAGGCTTAATTTAAAAAAAATTCATTCGCGTCGGACCCAACCACGGTGGGTCCTTCTATGTCACTAAAGTTGATTCTTAGCTCTCCCAGGTTCAATTTTGTGGCGCCCGTGCCAGGGCCGCAGACAGGATTTCTGGGCCCCTGGTCAAAACGAAAGAGAAAAGCAAGGCAAACCGGAGGCGACCCTTTTAAGGGTTCCGGGGAAAATTTTTGAGACGATGGTTGCTACTATTGCAGCTATTTTGTCTGCTGAAATCGCGATGGTGGCTATTACTTCGTTAGTATTTTCAACATAGTTTAAGTATGACTGGTATTCTATCGTCATAATGCACGCATATTTCTTAACTATAAAATATGCAATTCTTTACATTTAAAAAATCTTAGGAAGTGAAAAGCATTTAAATACTAAATTTGATCAAAACGATATGCTGCATCAAATAGATGTTCACTATTCAAATAATTTGAAAAACTTGACCTCTAGCAATCAGAATGCAACCTTTCAAGGTCAATAAAAAAACTAGCTGTTTCGATCTTGGAAGAAGCTCGTTTAGACGAGGGGCTAGATGTCCCAAAAGACCAAGAGAAATCAGTCAAGTTTATTTCTATCTTCAAGTGAAACCAGGAAAAGGCCTTTGGTAAAATTCAAGAAAAAGTCGGCATTGTTATTATTGATGGTGCTACAGCAAAGATGATTGGGCGATTCACGTCAATTGGCGAGATATAGGAGGGGTTCAGTATTCTTTGATTATACACAAGGTTGAAGGAAGACGACCTAGCAAAAAGAATAAAAATTCTGCTCAGCAAATAAGAATGACATAGTCACTTTTTCTAAGCAGCTTAACAAAACAATTCCCAAGTCTTTACATCTGTAAAAGGGTTAATTGTGGAGCTATAGTAAAATTTATCGGAAATTTCAGTTTCTTTTAAGAATTTGAACGATATTTCAGCTGATGCAACACTAGCAAGCAAAGTCAGAGACAACCTTAATGAAATGAAAACATTGCAAATTCAAATGCTTAACTAGCTAGAAAATTACCTAAAGCTACTAGCTCTGCTTGACAAACAAAATGGGGTTTTAATACTGTTGCTGCCTTTACCTTATTTCATTTAAAGGTTTTTTTCTATTAGTTTTTTCATTATTGACAAGTTTTGATAGTGGAGACGCTGAATTGCTAATTATTAATTGTTTATCAACCGCACTGCTTACAAAGTTATTATCTATGGGCCCCCAAAAGTCATGGGCCCCCGGATCAGTGACCCTCCTCCCTGACCCCCCTCTCCTCAGCACTGCGCCCGTCTCTGTTTTATTAGAGACGATTGGGCAATTTCTCGAAAACTCGAATCTGAACTGATTCTGCAGACACGGAAGTACTTCCGCTTGCCTCGTTTCCAAAGCGGCGATTTCCTATTGTAATTTGTAAGTCAGGAGAGTAAGGTAATGCAGAAAGTGATGCCTATTAATTGTAACAAGAAAATATAATTTTTCGTGATGGCAAAGCTAAAGCAAGAAACAGGAGAACGGGTCAACTAAAAACTGATAAGTTAAACGAAAAGGCTCTGGAAGGGGGACTCAATTCTAAAGGCTGGAGTGGGCTGGTCCTCTCAGGAGTTGTCGTTGTTGTTGGTTTGTTGACAGTATCAGGGATTCTGATACGTAATAATTTTCAAGTTGTCGATTTGCAGGAACACAATCGACAGAGCAGTGATGATCAAAATATTGAAAATGAAAACATAAACTCAACAATCAAAATGAAAGCCCGTTGCATGAAAAGGAAAAAGGACATGATGCTGGTTTGTAGAACTAAAACTATAACGATAGGCCTGTTCGTTTTTTACAGATCAGGACCATGCCATTGCAGGAGTGCAGTTGATGTGGGGCGGTCTACACCCCCCTAGAGCTCTAAAATTGTCAGAAACTTTTGGATACTTGATTACATTATGGGAATAGGCTGCAGTGTTTTATTTTTATATCTCCATGCCCCTTCTCTGACAGGCAGTTTATCCTCCCTGCATCCCCAGACTACATCGATAATGAGATATCAAATATTTTTGGAACCAAGGAGACATAAGACACAATTTTGAAATGTAAATGTATTTCCAAACCCCAATAGTTGCAGCTAGTCCAGATTGATATCCAGAGCTTTGGGTTCCTTGTTTGTTTTTATCTTTCCTGATAAGAGACAGAGTTTAAGATAGATTGCATTCTCCATTGTCTATTACAGCATCTTGGTAAATTTTCCTGGTGTTTCAAACCAGGTTTTCACGTAGCAGTGCTCTAATTGTTGGAAAACTAGTATATCGCTGCCCAGGCTGAGAAACTTACTAAATGCATGCTAACTTTAGAATTACCTAAAGATAATAACTTAAGAGGAAATATACACCCCATTTCAAGTGCTTGATACATCTGTTTCTAAGTGACTAGCTAACAAGATGCACATCTCATCAGCTACATCTTCTTTCTGTCCTCGTCAGCAGTGTGAGGGGGAAATCATTATCTTTCCTGAACGCTATGGACCCGGGCACACTTGTATCGAAGTTAAATGGTATTATCTTTGTCATACCTGAGAATTGAGGCAAGCTTTTTCCACTTAGGCAAACAATTGAGGCAAGCTTTTTTCAGGGGCAGGAATTCGTCCTGCTTCAAGAGAGGATGACAGAACCTTTGAGGGATTAGGCAAAAGTAGACAAATTTAGCAAGAATGAATTTTGCTGGGTGCACTAGGATTATAACCATGAAATTTGAAATACACAGAACAACTACAATGCAAAATGAATTTACTTCTCTGTATGTCATTACCATTTGGGCTTCCCTGTCAAAATATTTCCCAAAATCGGTTTTCCCATCACCAACTCTATCCTTCTTGCTTTGCTTTTGGAACAGCTTCGATATTAAGATTTTCTTATTTATTATTTCATAAAAAATGTCACGCTTTCTTTCCCTTCTTGTCTTTTTAGGCACATCTGCCACCAAATCTAAAACTGATTTCAAAAAGGAACTTTTCACATCAAGCATTGCAAATACACTGAGACCAGTTTCCATGGATTTTATGGGTAGGAAAATACAGTTCAAGGAGGTTACTCACAAAAACAAACAAAGCAGTGTTCATGTTTATGTTGCTGATAACTTTTTATCACCAAGGGAGTGTGATGGCTTAACTGCAGCTCATTTTCGTCATGTTCAAGAGACTGCTAGACAGACTCCCATCTTTTGCTTTGCTGGAGTTGATACAATGAACAAGCATTTGCATGATGTTGGTTTTCATTACAATGGAGGATTTTCAGATTTTACATTAGGAACAACATGTGTGAATGAGACCTTCTCCAAAGTCTTATCATCAAAATTTCGTTACAGTTTCAGTACAGCATTTTACAGGGGTGACAGCAAATTTTCACTTGCTTTTGAAGATCAAATTGAAAAGGCTACTGGATTGGCTAAAATGCATGGTGGAAAATTCCAGATAACTTCATATCAAAGTGGCATAGGTAAGACTAAAGGATGATATTATGACCAATTTGATAAAGATTTTTGCATGGGTGAAATTATTTAATATTGCATGACATCGGTTATCAATCAGTGTTTATTGTTTCGTCTCCTATTTGCTGATTAGGTTTCTTATGGTATGAGTCGTTTCAAAGCTACTCTAATGCTTCCTCCTCTGCTGATTACATTTTCCTCAGCCCTCACAGCTACCTTTTTCACAGGCAATAACAATGAGAAGATAAGCCTGTAAAAACACTTTTTTCTCATTTGCCTATAGGGACAGTGGAAGGATGCTAGGGGGCTGGGGTGCTAAACCCCTGATAATTTTCACTGTACTCCCGGCATTTGGTTTGACGCAAACGATCATTCACCATCTAATAGCACGATTGCTCGATTTAATAGTTTCTTATCTTATTTTGCTTCAAGTACTTTTGTGACTGTGCAGTACTCGTTTCTTATAGCCAGTTTCTTATAAAAAAATGAGTGTACTTTAGATACTTAGTATTTGAACTATAATAGCACTTCAAACATTTTCTTTTAAAAGTTTTTAATAAAAGAAGAATATTTTGCGATCATACAGCAATATCGTCTATATACGTGAGCGCTGGGCCACTCGCGTGGGCTATTTCTTACGAAAAGGCCTGGTACTCGAAACAAAAAAGACAAAATCTTGTTTTTGACCTTTTCTTTTTCTGCCCACCCATCCAAAAAAACTTTTAGATACCCCCTTAATGTGCTCTGTTGTGTCTGTTTGCATGCTTTATTAGGGAAAGATAAATATTTTTTGTCAGAAAATTTGTTTCTTGCCCTCTTACACCATGATACCTTATTCGCTAATATTTAGGATATTGTTTGCCCTTCTTAGAGCCACTGTGGATAGTGTATTTAGGACCTTCTTTTAATGCATCAATCATATTTGCCTATTTCATATTGTCTTTAACCATTTCTGAAAACTCTTGACAAGAGTAATAAAGGCTAGCTACAATTTAATGGTCATAAACTACTATGAAAGGTTTGATATACTGATGAAACAGTTGAGAATGAGAAAGATCAAAGTGCTTATCTATACAAAACTTTCTTATTTCATTTATTGGCATGAAACTGAACCCTTGGGTTTTTCAATTACGTATGCTTTCATGAGTGGTTACATCTGAATGGCACTGTGAGGTAAATTTGATGTCACTGTGTATTTTGCATGGCTTTGCCTTCAGCACATGCAACTGGTGATAACAGACTATGATCATGAACAAAAATGATTAATGAAAATAACTGACAAAGAATCCTAATTCGAGTTCCTGTCAACATACCAAGTTTATGTCATATAATACATTTTCTTAGAATTTAAACCAATGTTTTTTAAGTTTCTTCAAGACCCTTGTATCATGATTGGGTGACATCACAGTGTCACCAAAATGTGTTGATTTCCTTTATCTTTGTTCTTTGGAAAGGACTACCTTTCAGCTTTATAACTTGAATATGTGGAGTTTGGTAATGAAAAATATTTTGGGATGATTACTGTTTTCAATGAAAATGAATAAATTGTTGTGACTCAGGAGCCCCTTTATTTTACTTAAGATGACATTTATCCTGTGTTATTGTTCATTTCCACAACACTTTTGAGAAAAATAGACATATGTCTGATTCTCTCTGGATAAGCTCCATCATAACTTTATAACTTTATTACGAGGGGGGAGATTATTGTCGTTGATCTAGTTAATGAAATAGTTCTTCCTTTAGAGATTCACATAAGTGCAATTCGTTATTTGATATCATAGGTCTTTACGGGTTAATTATCTTTTTGCACTCTATTTTTCAGGATTTTCTAGTAAATTTACATAATTAATATAATGTATCTTTTGAATAAATGAAAACTGAATCTGAAACTGATAACTTTTTTGAATGGTACTAATGACAGTTTTTTGTTTTTTTTTAAGGATACAAAAATCACACTGATTGTACTGAAAGTGACGAGCTTAGAGATCGCTTCGCAACAGCTTTGGTTTATCTGCAAGATGTTAAACAAGGTGGCGAAACAAAGTTCCCGAAGCTTGGTATAAGCATTAAACCGAAGAAGGGCCGACTTTTAGTCTGGAATAATATGAGATCCGACGGATTTTGCGACCCAACCTCAATTCATAACGCTGCCAAAGTTGAAATTGGACATAAAGTCATATTACAGAGATGGTACATAGTTTTTTTTAAAGAATCTTTTACCTAAAACTTTATGTAGAATTTACGCAGCTTTTTCTCAATTATACGTCAAGGGAAATTTGTTTCCTTAATTTATCATAATTCGCTGCGAATTGCACCACCTACTATACGACTTTTTAGTCATGAGAGTTACCTAGATGCCTCCCTGTTTTGGTTTTATCACTTCTAAGACCAAAGGTATTTTTACTAAAGTTGCTTTAGGAATATACCCACTATTGTTAAACTGAAGTAGAAAATGAGCTGTTCATTTGTAAGCTATTGCAAACAAGGACTAATCTACTTGGATCCATATTTGTAGGCAGAGCAATATTGATAATTTGATGAAATATTTAAATTTTTGGGTTTTTTTATTTGCCCAAAGACGCTGGATGTTGCTGCGATTTGGCCTATACTAATTGAGTGAATCGATATAGAATGAAGAACTATTACTTACTACGTTTTATGGTTGCTCAAAAGTAAACGACGATCAGTGTGACCAGTTGCGTCTTAAAATAAAACCTCCACGGGAGAAATTTGATGAATATTAAAGTTAGCATTTTTGAAGTAAGGGTTTCATAATTTTCACTCAGGTTTTTTTAATAAGAGTATGCATGCTTAAAATATCATATCAGAAATTTATGTGAGCATTAATGAAGAAATAGAAATTTTTTTAAAAAAGGCCAAAAATGGCAGAAATGGCAAAGATCTGATCTGAGAAGTATTGGTCTAAAAAATGAATTTATTAATAAAAAAGAGAATCATAGAAAAACATTAAGTCAAAGATAAAAACATTAATATGCAATCGCTGTTTTAGACATCAACACTCACTCGAAGTCTGAAAATAGTGTTTGTGCATTGCTTTCTTTCGTTTTGATATCCATTTGTCCGCTTTTTTCCAGGTATTACTACCAGTCGTTCCCATCACTTGGCAAATCACCTCCTGAGCCCCAGTTGCCAAAACGAACAAAATACCAGCCAAGGGTGTCCTGTGATGAGTACGAACAAGGGAGCTGTCGCTGGTATGACGAATGGGGATATGACCATCTTATTGACTATAATATGATGCAACATAATCTCAAATGATGTAGGCTGTAATACTTTGCAACAACTTGAAACATCAGAGTAATTTGGAAATTATTTTTACTTGAGATTTGGCAGAAAAAAATTATTTTGATATGTACAGTCAACTCTGTGGTGTACAGTCCATTTGGTACGGGGGATCGTGAAGATGTTCGAACGAAGAACAGTTCAAATTATGGAAGTTCTTTTTATTGGGGATATTGTTAGGATTTTTTCAAGGGGCCTAAATATTTTGTTCCAATTAGTGAAACTTCGAATTACAAGAGCTCGAGTAAGACAGAGTCGATTGTAGTTTGATTATTGGCGATTTTATTGATTTAACTCGGCAGAAACTATTATATTTTATAGACTGCAACATTCAAGTAATATATGCACGTTTTCCGAGCTTTGTATGAGTTAGTATCTTCAAACATATTGAAAGCTTTCCTTGAAGTGAGTGTACTGAGTTCGATCTTTGGTTGCTTAAGTAGCAAACAGGTTTGAAGAACAGAGGCAGTGCGGATATGGTTGTCGACAAAAGTTTCACTTATTCGATGTGACCTACAAGCCTGGTTGTTGTGTTTTCTTTTTGCTAGGTAGCCAAGACAATATATGATATCTTTCTATGATATTATTGTTTTCTGATGATCGCTGTGTAGCGTGCAGCTTCGAGTAACAACGATGAACGTGGAATGTCTGTTTGTCTCATTCTTTTTATGTTATCATTCGATTTGCAGATGACACGAAATAGCGCAAACATGGCATACTGAACCCCATTCGTCCGACACTATTCAGAGTGTGAACTTTGGATAATGGCCGAAATAAAGCAGAAAATCAGATAACAACAGCAGTTTTTTCATGTTTATGTAGATAGATTCCAAAACTGCTAGATGAAACGATGATCGGGCTCTGCCAATAAATCCGTAACATGGCGCCATTTTAGTTTTTGCCAAATCTGATTTTATCCAGTAAATACTGCCCGATAGCAGAATCGCATGTTTTAGCTATATCTGCAGATGTAAAACTACAGCATGACTACAGCGAAAACATGCGATTCTGCTATCGGGCATCAGCAAACCCAGTTTGTGCAAAATGGTGCGTGTTTCCGATTATTAGTAGTGCCCGATCGTCGTGCCATCTAGCAGTTTTGGAATGTATTACATAAACATGAAGAAACCGCTGTTGTGTAGACAGACAAATTCGTTTTCACCTTAGCAGTCCATTGCTAACATTTTCTATAGGCAAGCGGCACTGATTGGACAACCTCGAAAGTTATGTGCTCGCGTTTCTGATTGACCTATTTCGATCCATAACTGGGTATATATATTTACTAGCGTACTGTTTTGATCTATGTTCTGACCTTTTATACTCTGAAGAGTGTCAGACAAAAAGCTATAGTATGGCTCAAAATGTTTGTTTTTTTCAAAGCCATTTTAAATTTTCTAGCACTAATAGATTGTTTGCATAGAACGCAAAAATAATTTATTCATCGAAATATCCATGTTCTTGCTAAGATTTTAATTTGTGAATAAAAAGTCTTGGTAAATTGGTAAAAATTATGTACTCATTACTGCAACTTTCCATTAGAAGCTCGGAAATAATTTGTTATTTCGAATAACTTTTTTCGAATTTGGTTTCAAAGTCTCCTATGGAGCCTAATCTTTTATCCAGGGCTAAAGCAAAGGTTGTGATATGTTGATTCTCGGTGAGATTTGTTTAACAGATCATGATTTTGATGAACATAATAGAAAGTTGCCTTTGCTTTTTTGTTATCTTGTTTCATTAAAACTGCAACTGCCGGTGAATATCATTGGTTCTTATCACTTTACTTTCGTCAAAAAAGCTTTGAACTTTTTTTAACTTGGATGCACCATTCTATATTGTCTTGATTCAAACGCTTTTGGACCATTTCATTTTACTTTGGCGACGAGTTTTTAAAGTTTTACTGTCACTGCATAGGGAAAATATAGGCGGTAGTATAAAGAACTAAAGTTAAAAGGTTACCAATACTGTCTCAATCCCGAATTAAGAGACTTCTAAAAGGTTGTTTGACCTCATAAAAAGCGAAGAGACGAGAAGTAAAATTAATGTATAAATTAAGTATGCCGTTTCTGTTCCGATCAATTCTTGTGTCATCTCTTTGTTTTTGTTATTGTCAAGTATTTGCTTCTGCACGTTAGTGAAAACAACACATAACATTGAAGAACGTTTCATCTTGCGTTTGTTTATAAACTACGATCTTTAACAGCCATGCCTAGTTTTTCAAATAATACTCTTTGCAATTCAAATCCTTTCGTATCGGTATTGGCACATTTTCGATTCGGGGAAAAGTATTGTGTTATCATGCGGTTGGTTGTTAATATTATGATTTTTAACTATTATGCCTTGCATTCCTTCTAATCTTCGCAGTAGATTCGCTATATACAAGTTTAATACGTCAGTTGAGAACAAACATCTCACTATCTGTCTCTGATTTTTTTGGCTTATAGCCGAATTCAATTTTGTTTTGTACTTGTATATGCAATTTTTTTAGTTTCACCACTAAACTTCGCTTGTACGATAGCTCGAAGAGAATTGCCAAGATGTATTGGAAAAAGCGCAATTTTCGTGAAATTAAACAGAATTGAGTATGCAATAAACCAAAATGTCATTGTATCGAATCAATATCATTGATATTATTGATATTGCCGGATTTTGGAGGGTTGTGTTTATGTCAAACTTTGTGAACGAATGGGTCAAAATTTCGCGATCTCGTTTTCGCTAGTTGTTACGAAAGAGAGATCAGTGGAAATATCAGGCTGGGGTAAATACATTTAGTTAGGACACAGGATCTTTTGGCGTATTTAGGGATCACATTTCAAAACAGCGAGAGCAGAAGGGAGTAATTTCTGGACAGTATACCATTTCTGGCAATATGGCAACACGGGTAAGGACTTGTTTTATTTCCATCTCTAATCTGAAATGTACGTGACTTGTAGCATGAGGCCACCATCATCACAGCAGGCCAGTGAGTAAACTAAGTTTGTTTCGAGGGTTAATTTAAAGGAGTCATGGTTTGCAATTTTTTAGTTCATTAAACAAAAGCGCTGCAATAGTAATGAAAAGAATTGTCCTTGAAATAGTGATGTCATGTTACGTTTTTTCAGCTATTATTAGAAATTTCCAATGATAACGTCATTGAGTTTGCAAAAAGCTCTAATCCTAAACACAAGGAAAAATGACAGTGTTTCTAACAGAGTCAGGCAATCATGCGACCTGTAGGATAACTCCCAGCAATTGCTGTCAAATTCAGTAACTATATTATGGAAATATTTTTTGAAAATGAAAGAATATTAAATATTAATTGCATATATAAACTTTTTCTGGTACTTTTCCATAACAATAAATTGCAAACAAAATTGTTGCACATCTCAGACGAAAAGATGTGCAAAATTTTCAAAACTTTCTTCTTCGCTATAGCAGACCTTCAGTTTCATGAAATAAAGATTTTAAATTCATTGCTGTTTTAAGCAAACTAACCACTTGAAAGTGACAATAGAATCCATATATATTTTTTCTGTGGTAAATACCTGAGGAAAATATAATTTTCAAACTGAATTTTTTTGATAAAGATCGGAAATAAATTTCATACTTTATTTAGCTCCTGAAACGACCTCCAAGAAAGCTTGCATATTTTCCGAGCATGAGAGCAGTGTTGTCGTATTTAAAAGGGGACAGCAAATTTGGTGCTGCTCCATTATCAACTGCTGTTTCACAGTATCAAAACCAAAATGGTAAGAAAAATTAGATATTTTTTTCTGTGTTGTAAAATATCATAAATCCAGGATATTTCGGCTTTATTATTTATGCGGTATTCCCTTTTTGTTGTTGTTGTAGATTATTATTTCTCTGGTATTTAGCATCATCCTTGCCAAATTTTTAGTCAAGACAGAGATTGAGTGAGAAAACCTCACCATTCAGAAAACTTCAGCATTTTGCTGAGTACAGATTATATTGTCTTGATGTTTGCTTGAATATTTATAGAAAGGTTCAGAAACTACAAGGAATATTTATAGAAAGGTTCAGAAAAAGGGAAGCAGTGTGAACGGTAAAAACCAGAAAACATATATATTTTTTACTCTGTTTTTGTGAGCAGTGTCAACCCCAGAAAACAGGTATCTCTGTTTACGCTGTTTCTATAAGCAGGGTGAACACACAAAACAGACTTGTTTCTCTCCGTATTTAGATTAAGTGAAAACCTATCAGCATGAATGTGCTAAGGCCAATTTACACGATACTGTTTTCATTTGACATCAATTGGTTTCATACTGGATCGGCTTTCTATTTTACATGAAAACTATCCAATTTGATGTGCTTCATACCGTTTTCACATTTAAAATCAAAACGCTCTAAATGCGGAAAGAAGCCAATTCGATACATCTCTTTGCTTGTGAAATGAAAACGGCAATATGCAAGTCGTCAAAAATTTTGTGTCAGATTGGGAATCTAAGTACGATATGAAATGACAACATTGTCATTTAAACAGGACCTAAGAATGTTTTTTGTAAAAGTGGTCACTTATAGCCTTGATAAGGCATACAATAAACTGCACTTCTTGGGGAAACAAGATGTGTGGCAAGGTGTGCACATGCGATCACATGCCTTTCCCATGATGGTCTCATTTTTCATTGTTTTGAGTATAACAGGATTTGTCAGTAAAGGGAATTTGTGTCTTTCAAATCTTTTTTGAAAAACTTTGATGTTCTCATTAGGATGTTATAACCTCAAGTGAGTTGCAAATGGAATGTGTAGCATTCTGGACTGAATGTTATGTAATCCTCCCCTCTCTTGGGATCTTGAGGGCATCAAGCCATGGTAAATAGACCTTTGAGGTTAATTGATTTTGGGGTGATCACTGCAGTTTCATGTGACATCGGCATCTGTTGTTGACAACTTTCTATTGATGGAAACTGTTTTGTTAATCAGTATTGTGTTAGTTCATGTGACCAGTTTCAGGTCAACCTATAGCATCACACCACAAAATTCATTACTCAGCAGATTTTAGTACATGTGGGTATACCCTCTCCTTTTATCATGACTCATTGCCTTTAAATATGGCTGAACTTAAAACATCTAGTAGGCCTTCTTCGGAATAAATTAGCACAAGTGTGGCATTTCGCACCCCTAAGCTATTTTAGGCATGTGATGGAGTGCTATTGGTGTTTTGTCTTTATTCTACAAAGGTTTAATGCTTACTGTATGCAGCTTTAGAAAAGTCTTTTCTTCAGTTTTCACCCAACTTTAACAGTGAATACCTCTGGTGGCATACAGATAAAGGAAAGCTTGTGAATATTGCCAGGGATCTTTACTAAATTTGATGCTGAAAATATTTTGGATGCAGTTCCTGGCAATCCCTCTTGCCACCAACCATGGTGGCAGTCTTTATGATACCCTTGAAAAATGTTAATATTTTGGTTCCCACTTTCAATTGTGTCATCAAAAGGGATGTGAAATTAGTTTTGCAAATGGCACGATTTGAATATGGCATGATTTGAAAACAGCACAAAATGTTTCAGTGCAAACGCTTCAAACCGAAGAATTCTATAGCAGATTTCCCTCTCTTTGAATCCAGAGTGTTATCGTTCTGTTTCCAAGTGTAACCCTTGAAAATTTCATGCCGTGATCACAACCTGCCATTTTCCAAATTTTTCAACATTGAATAATTTGTGGCAGAACATGGCATCCTCGTCAGATGATTATGGTGACCCAGTACAGGGACAAGACTGATGAAACACATCAAAATAGAAAACGCAAAATAATTTCTTGTTTTTGTGTCACCTTGTTAGTTTCCAGTGCTTTGGTTAAAAAACAAACAAATTATTACAAAAACAGATGTGCAATTAAACAAACTCTTTGGTGTGAGGAGGCATGTGTCAGCGCATGTGAGTGGGATAGCACGCCTTTCCCTGGAAGGCCTGTCTAGTATGAAAATAGAATGTTGACAAAACTGAGACCTCTTGAACTTTTCTTCAATGGTGCTTCTGTATTTGTGGAATAATTTAATGATCCTCATTTTGAGATTGTTTTCGCCTCATTTTGCCTAAAGTTATGGTCTGATTTCATAATCATCTTTGTAACCATAGTTTCTATCCTCTTCAACAGACAAAAGATCCCCATCTGTCCAAGCCCTTGTTGCCTCCTGGCCAATGGATCCTCATTTTCCACTCCCTGGTAATGTTGGCTTAGATTATGGGCAGTTTGCAGAGGATCAGAGTGGAAACAACATAAAGGAAACTAGGAAAACATTGGCCAATGCTTTCCTTGAGGCAGAATCAGAAGAATACCGAAAACAACTTGTTCTCAGCCAATTTATTGATGAAAAATTCAAGGAAGAAATCCAAGAAGCTTCAATGGTCTGTTGCAATACAATTATGCCTCTTCTAAATTAGCTTCTTCTCTGTAAGTCCAAACCTTTCCTCAGAGTTAGGAGAGTTGCAAGCTCTCTGTATTTCCAGGTGTATGAATCACGTAGTGTGGTCACATCGAGAGGAAGGACCAGGACACTGCTCTATAAGCATACTTTTTCATTGTCTTAAAACTATCTTCAGAAGCTAGGTAGCAAACAATACCAAGACTGGTATGAAGCATCTAATCTGTTTTGAATAGATTGTGAATAAAGATACCTATTCATCTCCAGAGACATAAAGTAGTCAATAAGTGCAATAAACAACATATTGTCAATTTTTTATTTGCCTGATGTTATTTATTTCAGCTCACTTGGCAAGCCTTTTTGTCTGAGATACATAGATGCACATCCATGTCTTTTTGTCAACTAAAATTTTGAACACCTGGGATTCTTCATTCACTATTTCACATTTTTGCTTCTCCACTGACATCAGAGTTCTCTTGGCATGGAATCCTGGGTTTAAATGGCTAGCTTGTAGCTGTCTAAAGGACTTATATTTTGTCCTCAATGTTTTGAGCAACTGAATACTGAGAGCTTGTGCATTTCCCATTAACCCCAAAGAAAGGCTGTTTTATGTGCAGATAAAGATAGTAGAACCGAAATGCTATTGAAATTTTGAAAGAAGCTGTTGGAATACATTTTGTGAAATAAGCACAATACATGCCTTGCAAACATGACTGACAGTGAGTCAACTAAGAAAAAGGCATCTCAAATAGGAACAAGATGTAGACATCACCACCAGGTCTGTAGGGTCAGGAAAAATTATTAGGGGAGGGAAATTAAAGATAGGCAGGGGGCAGAAGTCTTTATATGGCAGTGACCAGAATAGACAAGCCTGCTACCAATTGGACAATTGCATAAATGTATCTTGATTTTCTGAATTACAGTAAAATTTTATATTCCTGCATTACAGAGCACTGTATTTCCAATTACAAAACAACATGATGTTGAATGCTCAATTCAAGAATGCCCAAAGTTCATCAAGAAAAGTTTCAATGATTTGTTTCCAAATCGTGTTTTCCAAAATGATGATGATCTTACAGTAATAACTGTAAGTCAAAGAACACAAAATGACATGACGGTGTGGTCAGAAGAAGTTGAGAAAGAAAGAGAGACCCTATTTGAAGTTGTAAGTTTGTTTTGAAGTTGTGAATTTGATGTATATATATTTACCTTTTTTACTTGTGATGTGAAATGTTTAGAAAACTGACACATTATGAAGGTACATAGATATTCTGCCTATTTAAATGTGGACTGGCTTATTTGAATAATTAGTAAATAAAGAACACTGCAATACACAGAGAACAAATAACAATAAACAAATGTCTAAATCAACTATGGCTAATATTTTGCCCTGGCATATGGGGCTTTATCAGAGCAAAAGTGAATATGTTTGAATATGTTTTGGCTGAATCCTTTCCTTGACAAATCAAAACTGTTTTGTTTAAAATGATAAGACTCCTGCCAATCATAACCAAAAATTACTCTTCTCCTAAACAATTTTTGTCCTGCAAGTAATGCCTGAATAGGGGTCTTTTGGCAGTGACATGAAGCTATAGTAATAGTGATGCATCCCTTCCCTATATGAGACAATTATTTCAGATGTAGGCCTTGCCATGGTGTTAAAAGCACCACCAAATCATAAAAATGTGGATTGATTTTATGCCTAAAACATATATGTGTTCATTTGCTAATTGAAGAATATTGAAAGTTAGATCTATAAAGCTATTCAAAAATCATGGATGAATTGATCACACTGAGTTTCAACCAACCTAGATCTTTATTTTCAAAAGGTTTGAATTTTTTCAATGAGTTAAACTTGTTGCAAAAACAATAACATATTTTGTAACTTAAGTCTTTTCAAATTTTTTCCTAACCAGTTGTATAAATTGCAAGCAGACATGATCTTCCTCCTCCCTTATTTCATTGGAAGCTTGAATTTTACCAAAAATAAATGCAAGGATTTGACAAAAAATTATTTTCTTCTACTGGTCTGTCATATAGCGAAAAAGGCCATGTGGGAAAAGCATCATGAAGTTATAAATCCACCCTGTACCAGACACCAAAGTGTAGCCAAAGACTAGATAGTTCTATCATAAATGAGGAAAAGTATAAAGTAATTAAAATTTACCTTATAAATGCATATTTTCTGCTGTGTTTAACAATATAGAAATACACCTTAAAGATTGCTGATCAATAGTTTAAGAGAATGGTAATACTATTCAGCTTCATGTATTTCTTACAGTTTGTTGAAAATGCAAAGCAAGTCTGTGAGCACCTTCAGTCTGCTGGCTATTGGGCAGATTTCATTGATCCAGCTTCAGGAAAAGCTGTAAGTACTCTTGACTAAGACTGCATTAAATTTCTTCTACCCCCTCTACTACTTTTGTAAGCTGTCAAAGAGATGCAGCTAGACTCTAATTTCCCTCTAGTTTTGTTGATGTAAGACAATTTAGTCACTCATTGACCTGAAAATTTTTTCTTTTCTAAAGGGCTTTTGCAGTATAAATTTTCTTATCTAAATATCTAATAAAGTCGAGGAAGACTTGAAGTCTCACTGGCTGAGATAAAAACTCAACATGTCAAAGATAGATCTATTGGCCAGTTTAAATTCCTTTAGTCTAAAAGAAATGAAAACTTCAATTCAAAGGACAATTATCATTTGCTGTTAAACAGAACAGGGTTCTAAACTTGAAATAATCAAGAGAAGTCTCAAATTGAGACCGGTTTCGAGGATCAAATTGCTAATACCTCTAAAGGAGACATACTTGCCAAGTAATATACAAATGCCTTGGATAGTCAATATCTTCATCAAAATTTAGGAATAAATTTATAATGGTCACATTGAACTGTAAGCCTCATTTGGTCTATAGTACTAAGGTCATGTCCCTAGTGGTGCTTTCCGACCACTATAAAACGTTCATAGTAGTTTTACAAACTTTACAGAGTTTGTTTTCTCTCTTGAATTCTAATTCTAGGGTAAGCAGTTGTTCTGGACGCTTTGTAGCTATAAAAGTATATCTCTTGAACCCTATTAGGTACATCTGATTGACATTTGATTTTATTTGCTCCTTATACTGGATAATCTACCATGTTTCATAGGAGTTGAAAAATGTTTTCTCTGGATCCTGATAACTAACTGCATTATTTGTAATCGAAAAGGCAGAGGAATGTTTGTTTCTATTTTGATAACTGACGACCCTTTGTTAATTTTATGAAATTTTACCTGTCTGTGTTCCATACTTACGTTTTTTTGTCTTCCAGTCAAGTAAGAGAGTTGTTTTTTTTAATTTGCAGTTTTTCAGTGATCATAGCAACTCAACATTGTTCGAAACAGATGAACGGTTCAATCACCTTGGATTCACCATTGACGACCTTGGATGTTGCAAAGTCATTAGGCATAAACTTTGGTCTACAAATGTATTTGTTGGGACTATCTTTACAAATGCTCCAACCGACTGTGAGATTTTCAAGCACTTTTCTCCGCCTCATAATTAATAGGACATGATTTTCTTCGCGTTTTGTTTGAAGCTGATGTATTGTTAACACCCCATACATGCTTAATTTAATTATATATCAACGCAACATCGCAACATTTCATAACAATTTTAGGTTTTGGAAGTTTCTTGGCTTACATTTGTGGTTTGTAAAATGAAATAATTTCTGGTGTTTAATAAACGCTTTCCATTAAACCCAATTAATGTATAAACGCTAATAATGATACTAAATAACACAATTTGCATCTTCCTCTCTTGGTATGTCTATTTTCACCCACTTAATCCTGGTCAAGACCAAGCCACCGAATGCCTTTTTCAATAGTTGTTGCTTTAGCTTCGGCTTATTCAGCTTGAAATTCACACATACGAACAACTACTACAGTTACAAAAAAATAAACTAGAGCTTTAAAATTGTTTGGTAAGTTATTTGGACATTCCATCCAAATCTGAGCCATAAGGCGAAAACAAAACTAGCACTTACAAATCTCAGCCATTAGGCAAGTATGGACCTTCCGACAGTTGCGTTTCACGTTATTGTAACATACAATTGAAATTAGTTATTTTATTGAATAGAAAAAGAACTTGAAGAAATTTGATTTCTGAAATAGAAAATATCTTAATAGATAAAGAACTTTTTTCAAAATGGTATGATTTCCCAATTTCTCTCGTAGTTGCAGAAAACGGTCTAATATCCCGACATTTATCAGAAATAATTAAATGTAGATTGGAAAGGTTTGGATACATTTTGTAACAGTCAGATACAGACTTTTTGTCTACCCAATTTGGTAAAATTTGCCAATATTACCAAGAAGGACTAACAAAGCCAAAGTGTGCCATTTTTGCCAATTTTGCGGAAGCCCTAAGAAGTGATCCATTTTTAACATATGCCAGACGTATAAGTCCCACTTTTCTGAAAACGTTCATGCCAAGCAATTTAAATGATATAAATTTTTAGAACATGAAAAGCCTTTTTTATGAATAGGGTGTGGTCTCAAAAAATACAAGAGTGGAAGCTTATAAAAGCTCAAACGATACACAGTAAATTCATAGCAAAATGGCAACATTTTCTTCGCAAACTTTTTTTGTTGATCGTCGTTATTCAATGCAGGGAATTTATCTTGTTAGGTCACTCATGACACAGGAGAAGACTGCAAAAATATTGTCAATGCAGTCGTCTCTACCACACAACCAGTTAAAGTCACATAAGATTTTACGACACACTATCCAAAACTGTTCAATTAGTATCCATTTAGAGTCACAATCTGCTCGCAGTCACGGCTTTTCAAGTTTGACTGTAAACGCATTCACGTTCTAGGTAGCCGTTGGTCGCCAGGCACTTCATATACTTCAAATAAACTATGTGTTTTCTGACTAAAAGAAAAAACACTCAAACCAAGAAATATTGGGGTGCGAATTTTTTTTAAAATTTCATGACCCCAAAAATAACTTTAGGATGGGTGCATTTCAGTTATAGATTATCTTCGGCTTTTATGAAAAAGTTGGGAATACCTTTAACCACTCTCTCTATCGCCATCCCATCCCTGTTTACTTCCTGGTTCTATGAGAAATGCGAAAATATTGTCTCCTTCTAATTAGCCTTGACTCATTGGTTATGGCTTACATTAATCTTAGCTAAAGGGCGGTAAATGTGTTTCTATTAATATAGCCTCTCGACTCGGTCTTATTTTGTAAGGTAACAAAGAAAAAACTACTTTTAATTCTTCGTAACATTCCCAAGTTTCACCCCATGTCTTTTCTTGTGAAAAAGTACCAAAAGAATATCCCAAGAGCCTTGAAAACCAAGACCTTGGAATAAAATTCAAAGTTTGGCAGCACTGAAGGAATGCAACGCAAGCATGCTATACTTGAATCATGAAGCGAAAAGAATAAAGGCAGTACATTAATCAAGTTATTAATATTGCATATTTCTCATAAATTTATCGCTCTATTCAGTTCAAATTATCAAAGTGACAAAAGATGATAGGGAGGGATAGGCTGAGAAAATTCAAGGCGATCGGAATCTCAAGAAATATTTTTTTAAGCAGGGAGATAGAATAAACAGGGTGCCGTTAAAGTTTAGTATAATACAGTGTTGAAAAGAAAGCAATTACTTTTGTTATTCTTATTGTTTTGTAGCTATCAATCATGTTTAATCACGTGACAAGTGATGTGTAATTGAAAATGTTTATTGTAATGATTTGAGTCTTGGTAATAAGAGTTCAACTAATAGTCGCGGGATTTCCCAATATTAATCAACTTGTAAATATTGTTAATGTTTTCTATCCAGACACCTCGCAGCCATTGGGCTAGCAGGGACTATAGCCCCCCCCCCCTCCCCACTTTTTTTGCAATAATAGGCTAGAAAAGTTTATGCAAGGTTTACTCTAATGCAACTTGGATCGTTTACTCCTATGTAGTAGCAGTTCTTCTTGACTAGGAACATTTTTTGTTCATTTTCTAGGTTATTTATCCTGTTTAATGACATGTTTTATCTAACTTCCAGGTTAGCTTGGTGTTTTATTAGCATTTTTATAGTTATTGATATCTTCTCTGAACCAGACTTTATAAAAAAATTCAGGAGAAATAGCAAGCATTTTCTAAAAGGGCGTTTTTTCCGGCGTTCTAGAGGGCGTGGCCTCAAAGATTTGCGAACACACCCATTTTAGCCCCTCTACTCTTAGACTGCTGTGCGGTCCCTGTTTATATCAATTGAAAAAAACATTATGATTCATTCAATGACTCCAACCCTTATGAATTCAACATACAGCAATGAAACCCTCCATGGGATAAAGATGCAAAACTCTTTTTTACAATAATATTGTTTATAAGAGAATTCAGGCTCTAAAACATCAAATTTTTTAGGAATATCTTAAGAATATTGCTCAGCTTTAGCTGCTCGCATATTTGTGTCACATTCAGCTGTTGCCCTGCCTGGTTTGCGATGTTAATAAATGGGAATCGCGAAACCGACATCTCTCGTTTTCATAACGCCTTGGTTTTTATTCAAGAACAGGTGATTTCCTCCTTTAAAACTATATCAGTTTTGCAAAAAATAAGAATACTTTAAGTATATATTCAGGCTCACAATGAAAATTTTATAAGAATATCGAAGCTGGACAAAATTTATAGTATTCTTTTAAAGAAATTGTATACAAGGGAGGACATCGATTAGAAATAAAAATCTGGTTATGGGTAACAAAGCATTATAATGATAAAAAAATAATCATGATTTATAACAGAAATACTTTTTCTGATCAAACTTTGAGGTCAATGACCAATAAATTTATAGCCGGGGGCTATAACTGGGCACCTCGTAATCACAGTCAGAGTTTTTCCGTATATGTTTACTGTTTCTAGAGTGGGAATGAAAAAGACTGGAAATGATGGGGTGCCCACCTTGACAGATTTTTCGTACAGAGCTGTTATAAAAAATTGAAATATTTTCACTGTTGAAATTCCACTTTCGGCCTTCATTTTGTGTATGTTGTCCCAGTTTATCTAGAAAATAATCGGTGGTCTGTACCAGTGGTCTGTACCTGGATTAGTCTCGTTCCCGTACTGCCTCTTTTGCATGAAAAGTTTAGAATTTTGAAAGAAATTGGTTTCCTGGATTTATGGCAGCCATGTCGAAGTTTAAATGGGTTCAGTTGTTCTTTACATGTGTAATTAGTGTAGCTTTTGGCCTTGAATGTCGTCCGAAAGGGAAATGTTCATGTGAAATGTCGGATGGATCTGGTACTATCGACCTCACTCCTTTGAGTAACACGAATCCCCCAAGGTCAGAAGGATTTCCAGTATTATTTTTAATCAGAATTTAATGGGTAAAAATACCTACATAGTTTGTATTCAACGGTTTGTTGCCCATTTATAATATGGGCTCCAGGGGAAGCTATTACATTGTTGCAGGGCTCAAATTTGGTTCCTGGTTGCGTTGTTGTTAAGCACAATTGATTTTTGGAATTGTAATTGAAACCATCCTCTGAATCAAGAAATATCAAATCCATGTCAGGTCTGGGTCCTGAATGTCTCCATCTCTGAGGGGTTACACTGTATCATACAAATTTTTCCAAAATTTAGATAGCTGGCACCTGCCAATGACTTTGATCTTGAATCAAAGATACCAATAATTGATTAATGTTTATTATTATATATAATAAACAATTTTAATCATTGTTTGTGTATTAATTGAAATTATCTGATAAGTATTTTCATATTTTGTAGATTCAAAGGGGTGAAAGAAAGCACAAATCCAGATTTTTCTTTTGATTATGATCCTTGTAAAACATTCAATAATGGACAATGCAATAATGTCTTTGTAAGTATCGTCCCCCTCACTTTGTTCCTGAACTATGATATTCAGGAATTGGCATAAAAGATTATGGGGGAATATACCATAAAAGTTTGCCAATTTGTGATTTTAACCATTGAAAAATAGAATAGCATACTTTCATGTTGTATGAACTACTAGCTTTGATGATAAAAATTAGCAGCACACATGAAACCTAGAGCAGGATGTAGGACTACATCAATTCTTCAATAATATCTAGTTTGCTAGTACTGATATGAAATTAATTCAAAATTATTATAGATTTTCAGATCTACTAACTTCAACCTTGAAAACAGCTATGAGTATTGTGCTCTATCACATTCTCTTTGATCATCTAATACAGAATAAACAAAATGATAACTGTTCGAATAGCTACTGTATGATAAAAAATCCAGGACCAACAATTAATTCTTTTTTGGTATGACAGTTTATTTACAGGACAAATGTTTGAACAAATCAAGCATCTTAAAATATCACATTCAGTGGCTGGAAACTTTGTCGAAGCTTTGCAGGAAATCTCGATTTTTTCATTTTGCTGCCAGGAGGAAAGCTCTGCTCATATTGTTATCATCTTATATGTTTCTTCTACCCTGGCCAAGTAAAACTGTTCTTGTACTGAGAATACTATTTATCAAAATCTTTATAGTTATAAATAAATTCAATTGCCTCTATTTTGAAAAACATTATACCCTTTTAACACCAAAGAACTCCATTTTATTCAGTTTATGACCACTTGAATAGCAGCTGTTATCTATTTCTGCTCAGGAGTTGTTTGGATTAGTATTTGTTTATTTTTCTGAGTTATGTAATTTGTGTAGCAAATTTTTTACCATTTTTAAACAGTAGCCATCAATATCTGTTTTACAAAAAATTCTTATTTTTTCATTATTTTTCTGGGCTTAGTATTGAATGAATAATGAAGAATGAATAATGAGCAGAGCTTAGTATTGAATGAATAGTGCAGCAGAAATGTAATCCATCCACCTTGAGTAATGCTCCACAAAGCCAGCCTCATCTAGCTTCCTCTCCAAACAATGTTGATATTTATTATTGTATTGTAATACATGTATTAAAGGTTACATGATTTATTGATTACATATAATATTGTTTTTATTTTTTGCAGGTTTGTCAAATGTATAAAGACAATGTTAATCAATACAATGCAGGAAAAATTTTTGGCACAAAAATTTCTGGCAATAATGAAGTACAGTTTATCTACAACGACTTACCAATTGCAGTGAGGTATACACAATCATGTTCATATGAAAGCAGTATTTTATCCAAATAATATTTTACAAAGCAACAGAGTATGGTTCTACTTTGATTTATTACTTTAAAGGACACCACATTAATTGGCAGTAACATCTAAAGATGACAAAATATTTTCATCATACTTTCAGTACTTTTGTGTTGCATTTTTGTCAAGAAATTTTTTCAAGCATTTTGCCCAGGAAATTTCTGTATCAGTTTTTACATAATATTATGAAATGGGAGAGATCAATAAAGTCAAATATTATTACTAAACAGAAGTCTCATTTTAATTCCTCAACCTTTTCTTAATCTTCTTTTGACACATATTAAATGAAAATAATAGTTTTCAATGAAAAAAGTTTTTTCATAAAATCCAAAATGGATGCTTGATTACAGCTGGAAAAATTATTTGGCAAAAAAATTGCAAATTCACTTGAAATTAGGTGGATTTTGTTGGAGATTTATTCAGTCCTTTAATATATAATATATTTCTTCTGTCTGTACTCACTGTGGAATTGAAGTTTCAAGACTTTGATAATTGGGACATACGTTTTTGATGTCCACTTCTTTTCTGGTCTGCTGCATGGAAAAAAAGGGTTTGACATCATTTGGCAGTTCTTGGTCGGGGCTTGTTGCCCTGGCTGGTTCAATCTGTCATCATCATGATTTTCTTTCACTTGTGAAGGTAGATGGAGGACATGATGGACCATGTTAGTGGAGGTTGAAGTAAAATAAACATCTTTGGTGTTTGTCGTTGGTATAAATGAGCAAATCTTGTTCCTGTTTTACCACATGCTTGCATACTTGCACCATTTCTCGCAGCATGGCTTTCACTGAAATAATACCCCTATATTTCTGCCCCTGTCTTGTTTGACAGTAAAGTTTTGTTCTCGTAAGGTACATAATCTTTACATAGACTGACCTACATTCATTTGGGAAATCACTCAATGGTTACAATTTTTTGCGTTAGTGCCTCTTTAATGAGGCAGTATTTGTGAAATAAAATTGCAAAGTCTCTTTAAATTAGGTGCCTGGATTTTGTTCAAGATTTATTCTGTCCTATAAACAAAACTTGTTTGATGGTATTGAGTTTGATAGAAGAACTAAGGAAGTCTTAATGAAGCAGTTGTTGAAGCTCGTTGAATCTCCACATCTAGTGTTCGTGATTGTTAATCTAAACAACCCTATTTAAATGCTATTCTCTGACCCAGTCACTTCAAAACACCATGTTTCTATGACTTCGTGCTAGCATCTATTTTCATGCCAAAAATTTCAGCGTTGGAGCAATGATAAAAGCTTCAATGCAGGTTTGCCAAATAATTGTTGTATAAATTCGACAATTGCTTGTTTTAGACTCTCCTGGTTCTTTCATTTTTTTTTGAGGCATCTATTCTTAAAAATTCAATTTTTTGAGACAGTTATTTTTATATTTCTTAGGGCTTCTCCCAAAAAAATTAAGCACTCTTATGCCTATATATGGGTGTGTGATTTCATCTCATGTTGCCAAATGTACTCTGAATCCAACTTCAAAATTTGTCCAACTTCAAAATTTCAATTTGTCCACAGTTAATTACATTAAATAGTTTTTAAAACGTATTATTTGAAATGGAAGACTATATCTAAACTATTAGTGAAATCAAGACATATTTTTTATCATTTTTTTAAGAAATTGTGTATTTTTATGTCATAGGAAAACAGTGGTTACATTAAAATGCGATGATAAAGTAAAAGAAGATAAACTTTCTGACTTTGCAGAACTGACAAAAGATTCGTATGTAAGTGCCTGAAATTTTCTTTGACTGCTAACTCTCAGAGGTCTTTTTTAAAACTGCTTTTTTAAAATCTTCCATTTTTCAGTCATGTAATGGACATGTTTTACAAAGTCAGATAAACCCATTTAGAAAGAAAAATAAAGTAATGGAAACAGCTATGCATCAAAATTATATACATTTTGAATAGCAAGTTAGTGAAAGTTTTACTAGTAAGAATTTGGAATGGTCATGTTTACTAGTTAATGCAGGGAGAAGGAGAAAATAAACAAATTTTGACATTCAACAATAATTTTATATTTATTTTTGTTTCTAATAAATGCCCGTGGTGAAATTCAATTAAAGAATAAACATGGAAGAGAGGAAGCACTCAACCTGTATTTTGTTCTCTTCACATTCATTTATTATCAGTAATATTTATTTTTCCTTTATTAATGAATTATGAAAATGATGTATCCTTAAACTGAAATAATTTCTTTACTCTACTTGATGATTCTCAAACAGATGAATTGAAAAGAGAAGTTTGATGATCACAGAAAGTCCATAAAAAGGATATATTTGAAGAAAGTTTTTAGATGGAAGAGTATCATTGAAAATTTATCCTTTGCCTTCCATCTGCTAAAACATCCTTTTTTTCAACAGACTGCCACGCTGACATCAAGATATGCTTGCCCTGTTAAAAATAGCTCGTCAAGCAAAAGGCATGGAATCAGCACTGGCACAGTCTTATGCATCTTGTAAGTAAGCCACTAGGCCTACAGTTCAGTTTCAGATTGTAAATCACAATTGCTGTAGCGTTGTGTTGAGGCTGTTTTCAGACGGCGCCTTAGAAATGTTGCTTTGCTGCACTATTTTTATGAGGAACAGTAATTTCTGCAAGGTTTGCTCTTTCGTTGTTTGGAAAATTCGAGGCGTGGGTGTTCTTAATGTTTCTTTTATTTCCACATTGATTTTTCCACAATTGCATAATGTGAAATGTTTTGAAGACGACTGGATAACAGTTTTATATGACATTTTTAGTTGCATGGGTGATCAACTGATTAAATCAACTTTTTTTGGTTAACATGAGATAAAATTTCAAAGACATCAAATTTGTTATCTTTCAGTTTTTAACTGATGGTGGACCTGTTTTTGCGTTGTTCATATTTTTTGGTAAATCACACCCTCGGGGGGGGGGTACTTAGTATATTTTGCGGACGGGATGTGCACGTCTTTCCGGGTATCATTTTCAGCAATTTATTCTAAGGCCGGGTATCTGTTCAAAGGATATAATCTAAAGCCGGTTGCCTGATTTTCGCTGCCCGCCCATTGTTTTTGTGGTGTTCTGGCAACCATGGCAACTGGCACCAAAGCTTTTGTTTTCCTTTGTTCTTTTTTCCAGAAATTCTAAAGCCGGGTGTGATTTTTAGCTTTTTTTCTAAAACCTCTAAAACCGGTTCACCAAAACAATCTTAGGTGTGCACACCCCCGTCGTTTTGGTATCCGAGTACCACCCCCCCCCCCGGGATCACACCTCAGGGTTCATGTGAAGTATGTTCTTGTCCAAAAAGAGTATACAGTACGTATTTACGTTTATCTTAGGCTTCTCGTTGCTGTAGTTATTTATCTTGCCCTTGGGATCGTCATCAATAAGTATGCCCGTAAGAAAGAAGGGAAGGAATTGGTACCAAACGCAAGTTTTTGGGCCGATTTTCCATCGCTAGTCAAGGTATGTTGTCAAAATTTGTTTTTTATTTCACTCTTTCAGTTCATTTATCTGCTTACTAAACAAAAAGTAATTCAACCAGCTTCTCCTGACCCTTGCATTGCTGTCCCAAAGATATTATTAAGCGACAGACGCTTCAAAACTTTCGTTTCTTTTTTGAACATATTCTAAAGTGGAGGGCATTAACGTTTATCTATATAGGACTAAACGAATCTAGGAGCAGCTTTGGTACATTGCATCTACATGTATATAGTTGCTTTGCAATTTTACAGCCGCTAAAAGTCTCGAATAAAAGAAAAAGAAATTAAAGGTCTTTCAAATAGTAAAGCAAAAACGTTTTGAACATTTCCTCTTATCTTACCTCATAAAGACAATGTTACGTAGACTCTGCTTCTTATTATGCGAGTAGTGATCAACTTTAGGAATTAAGTCTCGCAAATGAAAGGAGATCGGGAGCTCGATGGTCATTTTCATGGAAGAAATGAAGGAGATCAGGAGCCCAGAAGGTCGTCTGAGAATTGTTAATTTCTATTTTTAACATTAATCATTTTTATTTCTAATTGCTTTTTAAAAGAAAGGAAGTTATGTTAGGAAATGTTTTAGTAGGAAAAGTGCAGTAGGATCAGATATGAGATTTGCGAAGAATACCTTTTTGCGAAGGAAAATAACATTTCATGACCCCATTGCTCATGGTTTAATTCAAAACTTCTATCTATACTATCCTAATCATTGGACAATTTGCTTAATTGATATTAATTTCTAAATCTGGCCGTCTCAAATTACATAAATATACTAAAATGCGTGCGGTACAATATGATGAATTTAAATAACGATCAATGTAGGTAAATTGTACCAGGAAAGATTTTTTAAAAAAATTAACGACTTTTCGAGCATAGCCCGTTATCAAGTGTATATTTACTTTTTGTCTCAAATTACATGTTATGAAATTAATTGGCATCGGGCTACATGGCTCATTTATCACTCATTCTTGAGATTATTCACTCCTCTAACTTCTTATTGAAAATAAGAGTCAAGACTATAGGTTAATGATATCGGTATAAAATTCTCTGAAGCCAAGAGTAGATTATCAGCCATGGCAACAACCACTTGCTGTAAAGACACTTCCAATTTCGGAACGAAAAGTCAATATTATTAAAAATGATAGCAAATTGCAATATTTTGAGAAACATGGCGTAGCTAAATATGTGGAAAAAATTCAATTTTTAAAGGTTCAAGAATCTCAAATTTTGTACGATCAAAAGAAATGCCCCAATTGAATATTTTAGCGTTTATGCCATCCTGAATTTTATGTCGTTGCTGTATGGATCTTTTTTTAGGATGGCTGTGTGTTTTCTTTCGGCAAAGTTAGAGGGAAGCCAAGTGAATATGAACGTATTTAATTATGAGAATGGTAAGTGGGACTTGTGATAAATGAAGAAAGTTCTAACCTGAATCTCTTCGATAGGTTGCAAAATATAGGACAATGTGTAGAACCACTTTCTGGAAACTTTTTGCCTCAAGAATAAGTTATAGAAGATGGCAAGGTGCAAAATATTTGATTAACGATGTTTTACAAATGTAAAGGAATGTCGCTGGGTTATTGTTTCATTAAGGTTAGAAATATATGAAAACTGTTTAAATGGAAATCGCATGTATCGAAGATCAGCAGTTACTTAAGAACCTTGTTATGAATCTTTAAATGCGTCGTTTAATTTCATTACTCGATATTTTTAGTTTTTTAAATCATTTTTTTCTGGATATACAACTTTCATTAATTAAATATGTTCATGACTAGATATTTTCAATTGAAGAAGAACGCTGTTTTCAATGGATTGGCTTGTACAAGAAAAATAACGCTGCTGTTATTTCAAAATTATTTATGAAAATGGAACATTGTTTATTTACCGATGTAAAGGACAAGCATGTATTTTGACATCAATTGGTTTTGTATAAAGTTAAGTTTTGCACCATTGTGATATATTTTCATTCATAACTTTTTTCTTTGTTTTACCTGTCCTTTTTTACCTAATTAAACTTAAGTCTCTTTCCTGCTTTGTGCCAGTATTTTGCCTATACCTCGCATTACTTTTAATTCTTACATCAAGTTGCAAAATTGTTGTTAGATGTTACAAAATGTTTTTTCAATGTTTTGAATATTTTTGAAGAACAGGGTCCAAAACTTCAGAAAGCCACTTAGCCAGTTCGTGTTGTGCTGAACCAATCATAGACAAAATGGGTCTAAGTGGGACATTCGGCTTGTGTATTTTACTGTGTAGACAAAACCGCTACTGTGTAGACAAAAGGAGTTCGTTTTCACCTTAGGACTCCATTGGTAACATTCTAATAGGCAAGCGGCACTGATTGGTCAACCTTTACAGTCATGTGCTCGTGTTTCTGATTGGCCTATTTCGTTCCACAACTGGGTATATATATTTCTTAGCGTAGAGTTTTCGATCTATGTTCTGACGTTTTAAACTCTGAAGAGTGTCAGACGAAAAGCTTTAGTTTACTAAATGTTTGCTTTTTTCAAAGCTATTTACAAGTTTTGTACCACCAAAAGATTAATTAACTTTTTACAGAAGCAAGTGAACGGGAGCACTGTTGCACCATGATTAGGTCACACATTTAATCAAAAACGGCATTTGTTGTAGGCCCGTAGCCAGAGGGGGGGGGCATGGGGTGGCAATACCACCCTGGAGCAAGAGAACACCAGTTGTTTGCCACCCTGAGAATTTGTCTCAATTTTTTTTAATGCGCCTTTTCGTCGCTTTCATTGGATTTTCATGACAATTTAAGTCAAGATAAGTTTGGCGAAAGGAAAATTGTTTACTTGGGGCTTTTATTTCGAGACCCTGATACCTCCATACAAATATGCAGCGTCCATATTTCTTTTTTGGAGAAAACATTCGAGGAGCTTGGTGTTTTTCTCCAAGCAGTGTGCAAATCTTCTCTCGAATGCTAACATTTAAAATTTTTTCTAACTGAATAGAAATTAAGAGGATGAAAGTTGTTTAATTTCTGAAGACATTTTACAACTTTTATGCTTCTCTGTTTTCACTAACTCTCCTCACCCCCTCCTCTCCCTACAAAAAACTGAACTTTCAACTTTGCCTGCATTTGCCACCCCTACGCCAAAGGCCTGGCTACGGGCCCGATTTGTTGGAGACTGCTGAGGCTCTAGCAGTGCCGTCGGAACGAAATTCATATTAGGGTGGGCTGCCCATTGTATTCTATCTCGTTCAGTACACTGTTATAGAGGAAATATGCTACAGTCTGACAATTTTGGGGGGCTCCAGCTCCCCCCAGCTCCCCCGGTTCTGACGGGCCTGTCTAGTTTTTTCATATTATTCTCATTGGTTTGTTGGTTTGTCTAGAATGGAGATAAATAAAAAAGGAAAACATGTGAAACAATTATAAAACTATTATAAGTTGCAAATTACCTTACATACTAAAGTGCTCGTTCTAAAAAACTTTGGGTATCATAGCTATATCAATGGGCAAATTGCATGAAGAAAACTGGCTTTCTGTAACAAATGCTATGGTAATGACAGCAAAGAGGAATTTGATCTCGATTGTTTTAAAAACACCCTATTTCAATGACTTTTGCCCAATTCTTTAGGGAAAAATTCACCCTTTTATCAGAAGTTTCTGGGAGTGCTTGGGAACACCTCTGAATGAGAATGGATATGTCCATGGGCTCCGCCACAGGCTGGAAAGTGAGGGGGCCAAGGGAAAACTTAACACCTATATGCTTCACCGGCCCCCCTACGTCGGAGGCCCTGATTATATTGAAATTTCTGGTAGAAATAATAAAATCTTAGGAACTCTTTTCTAGAAATCGATCGGCACTGTCGTTTTCGGCATAAACAAAGTTGGTAACTTTTCGCGCGAAAACTTGTCCAAGTGATCTTCGTTCCAGTCTTTTTCACGGAACAAAAGGGCAGCGAATTAAAATCTGTCACGTGACATATGCTTGTCTCCAGTCTTCTTCTTTGTATTGTGTGAATTTGGTTGAATTATGGACGGTTGTGAAGGCAAAATAATGATACCGTTTGCATAATAGCCCAACTGTAAATGGAGGATATGTTATGGCCGAGCTTGAGGAAAAGTCGTTTGCTATTTTTCAGGCTAGAGCAGAACTTATTTCTGGTGAAAGCTCGTGCGACAAAAGTGATGTTAATGATCTAGGCCCATCAACTTTGGGGCTTGTTGGACTGACTACAACTGCGAATTATGAAGAAGTGGTATCGGAAATAGCAAATGGCGGCCACATTGCAGCTGTAACCCAAAATAATACGGCTAGCCCGAATTCTAGCCATACTGTAATGAAATATCATACTTCGGATATTGTTATGACAGAGTCAGAAGGTCCTCACAAAATAGAGGCGCTTGGAGACTCCCCATCCAGCAGTAGCCTGAAACCGACAATTGACAGTGCAGAAATTGCAAAGCTTGTTGAGGTTGCAACGGAAGTGGAAAAAGAAGTTACTGACCCTTCTTGCACTGGTATTGTATTGCCAAAGATCCCATCTAACTTAGATATTGGTATGACTGAACCAGAGAGGTCAGACAAAGTGGAGACACTGGAGGAGACCCCACAGAATAGCAGACTGAAACCAACTATTGACAGTGCTGAAATAGCAAAGCTTGTTGAGGTTGCAACTAAAGTAGAAAAGGAGGTTACCAACCCCACATGCACAGGTACGCCATTGCCAAAACTTCCTGATAGCCTAGATGACAATGCAAGTGCTTCTGATGTTGATAAGAGATTTAATTCTAGATATGTTTCTACTTTTGAAGAAGCAAGGAAGGTTATTGAAGCACATGAAATCTTAACAGGGACAAAATATGTTATATGGAGAGGACTAGCAGGGTTTGGAAATGCAAGTCCTCAAATCAAAGGAAGGAGAATCTTATGGCAGGAAATGAGGAAATCAACAGATCAAATGAGACATGGTATTGAGAGAGATAATATACCGTTTATTGTTTGTGGGGAAATAATATATGACTGTGTTCATGGAAATGATAACCATAAATCTTGGAAATCACTTTATGCAAAAAGGCTAAAAGAGAAGGAGGAAAAAGGAACCCCAATCAAGTCAAGAAAGAGGATAGCAAGTAGTAAAAAGGTTGGTTGTCCAGCTAGGATTTACTTGAAGGAAGTTATAAAGTTTCCAGATCATTCTTCCCCGAAATTTACCGAATTTCATAAAAAAGGGACCGCAAAACGACTTCGCAGTGATGTAGAAAGTGGAAAGAATGTCAATTTTGAAAAAAGAATTTATGTTTGTTTACCAAGTATTGAGGAGCATAAATACCATCCAATTGGTGGGAATTTAGCAGAGGTCAATCAAGTTACATTTAAGGCACCTATCAACATTGCAGTTGTAAAATATTGGGGAAAAAGAAATACAGCCTTGAATCTTCCTCTAAACTCATCATTAAGTGTTACACTTGGTTTAGAAGAAATTTCAGCTAAAACAACTGTGGCTATGAGCACAAACTTTAATGAAGACAAATTCTGGCTTAATGGTAAAAAACAAGATATACGAAAAAATGAAAGGATACAAAATTGTTTGAAAGAATTACGCAAAATGGCACGCAAGAGAAAAGGCTCAAAAGACAAGTGCTGCTTGAGTAAGCAACATCTCCATATTTGTTCAGAGAATAATTTTCCAACAGCAGCTGGGCTTGCATCATCTGCTGCTGGGTATGCTTGTTTAACAGCAGCTCTAAGTAAACTTTTGGGTGTAGAGAACGAAGTGTCCCATATTGCAAGACAAGGGTCTGGGAGTGCTTGCAGAAGCATGTATGGAGGATTTGTTAAATGGAATAGAGGGGAAATGGAAGATGGTATGGATAGCATTGCTGTTCAAATTGCACCTGAGGGTCATTGGCCTGAGTTGAAAGTCCTTGTTGCAGTTATCAATGATCATCAGAAAAAAATCAGTAGCACTGAAGGAATGCAAAGAAGTGCTGCAACTAGTGAACTTCTCTGGTACAGAGCTGCATATGTTGTTCCTATCAGAATGGAAGAGATGGAAAAAGCGATTTTAGAGAAAGATTTTGAAAAATTTGCAGAGCTGACCATGAAAGAAAGTAGCCAACTTCATGCAGTCTGCTTGGACACATACCCGTCAATAGAGCCACCTTATTTAAACGAAGTATCACACCAGATTATGGAACTTGTTACAGTGTTGAACGAAGTAGCTGGAAGATCAAAAGCTGCATTCACTTTTGATGCAGGACCAAATGCATTTATATTTACAACAGATGAATATTTTGATGAGGTTTTGTCTCTTCTAGAATCTCATTTCAAGCCAGATGGTGCTGATGGTGAGTCATTTTTCAGAGGTATTAATTCTGGAAATTTGAGAAGAACAAGTGTTGATCCTGTTGTCATAGAAGAACTCAACAACAGAAAGTTCAAGGTTACCAAAGGAGGTGTGAAATACATTATTTGCACAAAGTGTGGATGTGGACCAGAGGAGCTGCCATTTTCAGAATCTCTTTTAAATCCTTTTGGTTTACCAATTGATAATCAGAATCTTTGTGAAAATATATTGGAACAACCTACTGCCGCCAAACTTTGATGCGTTTCCCTGCATGATAGTGTCAAAATTTTAGACTGCTTAAGTCCATATTTGCACACTAAAACAAGTGTAAAGAGGAGACTGAAAAATTTGGAATTGGACTCGTATCAATATGTTGCATATGTAATGATTTCCCAATAGTGGCTCCAATTATTGTTGGTCATCTCAAACTTTAGGTTTAAATCTGACAGTTAATTCATGTTAATATTCTATGTAATAGAATAATAACTTTACAGAATATCCTCAAGAAATCTAGCTAGATAAGAACACCTAAACTCCAAAAGAGGGATCTAAATATACTAGGACTGTTATACATAGACAATTTTGTTTTCATGTTCAATGGCATCCACAGAGTCTGTCTACCCAAAAATTATGAGCTGCTTCTTTTGTCTGCATCTTATTAACTTCTCCTCTCCTCCCCATCACCTACATGCAGAAGGGACACTGGTAAATATTTTATGCATATTTTTGCATGTTTTCACGATTTTGTATTATTTTTAGCCGTTGATCTACTTGTCAAAGTAATATTGTGATAATGCATATTACTGTTTCTCCTTGAATCTCAGTTTTCCCTGTATAAGCTTTCGTGGAGCCTACCCCCTTCCCCTATTTGATGGTGCCTTATCTGTGGATGCTCTTTTGCAAATACTTCTTTTATTAAAAATTTTTTACAGCATCTTGATAAATTTAACTGTGCCTGCTGGAACATAAGATGCTTTTTACATTGTCAGTCATTCCTTTGTAACCATTCACTGTTCGTTATTAGAACCTTTTTAAACTATTTAATTCACAATCCAGTTTATTGCCCCTGTCTAATTAAATTGTCATATACATAGGTACATATTGTTTAATATAAATGGCAGTGGTATTTTTGTGCTAGGACTTTAGATTATAATTTTATTTAAGTCCTTATTTCTAGTGAAGAATGAAAGGAGGCGATTTGGTATATGTTTTCATTGTTTGTTTAAAGCCCTAGAGTTATATGATTGCTCAACTTGCAAAAACAAAGGACAAGGTCTACCACAGTATCTAACAAGTCATATAAAAAGATTCATTTGATAGGTATTTACGTGAAGGATTTCTTAGCTCTTTATAACTAAGCACATCAAAATATTCCAGGAAACAAAGTTTTTGTTTTGTAACTGGCCCAGTCTAAAAGAAGCTTTTGGGGAATTTTAAAGGTGGGCCTGCATCTTGTATTATTCAAATGTCAAATTACGCCAGAGAACAAAGTTGCCCCAACATCATGCTTTTGTCATAAAATGCACAATACAGCTGCTAAACGACCACACCATCATTATACTTCAAAGAAGTGAGTTTTGACAGAGCGAAAAGTTTCAACACTTCATTTTAACGTTTTGCTTATAGGTCGGTTTTGCCTATAGGTCGGCTTTGCTTATAGGTCGGCTTTGCTTATTGTTGTTTGATCATAAACGTGGATTTGTATGATATTTTCGATGATTCAATAAGATTTTAATAATTTCAAGGTCAATATTTTGCCAACCCTGCATTTTTTACGCTAAAAGTAATGTGACTTCGAACTTTTGCCAGAATTTTCCATAAATGATAATTGATTTCCTGATAAACTTGACACCTTTTGGGATCTGCCAAACCAGCCACAGCACCACTGCCTTTATAGTAGGCACGATCTTATAAATCGAATGCAACGCATTCCCGTTGTATGGAAGAGAGAACTGCTGGTACTAAATACATGTCAACAAATTTATCGATGACTGTACAAAGTTGGATTTTTATTTATATTAAAAATTTCATTTTTTAATATACAATAGAAATAGCAAAGTGGGAGGGCAAATAGCATTAGCTATATTGTAAATCCGAAAATATTAATGGGAAAGCTGAGATCTCCTTTTAATAGCAGCACCGTACTTTGCTGCATTTTCTTCAAAGGCCGTTGTTTTTGGAAAAATTTCAAGGGAGAAGCCCCAGAACAATATTTCCTACCCTTTTGACAAACCTCGCAACTCTTTCAAGCCTGTCATTAGAAAAATAAAAAACGAACGTCTGCTTTTGCTAAAATTTCTACCGAGCAAAAACGGGTCAACGTTTCATGGCATGCTATCTCTTTAAAAGGACACTGACCAAGGTTTTACTTTTTACGCCATGATCAAAATAATTCAATTACCAAAATGATCATTTATATATGATGACCAAAATGATGACTTTTAAAAGCATGTTATTTCATTTGCTGCTTTTCAGATTAAAAAGATTTGCTGTTTTTGCTTTATTAAAACGCTGCCAGTGATAGTTGAACCACCTCTCGAAGATTCCCGAATGTAGGCTCGAGCCACCATGCACCTAGCCTGATAAGGGGGGTATCAGGTATCCCTGCTGAATCACGCAATAACGCTTAAAATAATTCAGGTATCCGCGCAAATCACGCTTTCACGGTACTGGAAATTAAATTTCACGATCACGCCCCCTAGACGCTCTCCGAATTTTCAATAACTATCGATTAGGAGTGATTTCTTGTTGGCAGAGCCATCAGAATCAGAATCTCTGAATAATGGAGACATGTTTCTGCTCTGGTACCGGAAACCAAGACATTCTGCTTGTAAAAACGAAAACACTCTATTTCGAAATTCTTTTGCAGCAGTCGCTTTCACGCAACACGTCATGAGTGATGCTGATTCACGGGTCACGCATTCACGCATAATAAAAATTTGTTTCACGAATTCACGCATCGAAAATACGCCGATCACGCAATCACGCCAAAATACCTGGTACCCCCGATAAGGTTACCATGCAGCCAGGTAGTTGGCGCATGTGGTCAACGCATGCTATCGGATTTTTATATATCTTCGAGAAAGGATCTTATTATTTTTTATTATTATCTATTTATTTAAAGTAGGCGTATAAAAATAGCTACAAAATAAAAGCTAATTCAAGCCTATTACAAAGTAAAATTGTTTAGAAATAAAAAAATAAAAATACATATATATCTAGCAAAAGAAATAAGTATAAATACATATAAACATATTTTACAATGTTTTTACAGCATTTTTAGCATTTACAATACAATACATTTATCCGTTCAAGAACCCAACCTGAGCCACGAAAGATCTACATAGTCTTCAGTTGCATTCCTCTTCTTTCCAAGATTTTATTCTTCTTTTAAAGCTGGAGAGGGTATCTGATTGTTTCATGTCATTGAGAAGTGCCTGCCACAATCTACTCCCTAGAAACGATATTAGCACGTAGTACACGCTTGTGGCAGTAGTCCATCTCTGTGGCATCTCTACACCTCCTGAAAGGAAGTCAACTTCCATTGTTGTGCTTCTGTTCTGCTGTTCTGCATGCTTGCTTTTGTGTATTAAATCATGTTAATTTGTATTTTTCTGTAATTCTATTGAAACAACTTCTTGTAAAACGGGACGCCTATTCTACCAATGGCTGGTGTGTGGGACTGGAGCCTGGTTAGATTCAACTATATTTTCAAGCATACCTCCGACTGGAAGTATGCACTGATGATAAACAATGATTAATGACGATGAGATAAAAATGAATCCAAACTAATCTCTCAAAAAATGATTTTCATTCTGTCAATAGTGAAACGCCTCTTGAAACTTGCAATTATACTTAGCTTCCAAAAATTATTTCATTCTGTTTATTTTTGGTCATCATTCATCGACGTACAATCCGCTAGGCTACATTGATTATCAATAGTGAAGCACCTACGGCATCATACAAAGTGGCGTAGCGTCTATGCGCTACGCATGCGGCGCAAACGTAAGAATTTCTGAAAATATCAACTTGAAATGCGAAATTTCATCTTTTATTGCGCGGGTTACAAGATGAGAAATAAAAACTATGCAAAAGTCTCATCGTTTGTCATCAAATATGCAATCCCTTTATGCTAAGCGAATTTTTCATTTCGTCGTTCAGTTGTAGTTTATATTGCGATAGTTCGATTGTATTTTATCTTGCGGTTCTTGTCACGCGTTCACCTCCGGCAAATCCATTGATTTTTCGACGATAAAGTGAATTAGGGGCCATCCTGAGGTCTTCCTTTTTCCATGGTCAGATCTAAATTAATAGCGACTCGCCTCTCATTTGACAATTTTTCTTCCTTAGGCATGGTCTACATTTTTACAAACCAAAATGTCTTTGCGTAATTTAAACATTTAAACATATCAAGTTTTCTATGGCGTCAGCAAAATTTGCAACTTTTTCTAACCGAAATTTGGTACAAAATACGCCTATTTCACCCAGTTCTTGCATTCAAATGTTTTGTACTGCCAAAGAGTTTACAAAAAGTTCCGCCATTTTGAACAAGGTGGTGCAATACTTTTGATACCCTAGTTTATTAGGTTGAGACAGCTGGGGGGATAGTCTTGTGTTGCATTGATGTTGCTTTTTGTTTCGATGCCTTCTTTCATTGGGGCAGGTACACAACAGGTGGTTGTTGTTCTTTTTACTGAATTGAATTGTATATCCAACGAAGCAATCTTCTGGCTGGTAGGCGCTCTGCGTTGTAGTATTATTCTTTTCAATTCAAATTTGCTTAGGACCGGAGGTCCTATGAAGCAGCAGAGACTCTACTACATTAAGCAATGAGGATTCCCTTTCGTTTGGCCAAACTCACTCACAGCACAGCTGGTGGATTAAAGACTTTAAGGTCACCAAAAGACATTGCTTGCTTGAGCCCGTCGAAGGTCACTGCTCTCAGGAACAGTAGCCAAATGGATTGGAAAATGCAGTCGCCGATAGACATTGACAGCACCAAGGCCGTTGCAGACAAAGGCTTATCAACGAAACCTCTAGACTTTGGCAGGCATCTGTCAGCATTTAGTCTCACAAACACAGGTTCAACGGTCGATGCCAAGACACAAAGTAAGTACCTACTGTCTGGGGGACCGTTGGCAAACCCATATGAGTTTGTTGGGTTCCATTTTCATTGGGAAAATCAGGAAAATCCCCTTTCTGGGTCAGAGCACCTTTTGAATGGCAAAGGTTTCGCATCAGAGCTTCATTTAGTCCATTGCAATATACAAAAATATGGTGAGTTTGCTGAGGCATTGAATTATGAAGATGGGCTCAGTGTTCTTGGTGTTTTTTTGGAGATCACTCCAGAAGAGAAAGGCCATGATGCATTGGAAGAACTTTGCAGTTACTTCGAGGAGATCAAACTAAAGAATGATTCAGTAGCAATGAAGAACCCATTTTGTCCATATGCTTTGCTCCCTAATGACACAAAATCCTATTGGACATATTCTGGGTCACTGACCACTGCACCCTTTTCAGAATGTGTCTCTTGGATTGTTTTTAAAGAATCAATAAAGGTCTCAAAATCTCAGCTGGAAAAGTTTCGAATGCTAAAGTCAGTTGCTGCTGTGGAAATTCAAGAACAAGAAAGCTTGCAGGCAACACACATATGTCATAATGTCAGAGAAACATTTCCAGTTGGAGATAGAACTGTTAGGGCTTCATTTGTTTAGGTAAAATATCTGATAATATCAAAAAGATGTTTACTGAAATAATGGGTAAAGATAATAAAAATGTATGTGATAAAAATATATAAAAATCAAAATATATGTGACAATATAACCACTTTTAATGTGTTGTAATTTGGTATGAAAATGAATGTTGGAAATTTAAAAACTTTTTCTTTGCACTTTGAATTATTATGCATGAGAATTTTATTCAGTATCAAAGTCACATGTTTAGCACTGTCTTGTGCTTAATCATCTGATCACCTCAATTTTTGTTGGACTATCTGTTAATGTAATGAACAGAATAGAAATTGAAGTTTAGACCTTTGGAAATTAATTAATAAATTTCACATGAATATATGTATATATAAATGTAAATGAATATTTGGAGACTATATAATTATATTAATCAACAATATAAAGTATGGTTTTACGTTGGGTTCAGTAATATTAGACTCTCATGATCAATTTGGCTGAAGTGAATTAAAGTGAAGGTAACAAAACAATTTCTTGATTTTCATTACTTTTCTTCATGGATAGAAAAAATTCCTTCTGTGAGAAGCAAATTTAGAATATATCCATCTCTAAACAGGCCTGTTTGGGGCTCTTGAATTTGATGCATGGAAAGAAGGACTAAAAAGATTGAGAAAAAAATTGAAAGTTCTGTAGAGACATTTAATTGTCTAATGAATGATAAAATGCTTGCATGGACTGTAAAATAAAGCCCAGCATTTTGTAGATCAAAATTGTTTGCCTCTGAAGGAATTAAAGAGTAATCCACTCAACAACTGCACATTTGAAGTTACTTTTAGCTTTTAATTCATATAATACCAAAAACATTGACAAAGTGTTTCTATAGAAATTTTTTTTGATCTAACAAATTTGAGTGCATGATTGCTATCTTTTAGAAACTAACTTCCAATACAAATAAATTGTATACTATGTTGTACTGTTCAGGGCCAGGGTGCAAATTCAGTTAATCGCCATTTTGCCTGAACAGTACATATGTTTTACCCAATTAGAACTGCAACACAATTTGCATAAAATTCAGACATGACTATTTCTGCATTATTTGAAATTTTACAAACATGTAGATATTCTGAAAGGCTTGAAGGGTTTAGTACTTTGGGGTTTAGTACCTGACATAAGTTAGGCATGAGCATTATGTCCATTTTCAAGTAGACACATAAATTGGAGTGCCGTCGGAACGAAATTCATATTGGGATGGGGGGCCTGCCCATTATATTGCTTCCCATTAAGCACACTGTTATAAAGGAATATAGTAGTGGTACAGTTTGACAATTATTGGACGGCTCCAACGACGCTATGGAAAGGTTTGCAAAAGCTTTTCTGTGTGTTTTGTTCTCTAAAAAGGATTGGAAGTACTTGTTAAATGAATATAATGAGTATGGCGCTAAAACCTTTTTACAAAATTGCAGTTTCTAATTAGCGCCCCCTTGCTCTAATTTCACCTTTGAAAAACACTGTTTCAAAAATCGAAACCTAACTTTCCCTTTATATAACTCCTTCTTCTATTGGCTCTAATAATTCCAGTTTACAATATTTTATATTTCAGTGCTTCAATAATTTAATTCGTATATTATACGAAACGTCTTAAAACAAAATTTCTGCTTCAAATATTCCAAAATTTGTCTTTTTGTTCATTGCTTTATCAAGAAAGCAATGGTTATTGCTCCGGCTATCATTTCAGTCTTATGCTTCGTCGTATTTTGGTAAAAAGGATGCTGATAGTAACGACAAATGTTACATTCACATGTTCAGTCGAATCTCTGTGCTTGTATGCCAAGGAAAAGAAGACGAATCTCTGTCTCGTGCTTATTTTTCTAGACGAACCCTTAAACGAAAGCAATTTTAAGGAAACAGGGTTGAAAATAATTCTGAAAAAGAAACTAATAGATGCAGCATTTCTTTTCCAACATTGCAAGACCAATAAAGATATTGCTTTGAGAATTTCTTTCATTTTCCTGAATTACGACAATATTGTCTTCAAGGTGCAAAACAGTAGATATTGGTTTTAGGTATCTAAGAAAACTAATAATATGTATGTTGCATGACATTTGGTACAAGATATCGTCAATAGTGTTAACACCAAACAATGTCTCCGAGAAGCCTCAGTCTTCAAAAAAGCTAAAAGTTTCAGGAAGTGCAACTCTATAGTCTATTTGCAAGGAGGCATTTGCTCTTACCTTTATTCATAACGTAAACAACATCTTCTGGAGCTAAAATGTATTCATTCCAAAAAGCAAAATCGTCAATATGCATATCCCAGTGATCATCGGCTAATGTATATAAGGATCCTGCTCCAAATATCACTTCTGGATGGACTGTGCCAGATCCTGAGTGGGTATCGGTTACGGTTGTCTGTGCCACATTGCGACCGTTAACATACAACACAATCTTTGGAACTGAAAATTCAATCATTACTTTGTAAGTTTTTTAACATTACGTGCTAATGCAGATTTTTGTTAGCCTGCATATTGCACCACACTTACAGCAGTAGGCAACGTTGTGTGCGCTAATATAGACCTGTGAATAAATCTTTATTCTATCAAAAACATGAGCAATAATCAGTTACAATTACAACAGAATTCTCCTTTAAGAGGATCCTATGAAACAATTGTAGACATCATATTTGGCTAATCAAATCATTCAAAATTTGCTCTTGAAAGATATTTTCTACAATTAGAGAGAAAAGAAGGTACGGCGCAAGAATGGCTCAGTTGTCAAGGTCGCCGACTACTGATCCAAGGGCCTATGGTTTGTGCTCCCTGTAATTCTAGACATAGAAATCATGAGATTTGATCACGTCAAAAGAAAGGACCAAACTACTGTTTGATAGGCCAAGCTTCTCGGTGTCCTAAAACCTACCTTCTTAAAAGCTAGGTAGTAAAAAACAAAAAAAAGATGGAACAGGTAGATAAAGGTGAAAAATCTAAAAAAAACTTTATGAGGATGTCTGCTTCTGATTAAACAAATATCAACTCACACTTCCAATCAATTGTTAGCGCAACGTGGGTCCAGGCTTGCAATTTATCTGGTAGCTGCGCATCTGGCGTTGTAAGATATTTTGAAGAGTGAAATGAACGAGCAAATATTGCTGTTGCTGATGACTTGACTCGCATAAGCACCCCTGTGTGAGAGTTTAACCTTCCTGACCCAAAAATAGTTTGATATCGTGTTTGGGGAGATGCTATTCGAATCCAGAGTGATATGCTCATCTTTGAAGCAGCTGGGTTGCTTGCAAAAAAAGTCAAAGTGAAAAAATGAATACAAAACAGAAATATTAGCCAACTGTGGCCTATCATAAGATGGCTGGCGTAAGCACCCCTGTGTCAGAGTTTAACCTTCCTGACCCAAAAATAGTTTGATATCGTGTTTGGGGAGATGCTATTCGAATCCAGAGTGATATGCTCATCTTTGAAGCAGCTGGGTTGCTTGCAAAAAAAGTCAAAGTGAAAAAATGAATACAAAACAGAAATATTAGCCAACTGTGGCCTATCATAAGATGGCTCGCGTAAGCACCCCTGTGTCAGAGTTTAACCTTCCTGACCCAAAAATAGTTTGATATCGTGTTTGGGGAGATGCTATTCGAATCCAAAGTGATATGCTCATCTTTGAACCACCTGGGTTGCTTGCAAAAAATGTCAAAGTGAAAAAATGAATACAAAACAGAAATATTAGCCAACTGTGGCCTATCATAAGATGGCTGGCGTAAGCACCCCTGTGTGAGAGTTTAACCTTCCTGACCCAAAAATAGTTTGATATCGTGTTTAGGGAGATGCTATTCGAATCCAGAGTGATATGCTCATATTTGAACAACCTGGGTTGCTTGCAAAAAAAGTCAAAGTGAAAAAATGAATACAAAACAGAAATATTAGCCAACTGTGGCCTATCATAAGATGGCTGGCGTAAGCACCCCTGTGTCAGAGTTTAACCTTCCTGACCCAAAAATAGTTTGATATCGTGTTTGGGGAGATGCTATTCGAATCCAAAGTGATATGCTCATCTTTGAACCAGCTGGGTTGCTTGCAAAAAAAGTCAAAGTGAAAAAATGAATACAAAACAGAAATATTAGCCAACTGTGGCCTATCATAAGATGGCTCGCGTAAGCACCCCTGTGTGAGAGTTTAACCTTCCTGACCCAAAAATAGTTTGATATCGTGTTTGGGGAGATGCTATTCGAATCCAGAGTGATATGCTCATCTTTGAACCACCTGGGTTGCTTGCAAAAAATGTCAAAGTGAAAAAATGAATACAAAACAGAAATATTAGCCAACTGTGGCCTATCATAAGATGGCTCGCGTAAGCACCCCTGTGTGAGAGTTTAACCTTCCTGACCCAAAAATAGTTTGATATCGTGTTTAGGGAGATGCTATTCGAATCCAAAGTGATATGCTCATCTTTGAACCACCTGGGTTGCTTGCAAAAATAGTCAAAGTGAAAAAATGAATGCAAAACAGAAATATTAGCCAACTGTGGCCTATCATAAGATATTATTGCCGCGATTAAAGATATCATCAACTTTCTCAAGCTAACTCTTCGAACAGTCACATACCTTTACATTCTTATTATAAGAATTTTAATGATAAAGGGGAATAAAATGCAAAAAAATATCAATGTAATTTGAAATTAGTTTGACAAATATTCTCAAAAAATGTTGATGATTTTCGATGTTAAAAGCATTTTCTAGGTTAGGAATAGCTTACATCATCAGATACTGAACAGTGGCGTAGCGTCTATGTATGCTACGCTTGCGGCGCAAGCGTAAAAATTTATAGACAAATTCTAAAATTCTTGCAACACTTTCAATGCATAACAGTTTCCGCAATAAACGGCTTCTCTTTCTTGTCATGAGCAGCATGCGGTGAACTTCAGCGCCAACAGGCCAATTGGCCCCAAATTGGCTATTTTTCCAAGTAAACAGATCGCTAAAAATTATGAAATTCGAAAAATTTGAAAAACTGAAGCCCCTCCACATCACTCTTTTCGCCTGTCCAAAATAAGAGAAACATGTGATGCTCCAGTGCAGCTTCAGTGCAACCAGTGGCGTAGCTAGCCAAATAGCAGTGGTCATGCCCTCCCCCCAAATTTTGAAAAATATGGGTGTGGTCAAATTTTACCACGCCCAATTTTTTAGTTGATGAGTTCCTTTTGGAAATTTTAATTTTAAGGCTTGTGACTTATAAAAAAAATTGTGATTAACTTTTGGAATGAGCTTTTCTTATTTCATAGCAATCATCTTGTTATCTTATAGCTGTGACACTGTTTTTGTTTGTTGGTAATTGATACAGACAGAGTTCTGACAATTTTCAAACAGAACTGTACAAAAGACATTAAAAAACATTAGTTTAGTAAAGTAGATAAACTTAGCTTAAATCAAAAATTGTGTTGTTCTCATAATTTCTTTCAATTTGCAGGCTGAAATACATTTGTAAATTTTAGAGATAAACTAAAATTTGTAAATGAAACAATAAATCACATAAAACTGAATGGGAGCTTTTTGGTCATATTTTCCACAAATAGTCTTATTATCAATCTATTGAAGGTATTTTAGAGCCATCAGGATTAACTAACAACCCCAATAGGACTGATAGTTGAATAAAACAAATTGGCAAATGAATATGCAATGTAAATATTGATATGAAATATAGGAAGCTGAAATAATGGATAGGCCTAGTTGCAAAATGTTTTCTGCAAAGTTAGACTTAATAGAAGAATACCTTGCAAAATAAGTTTAGCTTAACAAAAACATTGATGTTTCCACATATACTTGTGGTAAATATCCACATGATTGGATTGTTCTTACTAAATCTAGCAAACAAGGGTTGTAAATGAAATAATTTGTAAATTTTCAAATACACGAAAAGTTGTAATAATGAAATAAAACTGTTTAACTAACAAGATCAGTAACATGCTTGACTTGTCTCTGGTCATTTTATTTCAACAGCTTTATGTAGTAAAAAGGTACTTTCAACTATAAGTGAAGTCAGTAGAGCTTTGAGTTTGACTTTAATTGTGTGTAAAACAGTGTTATTGCATGTGATAATAAACAAACAATTGAAGAATAACTTTAAGCAAGTTTTGGCATTCCCTATCCATTAACTACAATCTTATTGTCCTAATCATAATATGGTAACAATGCTATTAAAGGGCTTAACAGTTTCTGAATATGCTGCTAAATGTCTGGAAAGTTTAAGCTCTCAAATCTGTTGGTTTGGAAAATAACACTGATATCTCCTCCATCCATCTCCAGTGAACAGCACCAAGATTTGGCATTCATTAAATCAAGAAGATTCTCTGCAAATGTTCAACTCGTAACAATTGATTACTGAAAAGGCTGAAAGTTTGGTTTGGTTGCATAAAATGATCCCGCTTTGCTGATTTCATGTCCAAAAGGGCCTTTCGTGCCTTTCACTTCCTCGTATAGTGCAACACCATTCAGGCTGAAAAATCCTGTCATTGCCATAAAATGCTCTGGAGATTAACATGAGTCGTGGCTGCTTGGCAATTAGCTTTTGCTTGCATTTTACTTACAGAGAATTACCTCCCATCTCGTGGAACTAGGCATAGCAGCGCCGCCATCGATGCCTCGCATTCGCGTTCACGAAATAACACAGGGCGGTTCTGATGATTATAATGATGGTCATGCCCTCTCGAAATGGCATGACTAGCCTTTGTTCTCTCCTGCGTCACTCCTATTGTTAGGCATGACCAAACATAGGGAACCAGCTTTAAAGGCATGACTAAAACACAGGGTTTGGTCATGCTCATAGTTATGGGCATGACTAAATTGGAAACCCTCTGTTTTAGTCATGCCCGACAATAGAAGAGCGCCTTCGGAGGGCTCCATATTGTTGCGTGGAACCATAGGGCTCCAAAGGCGAATGGCCTGAGCTATTTCATCAGGAGAATAGGACTTTATTCTTACGAAAAAATAATTTTTTGAAAAATGTTATCTCTGGAAATAGATGGTCATGCCGGGCATGACAAGCATGACCGCTAGCTACGCCACTGAGTGCAACTCGAGAGAAGCTTCTGAGAGAAGTGAGAATTTTCCGGACTGGAGCTTGCGGTCGGCCTGAGCGCAAGCCTTCCCAAATATTTGATAATCCACAACATTTTTCTACCTATAAGCTGCTTTTTGCGAATACTCTTTGCGTGATACATCATTTCAAATCCAATTATTTTCCTTTCTTTACTTTGTGACTGTTGAAAAGAGAAAAAGTTTCGTCAAAGTGGGGTCAGAGTCTATTTGTCATGATCCGCATTCCGTAATTCAAGTCAAAAGGCTTGCCAGTATAGTCAGAATTTACGGACCAGGGCATGCGGTAGACCTGAGCGCAAGCCTTGCTAAATACATGATGATTTGCCGGGACTAACTTTCTGAAACTTTACACATGGAAGCATCTTCAATTCTAACAACTCTCACAGCTCACTATTTCATCTTAGTTAAATATGAGAGTAAAAAATGAGCAGAAACTGTTGCTCCTGTTCGCTTAGGCTCTGCAGTGTGTTAACAATTTCGCAATGTGGAGAGCTCCTTCTTGCGGGAATCCCCAGCTTCATTATAGCATAAAAAATTCTTACATTAGGTGGGCATTAGGTGATGCCTTTTCTTGAGGAATATGAATAAGAATAAAATCTTTTGCAAAGCAGCTTTAGCACTAGGAGTTATTCTGAAAAGTTTTGCTAAACAATTGAGCTTTTTTCAAAAACTTTCGCATGGGTGATAATTTTTCCCTTGGCCCCTCTTCACTTTCCAACCTCTGTCGGAGCCTCTGATGCTAAGAATAGACACTTTGATTGATTAGAATTAGAGTACAAATGATTTGTTACTTTGAAAATCAAAATTTGCTATCACGATTATCATTAATTACCGCTTGTATTTTTTAGAAACTGAAATTACCATTACATTTATTCAACACAGCCGTATATTTTATGTTACCGCATGCCTAAGTTCTGCGCTCACGCTACGCCACTGATACTGAATAGGCTTAAATGATCTTTCAATCAGGAACTTGCCAATCAGTGTGTGTCCGATTTCATTCACACGCTAATTGATTGACCAATATTGGTGACAGATGGCTCAAGCTCTTATTGTATGCGTCTATTGCATTTGAAGTATCAAAGAAGAAATAAATTGATGACCTCAGCTTCTCCACAAATCTAGCGTCAACTATGCATTACGAATCCTAAAAACTGTTTTCAAAGAGAAATATTTGAAAAGAAAAAGGAAATTCCAGCCACCATATTCCTTACTTCAATGTATGTGAAGAGAAAGTGCCAAGAACAGCTCCAGCGTTGGTGCCATACAATCGTAAAACTCTACCAGGCCTGCCAACTGAAGATGTAATCATGGCTCCATTGAGCAAAGCAACAACTTTGTTTCCATCCATATCTTGTCCTCGGTCATAAGCCGACTTCTTTGAATCTCCAGCAACAGTTGTTTCAAAAGCAGTATAAATAGTAGGAAGGCGTGGAGATCCTAGAAGAAATTTGTAGCAGATTTAAGAAAGACGCCAAAGAATCAAAGCTAAATCTAGCTGGTTTGTATTGCAGAGAAAGCTTAGAAAGTTAATGATATTTGCACAGGCCACCATTGGCGGATCTACAGGGGGGGCCGGGGGGGCCATGGCCCCCCCCAAACGATTCGACAACGAGAAACTTTGAATGAAAAGACAGTAAATACATTAACTAAACATGTAAATTGATAAGGTAAAAGTTTTTGCATAACAAGAAACTAGTTGTTTATATAACTAACAAACCAAAATTACTTATTACATTACATGAGAACACTAACTGCGAGCATAGAAACATGAGAGCTTTGATTGAGTAATTTTGTGGAAATCAGTGATCCCAACTGATGTCAATATATTCAGAAAAGAATTTGAAAAGGAAGTAGCTATATCGTAGCAAAAACGTTATCGGAGATTTTGCCTTTGAAACGAAAAGCTACATGCGAGCTCATTTTGCGCGAGAAGTGGTGTGTTTCAATGTTGAGTATTGCGATATAATAGCAACGTCATTTTGTCCATCTTTTAACTACTTACAGCTTTAATGGGATTCGTCTTGATTTTAATGCTGCGAATGAGTCAATGAGTTTATCGCTCGTTGGTGTTCTGTCACGGTGAACTTGCAGAAGAAGTAGGGATTCTAATCTCTCCTCAGACATTGTTGACCGAATTGCTGTAAGGGTACTATTCAGTTTAGAAAATAGTCGTTCGGGTTCTGCTGTTGTCACCGGTAGCACAGTGAGAATGTTGAGTAATGTATGCAAATTAGGAAATACATCACCTTGGCAGTCGCCTAAAGCGCCGATAGCGGTATTTGCTACTGTACTTGTTCCACGTGACAGCCATTGCTGCTTCCAAATTTCATACTCTCCTTCAACAATGGACAAGGGGTCTAAAAAGACTCCGTATTTTAGTGCTGCAGGCAAAATATCTTGCCAAGTTGATTCTTTGACGAAACAAGGCAGAATTCTTGTAAGCGTCGCAATCTTCTGCTGATGGGGACCAAATCTTGCTTTCATATCTCCAGCCACTTCATCAAGAAGAGGTAAAAACACATTGATACGATAATAATCAATGGCTTTTTGATTGGCTTCACCTGCATTTGATCTGAACCTGGATTGACTGACTGCTCGAGGAATTGCGTCCATCTCTTCTCTGGTCACTCCAATATTTTCGCCAAGAAGCATTGCCTCTTCAAACATCGAAGCAAACTCATTTTCTTCACCTTTACGCCACGTGTAAAGCTTTGACTGTGTCGCAGAAATCGTCGACATTGCTTTCACAAGATCGCTACCAATTTGTTGCAAAGAACGGGACACTGGGCGAAGTACAGCAGACACTTTCTCGGCCAATACTAGCGCTACAAGGAACTGAGGGTCTTGCAAACTTTTTAACAATCTCCTGGCATCTTTTCTTGTATCTAATGAGTCCCAAGCGAGCATTTATTCCAAGCACACAACGATGTAAGGCAAAAGCTGTCGTGCAACCAAAACTGATTCATGTCTTTCGACAAATCTTGTTTCACAGAGGGTCACCAACTGCCGTCGCTGAAGCTCTTCAATTGATTCTCGTGCTATGACTGCTTGCAAATAGCTGTTTCTTTTCGCATGCTTGAAGAAATTGTTGATATCTTTGATGTCATCCATGCAATGTCTGATTGCTGGTATCTTTGCGGCTCGAGAACAACTTAGATTTAGCGCGTGCATGCAGCAGTGGAAGTAGTCAGCGAGTGGCGCAGCAGATTTGATAAAGGAGCAAACACCAACTCGCTCACTGGACATCGATGCAGCACCATCATATCCTTGACCAACGAGGTACTGCAAATCCAACCCAAGCTCACTTATATGGCGGAGTAGAGTCTCCCCTATTGCCTTGCCACATAGCTTAATTTCATTGTGCTCTGTTTCATCTGATTGGTCACTGCTTTTTATGTCTGCAATCAGGTCTAAAATTGCGACCGGTTCTTCTTTGATAATTTTTGGCACATTTTTTGTGTCAACGTAACGAATTGCAATGACCAACTGTTCTCGTTTCGCACAATCTTGGGTTTCGTCGGCCATTATTGTCCAGAATTTTGCAATTTTTACATCTCTTACTATGTCCTCTTTGACAATATTTCCTGCACAGGCAATTAGCTCGTTTTGTATCGTTTTGCTTACCAAAGAAGCATTGCGTTTGCAAGATTTCAAGTGATCTTTCAAGTTTGTATCTCCTCCCCGTACTCTCAATCGCAGCAATGCCCTGAAGTTTCCATCATTGTGCTTGGGTTCCATCCCAGTTGAATCTACTGGTCCATCATCACGATGGCCTCTAAGCGCAATATTTTGCCTGGCGCATGTTAGAAGGGTGTCGATGATGGGAACCAGCGCAGTCCTGTTCCTTTCAATCTCTTTCTGCCTTTCAATGTTCATTATTGATCGAACGTCCTTCTCACTCCCAGGTGTTGCACGGCTCAAGAACTCCGTGTACTTTATGGCACATGTCTTATGAAAAGATGTTTCTTGGTGACTTGTGAGGGCTCCATTTTTCCCTGTCAAGTCTGAAAAGTTTACAAGAGGCTTGTTAACAAGTTTGCCCATTGACTGGCCTGCTCCACCTCCGTATTGTGCACCTCTTCCACCTCCACTCTCGCACGTCTTGAATAAAACGCAATACACACACCAAGCACCGCAACATTTTGGCTCTCTGCTGACAGCTAGCCAGGGGAAGGTTTTCAAGTGATTTTCACCCAGAAAACGCTTCGTTGTCGAGGACATACCAACCATGAGCTGATTCTTTGGTTTTTTCTTTTCAGAAAATGGATATTCATCCCTTCTCTGCGGCACCCACCTCTTCGATAAATATGCTTCCCTTTCGTTATCTGTCAGCTGTTCTCCTCGTTTTGTTTTCATTATAGCTCTACCAATGTCATATCTATCAGATATTGCAACATTTACTTGTGTCGCCATACAACAGAGGTCTGGGTGTGTTTCCTCTTCAGGACAATCCTGGACTACCGCAACTTGGCTTTGTGTGTCGAATTCTTCACCAGTAGATTTTGATTCAAATTCTTGGCAAGTGGTAGTTTCACATGTTTTAGAGATTTCAGGGTTATCTCCAACTGAACTGGTGCGGCTACTTTTTGAGAAGAATGATTCAAGAGTTCTTGATTTCTTTGGCGGACCAGACATTTTAATCAAACCTCCAGTCGGCTTTATTCTCTCGCTTTCAGTGAGGCAATAAGTTGCAAGTGGATGTGTAACACAAGAATTATGATAAGCCTAAAACAATAGTTCAATGCAAAATTAGATGTGACCGGATCTCGCGGCTCATATGGACTATGGTTTAACACAAATCATGACTGCGATCATGAATGAATGACGTCTGCAAACGTTATGGTTGAGAAAGTTATGGCTAAAATGGGTTACAGTTCAAACATTGTTCATCGTGTTATTGCGATTGTGATACCCAAAAAGCGTCACTATTTCCAACAAAAGCAAAACAGTACCTATAACTACTCAGCTTTGCCTGTTATGCTGCGATGAATTTTTGGTGACTACCCATTTTGAAAATTTACCATTCAAATTATACGCACCAAATACGTGGGGACTTTTGCTCATTTTCTAAATCTTTTTTTCATCTTAAGGGTACGTGTCTTATGCCGGCTTCTTGAACACAGGAATTATAATGTCATTCACGAACTCTGATGCGTCATAGTTCCCCTCCCAAGTCAAGCGCGAAAGCTGCTGACCAAATATTCAATATGAATATTTGTAAAGGCTGAAATACACGATCAGTTTTTTATGTCAGTTTTCCCCAAAGTTATTTCTATATCCGTTTTTCATCAGTTTAACTAAAGAAGCGCGTGTTTACACGATTAGCCAAAGTTCATCAATTTTTCATCATGTATTTTAGCCTTTACTTCGCTTGGAAGTTTCTCGCAGCAATGAAGTTTCTTAATTTTCAGTGTTCTGAGAGTGTACCTTCTTATGAAATTTTTTGATAGAAAGGGGCGTTTCCCGCGTTCGGTGAGACTTTGAAGGGCGTGTCTGTGAAATTTTCGCAGGCCTCCTCTTCTTTCATAAATGGCCCTCCCCAAACGCAGACGCTGGATCCGCCCCTGCAGGCCACAACGTTCCAAACAATTTAGTGTCGTTACGTTACATAGAAAGCGAACCCTTACAGGGCCGCCGGACGGAGGACAGGGTTCGCCGGACAGGTTTGAACAGGGAGGGGGTGCAAAATGAATGAAAAGGGCACAAACATCCATTTTACCGTAACATTGGCTATTTCAAAAGATGATGCAGCTTTAATGGTAATTTACCAGGGTGGTTTCTATGTAAACCGAACTCCCAAGGTATACCAAGGAAAGGCCAATTGGACGCCCATGCTAATGTGGAATCATTACGCCGACCAACCCCAACCCCTCTATAATTCTGAAGCCGACATAGAGAGAGCTTTGTGCTGCATCACTACGCCAATTTACCAAAGTTAAAGTTCACACCATATCCCAATGGATGCTCATCTCACGCCAACGCCAAGCCAAAAAATTCATTTCATTTTAAGTTTTCATTTCATATTTCATTTCATTTTTATTCTTTAAACATGGTTGCCCCGTCATATAGAGTGGCTATCTTTCAGGGGACCGTGACAAAAATGAATTACAATAATACTTTATGAAAATAAAAAATAAAGAAGATCATTAACAATACTAGAATTAGCATAAAATATACAAAATTTAAAAGAAATGACAATGTTATTTTGTTGCTAAATCTACGTTTAAAAGTAGACAGAGCGGGGACTAGCTCAGGCTAGCGTGAGCCCCAGTTCTAGGTCATTCCAATCTTTTGATCAACGGAATGAAAATGCTTTTTGGCCAATGCTCGTTTTCATTCTTGGAAGAAGCAAATCAGTCTCATAATTTCTCAAACTTAAAATCCCTCTAGTTGTGTTTCTCGTAAACAAAGTAGAGAGATATGTTGGCGCATGACCATTTACTGATTTGAAAACAATAGTACCAGTCTCTTGTTTTATCATGTCCTGGACTGTTGGCCATTTAAGTTCCTTTTATCAAATTAACTGCTGGTGCGTCATAGCTACTGTTGGTAACCACGAGTAACCATTCTCGCAGCACGATTTTGAAACTTTTGTAGCATAAGCAGGCGAGTGTCCCCACAGTCACCCTTAGGGCTCCACAATACCTCTATAAAACTGATTGAGGGAATTTTTTGGAAGTAGTTTTTAGCATATTTTAGGGAACCTTCGAACGCAAAACCTTGATATGTTCATCCCATACAAGATTTTTATCAAGACTTTTACCAAATATTTAGCATAATCCACAAAGTCAATATGTGAGTTACCAATGACGAATGATGGCGTGGGTACTGATTTTTCTGATGTCTTTTTATATTTGGTCGAGGGCCATTAACCATTGCTTGTGTCTTAATAACATTCAGTGACAGTTTGTTACCTTCAAGTCACTGTTTCAGACAGTCTAAGTCACTGTCACCATCTTTCATTTTTGTGTCGTTTGAAAGTAAAGACAATAAGGACGAATGACAAAATGTTAAAAGTACATAATTATGTTTCAGTTTCAAAAAATAGAGTTAAACTATTGGAATTTATATTTTTCATTTGTAGCTTAAAACTTTAATTGAATTGATTAGTGTGTATTGTTCTGTTGTTTGAGAATTATTTTCTTGTTTTCATTGGTTCTAATTGCGATGACTTTCAGCTTTTAAAAATGTATAGTTGTATTACTTTCTCTCAAGTTATTGACTCTGGGAAATGCATTTTTGTCTTTGATGTGCTAAAACCTGCAAATTTTACGAAAAATAATAGGCTCCAAAGGGTTAAGCTCATCAATATCTTTAGAGGAATATGAAATACTGGTATCATCGGCGTACATTATGACTTCGCTATTTTTAAGAAAGTTTGGGGTAAAAATGAAACTCCAATCCAAAGATCTTCGAGATCTGCTATATGGAATGTAGCAAGATCTCCTTGTGTAATTTAAAAATTTAGGATTCGTTTTTTCTTTATAATATTTTGTATTTAGTTTTCTTTTTAATTTTTATTGTAAGTTAAGTGGCCCTTGTTAAATGGCAGGCACACATCCTTCCCCCATTCCAGTGACAGGTGCATTATATTCAACAAATATTCAGATTTCTTACAACAAACCAAAGAAAAAATAAATCCACATTGATGCAATTATACATACAAAAGTAAATAAAACCTAAAAGAAAAACCGAAATTATAATGAACAGAATTGAAAGGAATTATCGAATTTTTCAGGATTTGTCTATTTCAAAGCAAATTTTCAGTTGCGATCTCTTTCAAAGAGAATTTCCAGTCTCCATTTCCTTCAAAGCGAATTTCCAGTCTTTATCTACTTCCAAGCGATTTTTCAGGATTTCAGTCTCTGTCTATTTCGAAGCAAATTTTCAGTCATATTTACTTTAAAGGAAATTTCAAGTATTCGAAGCAAATTCATTTCTTCGAAGCAAATTCACACGTCCTGTCACAAGAATTTGCGCTTTATCAAGATACGCCTAAATTTTTTTTGTTTTACTTGGCGTCTAAAGGCAAAATATCTCGCTGGGATAATATTGCACGCAATCAGTGGCAGTTTTAAGGGGGTCTAGGGGGCTACGGCCCCAGGCCCCGCGCTTGTGGTAGCCAAAAGGGGCCCCACACCTAAGAAAAAAGATATAAATTGTAAAGAACAAAAACCCGGCAAATGTTTTTGGTCCCGGGCCCCGCAGATGTTTTTGGCCCCGTGCCCCGCAGTCCCTAAAACCGCTTCTGCACGCAATATATTTTTCAAAAAGGGCATATTTATACCTTTTCTAATCAGAGGGGGGTGTGCCCCCACCCCCCAGATCCAGTGGTCCTAACTTTTACCCATCTTATATTATATAGAAATAAGACGCTCTAAACTAAAACAGAATCAATAATCTTTACAATATCGGAGAGGACTTGTCTCAACCTGTAGATAAACCTACAGTAAATGTAGGTGGATGACTAAAACTTGACATTTGGTTCCAAATATTAACAAAATTATCTAAATAAGCAAACAAATCACTAGTTCAAGTGAAGACTGTACGCTCCTTGACGCATGTAATCGCTATAGGTAACGCCAGAGTCATGAATACCAGGGATACGGGGGGAGGGGGCGGGGGGACTGGACCCCCAGAAAATCTGAAGCAAGACAAAATATTTGAGATATTATTGTCATTCCCTTTTAAAGAAATGGAAACCATGGCAGCTTGTTCAGAACTAAACTAAGTTTGTGCGTGTTATTACAATGAACAGAGGACTATGTCATGGTGTCAAGCGCAAGTTGCCTATTGTTGATGGTCGTAACTTATGAATAAAGAGTGGTCTCGGGTCGATGACTGTGTCCAAGGCGCAAATTGCCTCAAATATCCTATCCTTCCCTTGAATATATCTCAACAAATATATAAAATAATAATCGTATAAGTTGTCATAAATATCGACAACTCTGCATTAAAGGAATATTTCTAGACCATTATATTAATCCTAATTTCTAGACCATTATATTAATCAAAATGCAGTACCAAAACTTCCATAATTTTCTTGCAATTCTTTCATGCGTATTTCTTCCAATTCGTTTGTGATCTCTTTTTTCAAGCATATTTAAATTTGATTTTATCTATTTTACAAACATTCTTTGTAATACTGTATATTATATTACTCTAATAGTTTTATGAACATTATGTAATGCACCTTTGAGCCGCGTGGATAAATGGCAGAATGTAAATGCCTTTATCATTATATTATTGTCATAATAGCTCCTTAATTTTAAATGCATATTTAGTGCCATGAAGTGCCATGAATAATAATGTTAAGTATTGAATATTAAGGTTTTATCTGCAGAGGATGGAAATGTTTCTCTAAGTCTTAGCATCTTGCTAAAGGCGTTTCAAGTTGTGCTGGACAAAGATTGCATTCAATATTTCAAGATAGCACTGAAAAGCGGAAACCAGGCATATTTCAAGCTTTTTTGTCCGACACTCCTATGTTGTCGACTCATTGGAATATGTAGTTTGTTATGAAGGCTCGTATTCTTAAGCAAAAGAAATGTGGCAGGAAAAACTTGACCTATAGAGGTCTGTCGATCTGCATGAAAATTATTCTAAAACCAATTGAACTACGTACCATTTGTGCAGTTGCAGCTGTATCCAGGACTAGAATAGCATGAATCAATACACAAGCAAGGGTAGCAGGGGTTGTACGATAAGCTCCGGCAATGTTGACCAATCTGCGTAGATAAATGAAAATGTATGATTCTGAAATCACGCATCTTAAGTTTAAAGTACAACTTAGAGTGATTTAAAAGGAATAATCTTTAATTTACAACATTTCATGGCGTTTTAAAGTTATTCAGAATACTTGGGTTCTTATCTTTTGAGAAGAATTTGCCATCCTCCAAAATCTCGAATTAGTTACTGTCTCGAGAACGTTTTTAGCCAAACTCTTACACAAAAAGATGTAGGGAAACGAACAGAATTTCCTAATTCTTAAACAGTACATTGTTCCGAACATGAAGAAAGGACCCGTAGCTATGACGTCAGACAGAAAATCGATCTATCTATCACTCAACCTGCGATGAATATAATCCTGTGTCGTAATAACTCCAACCATCCCTCGGGGCCACATCTGTTTCTTTCGTGTTTCTATCATTCTGCAGAAGTTCACATAACGATTCAACTGGCGAAACTTTTTTGTAATTGAATGCCTTGCAGCTTTCGTTCTTCAAGCAAAACTCGGTGCATCCAAGAACTCCTTGTGACGTCGTTTTTATTGCTGCATTCGCCTCGTTCAGTGCATAATTTGATGCGATTTTGTAAAACGTCCCTTCTGTTCCACAACTGTGTCTTACAATATTTTCTGCTTTCACGTTAAGTGACAAAATGCAACCAAAATAAAACAGCAATGTCAGGACCATATTTTCAGAAACTAGAAAACCGAACTTGTTCTGTGCTTCTGACACAAACAGTTGCCACCAAAAATGGTCAAACTCTGCTGATTTTAATATTTAATCACATTTTCCCATGAACATGCGCTACGAAAAAGTAAACCAGAGGCACTTTCTTTATTAATCATGAAGTTAGGGATGAATGAAAGTGATGTTCTCGGGGAGGAAGGAGAGGGGGCCTCAATCCAATCGAATTGATTCGAGATTGAGATCATATCTAAACCAACGTATAGCTCTTCCGATTGTAGTGCTTTTCTCAATTAATAAACTACTTGTTTTTTTTCTGAAGACTCTGCTGAAAAAAGTGCTTCATGTGCCGGAAATATACCTCTTTTTGTAACATATTGAAAAGAAGACATCAGTTGAGAAGACATTAAAAATTCGCTTTCGTCAAGCCTGCCATTTCCCATGGTTCTTGAGCTGTTCTGGTGTCCCTGTTTTAAGTTTTTCGAATTCATTTGTTTTCACTAACGTAAAGACTAGCTCTTTAACGAAATTTTAATTCTTTAATGACGAATCGAAGAAATTTTTCTAGTAGAAACAAAAAACACAATTAAATACTAAGAGAATCAATCACGCTAAATCAAGGGAGCTAGGGCTCAGGGCCCCCCACAAATTTTTGTTAAAGCTTTTATCAAGGTTGTGCCATCAAAGGTAACGGTGGCATACCATAGTAGTTTTCCAACCCATCTAGAGCCCCCTGCTCTAAATGTCCTCCAGTGTCCCTAGAAAGAACAATTGTTTGTTTTCCTTTTCATTTCTTTGAAAGTTTATCATTTCTTTGAAAGTTTATCATTTCTTTGAAAGTTTATCATCTCTTTCAATGTTTTAATGGAGATTTCATGTTGGTTTCTTTGAAAGTTTCTCCAACAAGGCAATAATGATGAGATGACGTCATTATCCAAAACAGCAATTTCGTTTTTAATTGCTTAAAGAGAGTTTAGGTAGCCATCAGACATTTTTTATATGATAAACTGTTCTAAGTGGTAGATCATATTATTATTGAATGAACCTTTGAATCGAAAACGGGTTGTGTTGCTATCGCGGCTATAACTGATATCAAATTTTGGTAAAACGATTTACAAAATTATCAGTTGCATATAAAAAAGGTCGTTAGATTTTTCAAATAGGTTCAAAGCAACCTGTGACTGACTGTTTCAATATTAATGCAAATATTCTCTGCTTGTCTTTTCTAATTATGGCAATTCTTAATTCAAAAGTTATTGCATTAAAACAATAAGCATTAACTAGATGAATGAATTTTTTAACTGGTAATGACAATATTATTTTGAATTGATTAGTGAGTTTAATTGTAAATAGGTGGTAAAACTTAAAATAACAAATTAATGACAAAAACCTGCATGCAAATTAGCAGAAAGTTTTTGCAAAACATTCTTTGAATTTGATTCCTTTTCGTCTCCAGTTGGCTGATAACATGGTAAATTAAAAAAGGAATGTCAACCTTTGCCTGAATAATTCAGATAAGCAGACAACCTGTTTAAAAAACGGACAAATATAACATAGCAATTGGATTAAGCATTTTTTTAACCATCAGACTTCACTTATAAGGAAAAGTCTCGTTTAAAACAATTTACAAGCTTGCACCATTTCTAGGTATAGAAATCGTTATATTTCTACTACAGTCCAGATTCCTTGCTATAAAGGTTTAGCAGAGAGAAATGTTAAGAAAATGTTTTCATGATGAATGATGATGATAATGATCGCATTAGCATGGAGTGAAGATTGGAGTAGCAATTTAGAACTGTCCAGTTCTATGCACCAAAGGGGATTCTTTTCCAGGCGGAAATAAGGTAAAAGGGTAGAATGCAGCTTTAAACTTTGTGATACTAGCTTCCCACAGTTTTCCATTACATTTTTGCAGTTGGTTTAAGTTACCTATGACAGCTGATTTTAGAAGATAGAGCGACGTTTCGAAAACACCTTTTTTCCTCGTACAATTTCAAGCTCACAAAATATTGTACGACAAGTAAGCTAGTATATTTATGGATTTTTGAATATGTTTTAGTATCATGCAAAAAGTGTTTATCCCAAACTTTTTCGTCCGAAGGTTTTAGATTTTCTTATATTAGGTTTTAAATATCATGCATTGTCATAGTGAGTACAAACTTGTCAACGTACACCCGAAAGTCACCTGACGTCACATGATGAAAAATGGAATCGAGATATCACCTTGAGACAGGTGATGATGCATTTTGGTTCAAACGCTACTGATCAAATGTACTTTTAATGGTTTAGAACCATTGTGGTGGCGATTTTTTCACAATAAGATGGGTAAAAAGCTAGGCTATGCCATTTAAACATTCAAATTGTTCTTCCTTATAAAATTCTGTCCTACGGTAACAGAGCTTCTTTGCTTTTTAACAAAGGTTATCTATTATATTGTATGGTCAAAGAACGACTTGTTAACAATCCATCAGATGTTCATAGGGGAGGGGGGGGGTTCTAAAATGAAGTAATTTTACCGAGAAAGAAGACTCTCAAAGTGTCTTATTTTTCGAACTAGCTAATTTTTTTGCTATGTTATATTTGTCCGTTTTTTAAACAGGTTGTCTACTTATCTGAATTATTCAGGCAAAGGTTGACATTTCTTTTTTAATTTACCATGTTATCAGCCAACTGGAGACGAAAAGGAATTAAATTCAAAGAATGTTTTGCAAAAACTTTCTGCTAATTTGCATGCAGGTTTTTGTCATTAATTTGTTATTTTAAATTTTACCAGCTATTTACAATTGAACTCACTAATCAATTCAAAATAATATTGTCATTACCAGTTTAAAAATTCATTCATATAGTTAATGCTTATTGTTTTAATGCAATAACTTTTGAATTAAGAATTGCCATAACGAGAAAAGACAAGCAGAGAATATTTGCATTAATATTAAAACAGTCAGTCACAGGTTGCTTTGAACTTTTTTCGTAAATCTAGCAACCTTTTTAATATGCAACTGATAATTTGTAAATCGTTTTACCAAAATTTGATATCAGTTATAGCCGCGATAGCAACACAACCCGTTTTCGATTGAAAGGTTCATTCAATAATAATGTGACCTGCCACTTAGAACAGTTTATCATACACATTTTATTCAGGGATGCCGTCCTAAAAAGTCAGAAAGGAGGGCTGTGCTTTAGGCATATTCAAAAGGGCACATCCATGGCTAAACCCTACCACACCCAATATACTTGTATTTGTGATTCAAACTATTTAATGACACAAACAGACTGATAAGAAATTGTTCATTCATGAGAAGTCTATAGTATAAAAAGTGTTGCCAACGCAGAATTCGTCTAACCAAATATGACCTCACTTGTCTAGGTGGGGGGGGGGGGGGCTGCTCTTCCCCTAAATCTTTCTGAATTTTAACATGGGAAGTTTAGTAAATCTATCCTGCTAGCTTGAGACCGAAATGAGGTATCATCGAGACAAATATGATACTTAGAGAGAATGTATGCAGCAATTCTATGATTTAAGACATGTATTTAAAAAATCTGTCCGCTCTTTATTGTGTCTAGTGCATATTAGAATGTGAACTGCCATGCTTCACTTAGTCACTTATGCTATATCTTCTTGAGAACATTCGAACAGTTAAGACTTGTCAATGCTTAAGTATTGAAATCAGGCAGTTTTTTGGAATAACTCTACAAAGCTAGCCAAGAGTGTATGTTGAAAGACTAAGGGAAGAATAAAGACTGCATACAAATTGCGCACTGCCTAACAGAAAGCCATACTACATACCATCTATACTTTGATTAAATCCATACTACATTGATTATCTACATACAATCTAAGGGGTTTTGTTCACTTGTTCAAGAATTGATAGTATAAGCAAGGATTTGCATTTGGTTTTTGAAATGTCATATGTAAATACATACAGCATAGCATCGGAAGCTGATATTTTTATGCAAAACTTTTTTTGACTTACCGTAAATCCTCGAATTGCCCCCCCCTCAAAAAAGCCCCCCTCGAAAAAGCCCCCACCCTAGAACTGCAAATTGTCAATAAGCCCCCCCCCCCTCGAATAAGCCCCCACTGCTATTCGATGATTTTTGCTATATGAGGTTGCCTATAGCGTTTTATTGAATTTCCACAACAAATTCATACTTTTGGTAGTAATTAATTAAACGCTCATAAATAAATTCCTACTAAAATAAACGAGGTCTTTTAATAATGTCTTCTCAATGTCTACAATACTTTTATAAGCCCCCTCGTATAAGCCCCCGTCGTATAAGCCCCCCCCTCGAATAAGCCCTCATCCAAAAGTATCAAAAATAAATAAGCCCCATGGGGCTAATTCGAGGATCTACAGTATCTAAGTACATATCTAATAGATGTGCACAAAGAAAATTCTAACTATGAACATTTGTGATGAAATATAACATCTGTCATTAACTGACATTCGTCAAATAATTTAAAATAAAGTGCAAGTCCCTACACAAAACATGGTAAAATTTTAGCTAAGGCGTAGAGAGTCTATCATTCCATATTGTTTATCATTCTCCTGTCCTGTTAGTTATTGGAACTGAAGCTAGAAATAAAACTTACATGAGGGGCTATTATTATGCCATTGACGGGCTTTGGGAAAGGTTTTTATAACTTTCTTCTATAATGCGATAATCTCCTAGAAAAGGTGGCTTCTGATTTGCAAAACTCCTGATGAGTATTTATTGCAACCCTGATAAACAAAGCAACTAAAGCTATTTTTGACATAAGAAGGGGCTAATTTGCATCGTGTTTCTAGGAGACCGCTATCTCAAAGTTCACTTTTTATATCACAACGTCATATATTCAAAAAAAGATGTTTACAGGAGGTTTAAGCATCAACAAATAAATGGCATCTTAATAATGTACTGCTACTCAGAATTACTTTAACAGATGTTTCGAGTTTTTGTTGCTTGATCAAACCTGTTCTAAATTCCAATCTTACTACGGTGATCCATAGCAATGAGACTGGCTAATCAATATACTTCAGCGTTTGTACGTCGAGTGAGTGATAAATACGAAAAATATATTTAAATATGACTATGTACATAGAAGTTGAATATTCTTCTGACGTTTCGAGCTTAAATCTTCATCAGTTGAAGAAAATAGGAAGAGCAAAGGGTAAAAAGAAACTATAAGAACAGAATCGTAAGATTAGTTTCATAAATATAGAACGTTGAAGGACAGTTGCCCGATGATCGGCGAAGCAACTTAGAAGTGTCTTGTTTTATGCACCAAAAGCGTGTACAGCTCTGCCTATACGGCATCAAGCACTTTACGACAGATCGATAATTTCCATTGAAACGTAAAAGATCCGTTTAATTTAATTTTGTCATGCATAGGACGCAAAACGAAGTAGGAAGATGTGCTATGTGTTGGAATTGGATTTATGTTATGATAAAATTTTTTAGTGACACTATGAAAGATAGGAATTTTTTGGCATGTTCATTAGAAACGAGAGTACCAAGATTAAGGATGATGCGTTTTTGAGAGGTTCTCGTTGAATTTTGTCCATTGGAAACCATATATGTTCTGTTTGAAAGCAATATATTTTCTTTTTCTTTTGATCAAACCCAAAGTGAAAACGAAAAGTTGCTACTTATATTGAGAACGTGGTAAAAGTCTGGATACAACATCCCATTCAAATCAAAGTTGAAGCTCATAGTAGCTCATAGTAGCAAATAGACACCGAAAGCGTGATTAAAAATGCTGAAATAACCAACTTCATTAAAGATCTTCATGATCAGAATAAAAATAGTCTTATTCTGTTCAAGACTGAGCAGAAACACTTTGTTTAGAAATAAACAGCCTGATCTTTATTCCAATCAATGCCATACTTTTATGAATAAGATTTGCTCCTCTTTTCCGAGCCATAATGATTTTCATAATGATTTTCATACTTGGCTTCTTGCTAGACAAAGCCTAAAAAGTAAATTGACAGTTGAAAAACAAACAGCATATCCCTTTTTGAACAAGTAAACTACTTTTTTTAACTTTTCTACTCTTAACTTCAAGTTACTAACTTCATTCAGTTGAAATAGTTCTTTTTTAATGATGTTCCACACAATAGTTTATAATGACACACCATAAAAAAGACTGGCTATGTAATTTTTTTGCAGGCTTTTACACCGCAAAAACGATACGAAGCGAATCGGATTCAAGCGTCATCGTGTAAACAGAAGGCCAATCCAATATGAAAAGTTATCTGAATCCGGTATCATTTGAACAAGGTATGTATCAAATCAACAGGGTGATAAGGCATTGCAGCGAAAATATGATGAAGCCTTTTGCCAAGGGCTGGATTCATACTTTCCTTTAAAAGGGCATGTTTAAGTTTCATTTACAAATGCTTAAGCCTGGTTCCCACTTGGTCGTTTGGGTCGTTTGGGTCGTTGGAAAATACCCAAACGACTGAAAAGACACAGTGGAAACGTACCTGCAAACTACCCAAAATACCCGAACGACCCAAAGTACCCACGCATGAATGATTTTTGCAAGTGGAAACCGACAAACGACTCAAACGACTCAAACGACCCATGCTTTAATAACTTTTTCTTCAAGAATAGGAGATTTTCTTGTAACCGCGTGTTTGACTAGAACAAGAACAAGATAGCTTAATATTTCACAGCAAGCTTTATGGAAGAAGTTCAAAAATACGAGTGCCATTATAACAATTACTGGAAAGAGTTTAAAAATAAATACAAAAATATCAAATCATGGCAAGCTATTGCACTGAAATTTAGTGATCTACTATCGTCGTTTATACAAAGTCACCAGAGGTAGAAATAGTTGACTTGGCAACATCAGTTGTTGTTTATCAAATGCTACCATCGTTCCTTCCACGCATGCCGCCAAAATTGAATGAGCGATGCATGGTGCAAGCAATGAACAACATCAACAACAAACGATTTGAAAGACTCAAACGACTAAGTGGAAACCAATGTGCTCTTTGGGTCGTTCGTGTCTTTCAGGAACGACTCTGACGACTCAAACGACCCAAACGACCAAGTGGGAACCAGGCTTTATGAGAGTCATTGTAATGATATCAATTCAAATAGGATATCCACACTTTTTACTCACGATTCAAGCATAAAATGTAAATTTTGAATCATGGAAGGCGACTTTTTCCCCGTTCGATACTTGCTTTAGCTGCCCGTTTGCTGGGCCAGCTAGATCCGGCAAGGGTATAAAAAAATAAAGAGAAATCCTTTATTTCAATGCATAGGTTAATACTCTTTAAATATACGGTAATTCATGTTAAAATGAGCACTCAGTTTTACATTTTCTAAACAATGATTTTCTCCACAGCACACATTATTTAGAAAATTCAAGATTTTCATCATTAAGTGGATAAACAAAGGCTTTGATTTTACCTTTATTCATAACGTAGGCAACTTCTTCTGGAGTTAGAATATAGTTATCCCAAAAAGCAAAGTCGTCAATATGCATATCCCAATGATCGTTGATCAAAGAAAACAATGACCCAGCTCCAAAAATGAAGTTAGGATGCTTTGTGGTTGATATAGAATAGGAACTAGCTGTTGTTTGCTGTGCGACATTGAGGCCGTTTAGATAGATGACAATCTTTGGTGCTACAAAAAACAGGAAAAGCAGTAAACTATAAATATGTGAGAAACTGATTCCAACTGTAAATTATTAGTATGCTCTAGAAAAGTTTATGGCAAAATCTCGAATGAACTGGACAAAGTTGTCATTTACAAATGTTTGGTTAATATTTTCAGTGTCACGTAAATAGAAGGGCAGCCCGAAATAATGACGGCTTGGTAAGGCGTGAGCCAGAATTTCCAAGGATGTAACACAAGAAATACTACAGTGGCCTTGTGGCAGCATCAAGCGTGAATGTGGCTGTTTTTTCTGACCAAAATTGGTTTATAATGAATTAATGATATTATGTATTTTTTAAGTTTGAAAAAGTATCGACAGTATTTTAAGGCTGACATGCTCTTTCTAAAACTTTTGGGTTTGGCTATAACTACTTTGGCACATTTGCAACAATATTCATATTCTAGGTGCCCTGTTGAATATATATAACTTCCCTTAAAGAAGGAAGGATTTTCTTTTTGAAATGGAAAGAAATTATTTAGCAAGTGTTTTATCGAATGGCTTTGAATCAATATGTAGCAAGTGATATTATAGTCTACCAGTCTGCAAATTATTTAGATAATATGTTTGCTGCAAGGCTCACATTAAATCGTAAAATATTTCTTTCAACTGATTGTTAGAATACTTTCATTATGAAAAACTCCCAACTTTGGGGGATTTTTACCAGTTTACGAAACCAAAAATCAAATCCTTTTATAATAGGACCAAAACATACGGATTATTTAATCCCTGGTCTGTTTACCATATGTACTGAATTTACTTAAACATAATTCATGATTTTATGACAGCAAAGTAAAATCTGAGCAATAAAACATAAAGAATGTATATTTTGGGCAATTCTGACCATGAATACTACAAAATATGAATAAATGATAATATTAAGATAATGCATTAGATTTCAACAAGGTATATAACATATGATTATTCACTTACATATCCAGTTGGAAGTCAACGCTACATGGGTCCAGGATTGCAATGTATCTGAGATCTGTACCTCAGGCGTTGTAAGATGCTTTGAACTGAGAAGAGAACGGGCATATATCGCTTTTGCTGATGAGGTGACTCGCAAAAGCACTCCTGAATCAGAGGCATATCTTCCTGCTCCAAAAATGGTTTGAACTCCAGACTGCGGAGATGCAATTCGAAGCCACAAGGAAATGCTAATTTTCGAATCAGCTGGATTGCTGAAAAAAAATTATTCGTCTCATAACATCATAGTATCATAATGTAAAGGAACGATGCATAATATCATGCGCAAGAATCATTCGCCGTGGGTAGGACTGATTCAATGTTTTGCGAGAAAAAATTGAGCCTTAATACAATGCATCATGAGGGGCAAAGCCTCGTAAAGTAATGAATTCCATTTTAAAAATTGAGTTAAGCAAACATAACAAAAGTATGGCACACTTTTAGACGATTAGGAACTATTCCTATTAACACATTTTAGACGATTACAAGAAAATGAATGCAAAATGTATTTTAAGCTAATCTTAAGGGCGTGTTGGCAAGGATTTTCTGCTCGCTCCGCTCGCAAGGGTCTTCTGTTGCCCCAGGGCCTTTGAAAACTCTCGGTGGCCCTGCTTGTAATACAGATACTTGATTTGATCAGCTTCTTAACCGGTTCAGGAGAATTACCTTAACAGCAGAAATATTTAATAATGAATTCTGTTGTTAAAGGATTCCTTTTTCGACTAAAGACAGTGTAATTGCCAATGAAACATTCGATCACAAGCACATTTTCTTGCGTTGCAATTTTTTGTCACTAAAAGCTTGCAATATTCTCAAAAAATGCATGATTCTGCGCCTGACTTTTCTTACAAACAATATTCTTATAAGGAAAGAGTGTAGGCTATATTGGGAGATTAAGTTTCATACAAAGGGAAAACTGCCAAAAAAGGCTCTAATTTCTATGCAGGGCACATCGCCTTAACGCATGCTATCTCATTTTTATTTTTCTGTCGGCAGTTTGATACATTCTTCGTCGGCAGTTTCGATGCCATAAACGTCGGCACCTTGAAGGTTTGTCTCTAGGGCCACCCCTGTCTTCCTTATGTTGTATAGGTTATACAAAACATTTTCCAACATTCCAGCATTTCCATTTTCTAGAATCCCTCGTTCTGTGTTTTAAAGATATCCTATCAAGGTGAAAGTGCGATATGAGCAGACGCATCAAAATTGTAAAGAAATTGCAAATTTTGGCCCTGTTCACAAAATATCGGAATGAGATCGTATCTGATTCACTCGTGCTCAATCACACAGCACGCTACATTCGAACACTGCTCCGACAATTCTTTTGTATTTAATTCTTTTGTATTTCATAAACAGTTTAAACAATTTAATTTTCTTTTGCATCAAACATTGCAAGGACCATGTTTATTATTTTATTGGGATCCACTACCGTTTCGTGTCGTGAGAAGTGCGCCAAGCTATTTCGAAACGAAAGCTGCCTTTTCAAAACAGAGATTCCGGAGCGAAACCGTATCGGATTCATGCGTTCTCACAAGCCCCTAAAGGGATCACAGCGGAATGGTTTTACACCGCAAAAACGATACGGAGCGTAACGGATACAAGCGTCATCGTGTGAACAGAAGGCCTATCCGATATGAAAAGGGATCCGATGATCCGGTATCATGTGAACAGGGCCTTTATTGTTAACTCCAAAAAGCTAACTGTATTATAATCTCCAAAACAAGCATCACTTTTCATGAACAAAAGTGCCAAAAATAAACAATCAACAGTGAAGAAATGTAACACGAATTAATTGAAATTGCAGCAAATTTTTATCGAACTTTAATTCAGAAAATGGCGTTTTAAGACTTTTCATAGGATAGAACAAACGTTGAAACTTTGGCAAAATATACAAAATGTCAACCTTACAGTTACCCTTACTTCAAGCTGTGCGAATAAAAGTTGCCAAGAACAGCTCCAGCATTGGTGCCATACAACCTTAAAACTCTACCAGGCCTGCCAACTGAAGATGAAATCATGGCTCCATTGAGCAAAGTAACAAGTTTGTTTCCATTCATATCTTGTCCTCGGTCATAAGCCGACTTCTTTGAATCTCCAGCAACAGTTGTTTCGAAAGCAGTATATATGTCAGGAAGCGAAGGCAATCCTAAAAAAGCATGTAAATTTTATTGAAAAATGAAACACCAGACATTTTGTTTCAAAATTCACGAAACTGTCATACAATTATAAATAAAACAGAAATGCGTAATCATGTCTTCTGCAAAGAAAAGCTATTTCACTACCTAATCTAGCTATGGTACCGTCACGGGAATCAATTTTTCAAAATATTCCAACCATTTTCTTCTTATTTACATAAGGAAGAACTTTCGTCAATCCTCAATATTTGTATCACAATTTGCTATGTCATGATCAATCATTGCTTATAACCCCCGAAATAAATTTTAAATCCTTAGGTCCTGAAATCTCTCCTGAGCTTCAGCAAAGGAGATACGGACTTAGACCGGATCTCGGTTTTTGCAATTTGAATAACCGTATTTTAAGATTTGAAAGAAGTATGCGTTGGATAGCTTCCCACATTTTTTGCCCAAACTTCGGCGAAGTGATAATCTTTTGTACGTTTGAGTACAGCAATATTAAAAGATTCACTCTCGCAGAGATTTTATATTTCGAGAGTCACGGATAATTTTGGAAAAATAGGTTTTTTCTTGATTTTTGCAGATTTTTGCTATCAAATGTCTAACTCGCTATTATCACTTTTTTGTATGATTTTCACAGGCATATTAGCCAAGGCCACTTAGAGATTCGTAGCACTCCGATATAGTGAATAAATGTGAAATTAGATCTTGCTAGAGATAGGTGTTGGTAGATGACTCATCAACAAATAAAAGTGCTACACATTTATGCCATAAAGAATAACAGAAACTTAATTTAGCAGGATAATACCTTTAAGATTAGACTTCAGCAGAGAAATTGCATAGAATTAATCAAAACTCATCTTATCAATCTTATTCCAAATGGTAGTTGTTCCTGATAAGCAAAATCTTTTGCGAAGAGTTTCTTTTGCACCTTCATCCTTTACAAATGGTACTCTATAAACTATATAATAAATGGTACAAACTTTATAAATAATACATCTCAAAAAATTGTTTTCAAATTCATTGTTTTGCGCATGTTCAAAATTTGGGGTTAACCTTGCATGTTTGCATTCGTGCTTCGACCGGCTTGTATTTTTGCTTCATTTTCAAATGTATCATTCTAAATGTAAATGCATGGCCATCTTGACCAATGTTTCAACATGACCACAACCGACGTTTATCAATATTGAGTATGACTGAATATTAACTATTGTCATTTATGTCTGAAAATTGGTTAGCTTCCACCGATTTCTAATAATCTGATACAGTCAAAGATTTTTAAGAGTTTCGGTAGTGTTTTTCATGACAGCGTTTTGTGATTGTAAATAATTGCATGTTTAACATAAATTTTTAGCTTGAATCTTATTAAACTACTTTTTAAAAAGACTAACCTCTTGATAAGTACTAATTGGCATAAAATAGAACACTGTATCGGTCTCAAGATGTGCTTTCTTTTATTGCCTTTTTAATTAATCAGAAATATGTGCCTCATCTTCAAAAAGAATATCTGCCATCCTTATTCCAAGCAGTTTGTTAATTTTTTTATTTCGTTTGAATAGATGTCTTTTTTTAAAAAAAATAATAACGAACATCCCTTCTTAACACTAAGAAGTACTGATTTGGTTTCAAATATGCGAAATTAGAAGAAAAACTAAAATTATTGCCTATTTCAGTCCTTTAACAGAGCAATTATTTTGTAAAAGAAGACAGAAAATGTTGCTGAAATTGACGTGCCTGCCATCAAAGCTCCTCTCTTGGTCTCTTGGTCCATTAGTGCAGAGTGCAGAAAAGGACTACCTAATTAACAGCATTTTTGCAGATGGTCTCGAGGTCATTGCATATAGCGATGACACCAGTTGCCAAAGATGGAGGGCACGTGAGATTCTGGGAAAGGTTTGGGTTCATGTAACCTTCCTTTTGCGCCTACTTTGCCCCAAAAAGCTCCCCTTTATATACTGCTTAGTAACAACTCGATTAAAGATTTATGATGAGTCTTCTTGCTCTTATCTTTGTAGTACTATATCTTTAGACTTAAGGCATGAATATTGTATTAAACAACTTTTCAAGGCTGTTCATTCTAAAATTCTACAAAGATCGTTGGTGAAGCACTAAATGGTTTATTCTATAGTAAAAAACTTGCATTAAAAAACAATTAAAATAAAACTTGAAAAATTGGCTTCTGAAACACAGGTGATATTCAATTCAAGAGGTGTTTTTTAAATTCGCGGAGAAGTTTCTGGGGTTATAACACACGGTATCTTAAATAAGCGCACAAGGGATAGTTTGAGCTTACAACCTATCGTACATGCCTACAAACGAAATCTGGAAGGCATAATTTATGTATATACGAAAGCTAAATACGTACAATAAAAATTGAGTTCGACAGGGGTGCATTTACTTCTAAAGGGCAACTTGAAAGATTTTTCTCTATTTAATGATCAAGAGAAGAGGGCCTTTTTGAGAGCATAAATACATTTCAAAAATGAAAATACTTTTACGAAATTAAATTTCGATTCGTCAAAAGTGAAGTAAAACCAACCATGAATCTAGTCAATTTTACAGGAAAACCAAAAGCTCCTTCAACAAATAACAGACCGCTTCAATTTACTCACAATAGTACCAGTTGTCAATAAATAATTCAAGTCCTAAGAGCTTCACAACCAAATTTGGGCAATAGTGACCCACAAGCACACAGTATGTAGCCATTTTATAATGCATTTCCATACAAACCGTGTGTGCAGTTGCAGCTGTATCCAAGACCAGAATAGCATGAATCAATACACAAGCAAGGATAGCAGGGATTGTACGACAAGTTTCGGCAGCGTTGACCAATCTGCATGGGCAAATTAGAGTATACAGAAATTAAGATTATACGCATATTTAGGTCAAAATAAATATTTTAAAGCTGCGGATGGGAAAAATGCTTAGTTCTGGAAAGCATGGATCTGCATAAGATTTCATTTTTAAACTTTAGGAACAATCTTTTGGTGGCACAAAAATGAAAAATGGCTTTGGAAAAAGCAAATTTTTTGAAATGCGCTTAAGTGTTTCGTCTGACACTCTTCAGAGCATTTATCACCAGAACACAAATCGAATACTTTTCGACAGAAAATATTATACCCGATTCAGAGTTTCAAACGCAAAAACATAAACCGAAAACTCTACGCTAGGATCAACAACGCTAGAATCTACGCTAGGATTTTGTATAATATGATGTTAATTAGCTTAGCTTTTTAAACAGGGCACATTGTAAATCAGTTGTTATCTTTTCATTACTGAATGTATTACCCTGTATAAATAACCAAAAATCAGAATCAATAAAATCAATAGGCGTTTCGAAAACTAAACACATGCGATTCCGCTATCGGACAGCATTTACTGGAAAACCCAGATTGTGCTAAAAACTATATTGGCTACATGTTTCGGATTATTGGTAGGCCCTGGTCGTCGTTCCAACTAGCAGTTTTTGAATCAATCTACAGAAACACGAATAACCCGCTTCGGTCTGATCAGAAGGGGTAAGTTTTTACCTTGGGACTCCGGTGGTGGTCTTTTCAACAAGCAACTAGCACTGATTGGGTACCCTCAACAGTCATGTGCTTGTGTTTCTGACTGGCCTATTACGATCCACAAACGGGTATATTTATTTCCTAGCGTAGAGTTTTCGATCTATGTTCTGACGTTTTATACTCTGAAGAGTGCCCGACGAAAACTTTAGTTTGTTCCAAAGTGTTTCCTGCAAAGTAATTTTTAAAACTTTTTGTTGATTAAGCAAAGAACGTTACAATTTCAGAACCATTCATTCAGCAAAATTCCAAAATAACTTTAAGCTAAAATACTTATATATAAGACACTATAAGCTAAAAAGACAATTATTCATTCACGATTTCCAGTTTTTCTGCATTTGCAAATACACTTGCTATCATGCTGAAACTCTAAGTAGAATGCCAGAAAAAGACCTTCTGTCTAGCTATTGCTATGAAAATTTTGCCAATCTTTTCCCCGTAAACAGGCATGCGTATTTGGGCAATAACGAATTTTAAGACATTGCTTTATGTCAAAACCATCCTTTGTTCCAACCATTAAAAGTCTATATAGCTTTAACCACAGAATTGAAGTGAAATTTACTTATCACTCAACCTGCGATGAATATAATCCTGTGTCGTAATAACTCCAACCATCTCTCGGGGCCACATCTGTTTCTTTCGTGTTTCTATCATTCTGCAAAAGTTCACATAGCGATTCAACTGGCGAAACCTTTTTGTAATTGAATGCCTTGCAGCTTTCGTTCTTCACGCAAAACTCGATGCATCCAAGAACCCCTTCTGACGTCGTTTTTGTTGCTGCATTCGCCTCGTTCAGTGCATAATTTGATGCGATTTTGTAAAACGTCCCTTCTGTTCCACAACTGTGTCTTACAATATTTTCTGCATTCACGTTAAGTGACAAAATGCAGCCAAAAGAAAACAGAACTATCAGGACCATCTTGATGGAATATGCAAAACTGATAACAACAGCAGTTGACAATCGGTTTCGTATTAGGCATTAAGCATTGCTTATTTAACTCAGTAGGCAACCATTTTTCGTTAATATTTAATCACAACAACAAATATTGAAATTGCAAAAAACAACATCAAACCCAATAAGATTTTTAGAGCAATCATCTGACGTCATACTTTTTTGAAATTCGGCATTTCACCATCAATTGTCATGGTTTTGAATTTAAGGTACGAAATCGGGAGTTTGGCCAAAGCACATGCTTATTGAGCTTAAATGCTGCTAACTCACTATTGCATTTGAAAAAATCAGTGGTGATTTAATCAAAGGATAGTTTCGACCTTACAATTTCTGTAAAAATGAGAAAATAGTGAAAAAAGTCGAGAAAGAGTGAGTTTTGAGTGAAATACCTTTTTTCGTTAGAGAAGAGCCCCCCTTTAAAACTAAACTGCTATTTTGTCGGAAAACCTCTGATCTTATTGGAAATGTTACAAAGTTGTTAATTTTTTTATCTTTTTGCTACACTTTGGGAGAGATGATTTCAAAGCATAATAAAATAATTTCTTCTCCCGTTCTGATTGGCAATCTTCTTCAACTAGGTATGGTACTTAAAAATTTCTATTTAGAGGAGAAGACCAGATAATCTTCGAGTAGTAGGATTTAGGGCACTTGACTTAGACCCCGTTTACACTGTGCCAGAATAACATCTATGCGCATAAAACTTGTTCGGATTGATTTGCGTTTACACTGTGCCGCACAAATTTTATCCACTTTGCCTTTACGTTTACACTGTGCCGGTGTAATATGCGTTTCGGTCCCCCCATGCGAAAGTTTATTATTAAAAAGTTGAATTTTGATGTTGACATTGACCTTTTTGCTTCTAGAATTAACTGTCAGTTGAAGCCATTAGTTTCATTTTGGCCAGATCCAGAGGCTTTGGCTGTTGAATCATTTACCTTCAATTGGTCATCTTTCAAATTCTATTATTTTCCACCTTTTGCTGTTATTCCTAAAGTCTTACAGAAAATAGAATTTGATCAAGCAACAGGTCTTGTTATTATCCCTGAGTGGCCATATAGTTCTTGGTATTCTCAATATAATAGACTTTTGGTATCAGAATATATCATTATTCCATGCATCAAGAACCTGTTGATGTTGCTAAGCCGACCAGAGTTTGCGCATTCGCTGTACAAGTCCCTTCATCTCAGAGCTGGCATACTATCTGGCAAGAAAGGCTCTCATCGGGTATATCTCCAGAGGCAAACAATATCATAAACTTTTCTTGGTCATTAGGCACTTCAAGACAATATTCTGTTTATATACAGAAATGGTTTGTTTATTGCACAAGGAATGATTTGTATCCAACTGACTGCAATATAATAAAACGGAATAAATTTCCTGAATGAGATATTTCATAAAGATAACTTGGGATATTCTGCTATGAATACTGCTCGTTCAGCTTTGTCTACCATTATGGTTACGACAACTGATCAGCCTTTTGGGAGTCGTCCCCTTGTAAAAAGGTTGCTAAAGGGAATTTCAAAATTAGGCCTAACTTTCCAAAATTAGTTTGCACATCTGATGTTGATATTATTTTACGATATTTGAATGAATTAGGGGATGCCAATACTATTCCTTTTAAAATGCTTACGTTTCGTCTTGCTACATTGTTTTGTATTTTATCTGCTCAGAGAGATCAAGCGCTTACCGCAATCGATGTCTGACTTATCCATGTCAGCGATGAACGAATTATTATTTACCCTGGCAACAAGGCCCAAGTTTCATCAATCCCCTCTCGATTTTTGCACCTTTCCCCAATGCAAAAACATTTGCCCAGTATATAATGCTCAGCAATATCTTCAACGATCTTTTTCGTTGCGGGGTCCATTTATAAAATTCTTCATCAGTTACAATTATCCTCACCATCCAGTAGGCACTTCAACAATTTCACGATGGGTGAAAAATACTTTACAGTTGGCTGGAATTGACATTAACATTTTTACTTCTCATTCTACTAGAGCCGTATCTGCATCTAAAGCCAAGAGTATTGGTGTGTCTTTGGCTGCCATTAATAAAGCTGCTGACTGGAGCAATACGAAAACACCTTCGGACAATTTTTTAATAAGAAAATTATTGACACCAACATAGATGAAAGTATTTTAAAACATTTTTTTAACCTGATTTTTATTCTGCAGTAGACTGGTTATCAGTAAGTTGTTGTTGAATTATCCATAGAAAGTATTTTAATTTTTCAATAATGAAGTGAAGTTTATTTTTCTTCGATATTTGCCAGTCTCTTTGGAAGCTCATATAAATACCTAAGGAGATTGGGTTTTAGTGATGGAAAATAATTTAAAAATCAAACAAACCTTTGGTGCAGTTTGATGTAGATTATTTTCCATACCTCGTTTCCATTTTCCAGTTTTTCTTTTCATAAGTTTGTTCCTGCAGGACTTGCAGGCTCCACTGGTATGTCTTTGAATCAGGTCGAGCGCCACGCGTTGCTCATATCAATCCCACGTCGTTTGGTTTTAGGTATGGAAAATAATCTACATCAAACTGCGCCAAAGGTTTGTTTAATTTTTAAATTTTATGTTCGCTTTCTGTAG